ATACCCCGGAGTATCTAGATGACGCGTATCTGCCCGCCTGCCTCGCCACCGCGCAATCGATATTTTCCGACGGCCGGGCTGCTAAAAAAGCGCGCATTTTCCGCGACTTTCTGCCCGAAAGCGCCGAGCGGCCATCTCCGGCGGCCCTGCGCGCTGAGATCCCTTCGGGTTTCTTATACCGGTTAATCGAGCGTCGCATTAAAACTCCTCACCGAGGAGGAAGAAGAGGAGGACCGCTCTTCCGACGAGCGAAACTTAATTTGTAGATATCTCCAGTCAGTCACGGCGCAACTTGTCGGATCTCGATCGAGATACTAAGTGCGTCTTGATTAAATTAGCCGAGGCTCGCGACTGGGACGGTTGAGTTGATCTCGTTCGAGATAGCGGTGGAGGTGCTTTCCGGCAAATTCGAAGATAACCCGGGGGGACAAGGTCCTGTATATATACGGTGTAACTAAATATTCCGTTTCGCCGGTAGTTCACCGTGATCTGCAATCCAGATGCTTTAATATTGCATCTTTAACAGCGGCTGGGTGGCGGACGGACGAACAGAAGGAGGGAGAGAGGGAGGGAGGGGTGGATTAGTTTACATTGCCCGCGGTTACTGCGGATAATATTGGAATCATTAGATAGCCCAGGTTGACACGCGATTTACATGTATATGCATACTCGCCATTAAGTGCCCACTCCCCTCTCTCTCTCTCTCACTCTCTCTCTCTCTCTCTCCAACTCGCTGCACCTTCGCCTCTATCCCCCCGTCACCGCAACCTGTGTGTTGCGAGCAGGGACGGATTCAGCGGTTCGCGCACCCTCGAACAATACCGCGAATTTGCGATTCTTCCCTCACGTTCGCGGCACATTCGGTATTCAACAATAAATATTGAAGTATTTCCTTTCCGTGGACCGATGGCTCTATTGTTTTAAAGAATTCATCCGTTCGCCGTACAAAGTGCGTGCTCGTACGCCTTATATCCTTGAATCGAGGAGAGGGCGAGAATTTTACGTAGGAATATTTCATAGATGTTATTATTATTATTTTGTGTTGCGTGCTAAAGGGTTTCTTTTTAAACATCATTATTATTATTATTATATTATTTCGACAAATCCGTCCGAGTATCGGGAGTAAACTTATTCTCGCACACTTGTATCCGCAAATTCCGCTGCACGCGTAATCGAAAGACAGAAAAATTGCCGTCGGATTAAGTGGGCGGCCAGTTTGAGGCGAAAAGTTGGAGCGGACCGACATCTTGAAAAAAGCGGCCATCTCCGGGCTATCGACGGCCCTGCCCGTGACGTTTGTACCGTGGCGGGTTACATCGGTGCGGCGTACGGTCGCTTATAATCAGGTTGGTTGGCTACACGGCGGCGGAATGCGCGCCGCGGAGTTGCGCACGCGCGACCCGCAGGGAGGCGAGAGAGCAACACCGTTTTCCTGTATAATACGCCGACCGAGAGAGAGAGAGAGAGAGACAGAGCGTCCGAAAGGGTCAGCGGAAGTGTCGAGCGACCGACCCGCTGTAAACGGCAGCGGCCGACAACGAGGCGGGCAGCGACGCTCGATTGATAGCGCCGCGAGCGGAATAACGTGCCGCGACGAGCTGCAGGAGAGTACGTTGGGTACTCGCGCGCGCGCGCGCATCGATATTTTATCAGCGATCGAGTTTTCATGCAACGTATACCGATGGCCAATGAGATGCCGTCTCCTCATGGTAAACGTGAGAAGGGAAGACACGAGAAGGAAGGAGCTTTCGATTCCTTCCAGCCGCATGCCAAGGAGCTCTCGCGGTATTCGAATATCTGGATTTCGTGGGATAATAATACTAATAATAACAATGATTTTTATTTACGGGATAAAAAATATATTCCAGTATACGATGATGGAGTCGGGAGATCCGGTGTGGAAAAGGTTGGCCGAGCTTTTATTCGTTCGGTTTGTCGCGTTAGCAGGAACTCGAGACACTCGTTTGACCGACCGGAGATATCGTTCTGTATTTCTCTCTCTCGAATCGTCGCGTTTCGAGCGCATAATAATAATAATAATAATAATAATAATAATAATAATATACCTGAACTCACCATGTTGCACTTTAACGACTTAGCTCGGGGGAAACAAAGAAGTTTCCCCGCGCGATCGTAAATAATTCATGGTAACGCTCGCGACACGATGAGGTCATTGTTTCCAGCAGATAAATACATAATACTCGCTCCTTCGCCCGCGCCATCATTCACTGCCGATTTGCGTGATGCAGAAATGTGCTCTCTCGTCGTTGCAACGCCGACGACATACGCGCGTCGTCACCTTCCCTCGTCGAGCAATGGTCCAGCACCGGGTGTGCAGGTCGCAATATTATTGACCAGCGCTCGCGCCCGACAGAAAAAAATAGAGATTCTACGTAAAGGTAGCCGGCGATCCTTCGGACAGATCTCGAAATATGGTGGCCGATCGCTATTTCGGAAACGCGCACGTCGGGACGGAGGACGCGGTCCCGGGGGGGGGGGAGGTGATCGAACAATAATTGCTCGAAGAACAATTTTGGTACGCGAATCAATGCGCGAGGGTCGAGGTACGCGAAGTAGGTCGGCCGCGAATGCTGCCCCATTGCTGCCAACGCGACGAGAGCGAGCCCGCAACGTCGCCAACACCGCTGGCGAGGAACGCGTTGCACTTCGCCGCGGGCCGCCACGAGAGCTTGTTAATTCCGCGCGCGCGGCCACGACGACGACGGTGTTCGCCCGACGATGCATCGAGCGGATGCACAGAGCAACGATACCGACGATACGCGGGAGGATCTAAGATTCTCGTTCTCATGCCGCCTCCAAAAGGTGCTCCAACGATTGCGCATAGAGATTGCGTCGCGTTCGATTATCCGTCGATACCCTGACTTTATTATCGATATCTCGACTTTGATAATCGATATTTTGAGTCCAGGCCCCGGATTGAAAGAAAAACCATCGAAATATGCGATCTAGGATCTATCACTGTGTGTGTTTTAGGAACGGCTCTGACTCGCGCGGATAATCAGCAGCAGTCGCAGACGCGATCGATGATTTCGGCTTTTAACTGTTCATACCTTCTCCCNGCTTTTAACTGTTCATACCTTCCCCCCCCCCCCCCTCTATTGATATTGTTCCGTTCCGCCTGTCTGTTGATATTGCGCGTGCACTTTTGAAGCAACCAAAACACTCGAACTTGAGAGAGTACAAACGGTAGTACTCTTAAAGATCGATAACTTTTATTTCGTCGCGTCGCTTCGAGAGAGAGAGAGAGAGAGAGAGAGAGAGAGAGAGAGACTTGCGCACAGACACGGATTCGACGCTTTTATACACTCTTTCGTCCGTATTTTATTTTTAATGCATCCCTTTATATATTTTCTTTTCGTTCTTTTCTAACGTGAAGTTAGAGCCTGTGGCGATTATTGCTTTGCGGAATGGCACTCTCCCTCTCTCTCTCTCGGCACCCGCGAGCTCGAACAATGCGCTTGAAGTCGGTCACGAGAAAGAGAAAAGGTTCTCGCTTTCTCTCTCTCGTGCGCGCGCGCGCAAAATCGGCTCTTTTAAGGTCCAGCCTCGATGCAATCTCTTCTCTCGCGCTCGCCTGTCGCCCGACGAGACACTCTGAAAATCGCACGTATTCTCCGGGTACTTTCTAATTCCCCTCTCCCCCACCTCTATCTCTCTCTCTCTCTCGCATCCTCGCGCGTTCGATATCTGCGGCAAATTGCGCGTGTATGTTACACACTGGTTCCGTAGCGCACTTCGCGACGTTGAGCGAGCGAGACCCTTCCGAGCTCTCGATCCTATCGAATCGGAACTATCGATTGTCGACTCGGCGTCGCTGCCGCCGACATTAACCCCGCCATCGCGCGATTCATATTTCAGTTTTCCTCGTCTAATCCCCCTGGTGACCGAGCGGATACGACGGGCAAATTAGCATGTTATCGTACGTGCCTACTTAATGTTCAGAAAATTCACCGTCTCAGTCAATCAGTCACCCGACAGCTCAACGACAGCGCGAGCGTGAGCGACGAATTGCGGATGCGCCGAGGCGCGCGGGTAAAAACGGCTCCTTGCAGATCTCCGTGATCCGCGACGCGCGATAAATGTTACACAATGCTTCTCCGTTTAACGCTAAGCGAGAGTAAGACACGTTCGGGTTTCAATATTTAGTAGCTCAGTTATTAGTACGGCCCGCCGACGACGAGAGAGAGAAGAGATCGGTCCAACGATCGCTCTCGCACGAATGTGTCGAGACGTGCCTCGCACGCAGTAAACGTGAGCGAACGCTCGCGATAATTAAGCGGCTGAGCAGAACGCTCCGTTGAATCCTCCACGCAATTCGTTATCTCTCGGCGATAACGTGTCTCTCATTCATCTTTTCTTTTTTTCGCGTGCAAACACCGCCGCGAATAACACCGATCGCGCGTCGAACGATGCAGTTTTGCAGGAGGAAGTGCTCGATGCGAGTAGATTTCTTATGCATTCGCTGCGAGGAAACCGAGTGCCGATCGCGACCGATCGTCGGAAATGGACACGTCGCGAATATTGAGACCGTTTGAGAGACTCGGGATTACACGCTTCGCATCGGTTACGAAGGAAAAGGATGCGTCCGGGTAACACACAACACGATCATCGCCTTTGATTAAGGCGTTCCTTTGGATCCGTGGTGAATCCGAAGGAATAATATTCCGCTGACGGAGCGGGAGGAGTGCTCGCTCAACCGTCGTTGTGTTTCCCGAACGTAGCCAAGGGTGAAGCGATCAAACGCAAAGGTGAAAAAAAAAGTTCCCGAAGCGTCTCGACGCTTCTTCGCGAGATAAGAAGTCACGACGTCGCGATGACGCGCTGCGGTGATCAATGATGATGACGACCGAACAACGGGCTGTCGGTGTACTCGCCGAGAAAGTTCGCGGGCACCGCTTCCGTCTTTCTCGGCGAGGTAACCGATCGCTTCTTCCGTTAGACTCGACGATGACCGGCACGATCCTCGATTTCTGTTGCAGTCTATGGTCAACGATCCTCAAATAGCCGTAATCGAAGGCACTTGGTGAGGCCTCCGGACGAGGACCAACCCCTCTCCTCGGACCGGTCGCACTTCACTCGCTCGAGTGTCCACTTGGAAAACACGTGCTCGCAAGGCCACCAAAACGTCGACCCCGTCGGTAATCAAGCTATCGGGGGGTGGAACAGGTGGCGGTGGGGAGCAACTGTCCCCAGGGCCTGGCCCACCTCCCCCGGTAGCCGCGGCCGGTGAACAGCAGCAGAAGCAACGCGAGGAGCACGCGAACGGCGATGGAGAAGTGGTGTTGCAGGTTACAGCCGGCCAAGCGAGCAAGCCCGTACTGGATGCGGAAGAGAAGAAGGTGTACGCGCCGAGCACCGAAGCCACCATGAGTTTCGTACTGCAGCTGGACAATGTCGAACAACCGGCCGCCGGGGCGGTGATGGCGAAGAAGGAGATCAGCGAGATGCTGCAATCGGCACCGCCACCCATAAGGTTCGGCTCGCCCTTGATCACCTGTCCGTTCGGTAGGTCCATGGTGGGGCAGACCATCGCGGAGAAGAGTTACCGCAAGTACGACCTCGGCGGCATCGATGACATCGTCTTCACCAGCCACGGCGGCAAGTCTCAGCAGCTGTTGCAAAAGATAGAGGCCGGCAACAACCAGCAGGAATCGACGGTGCCGACGGTAGCGGGGGCCTTCCCCACGCAGGTCAAGACCGTGCTGACCTATCCGGTCGCCAAGGGCGCCCGAGAGATGCAGAGTCGGACGAACACCACGCAGGTGCTGACGACGCGTGTTATCTCGCAGAAGCTACCGTCGTCCACCAGCGGCCATCACCAGACCGTCCCGGCGGCTGATGTCACCTCTCAGGCGACCGCTCAGACGTTAGCCAATTCGTTACCGTCTCCCAGCGCCGGCCTTGTCTATCCTTTGCACTCGGCCGTGTGCGGCACGCAGGCCGCTCAGCCGTTGCGAGGGCAGACCGCGGCCGGCGAGCTGGACCATGGCAAGCAGCAACAGCAGCTCACGGGAGCGAGCAACGTGCAGACAACCCTGCACCACAAGTTGCACCAGGTGAAGACCATCACCACCGGCGCGGCGCCTGTGTCCCACATCCAGAGGGTACATCTGAAAACGTCGAGTGTCGTCGGTCAGCAGCCGCAGACCGTGAACTTGCACAAGGTGAAGACTGTCGTAGCCAACCAGTCCGGTGCCGTGCAACGAAACCCTCTGTCCAGGTTACAGCAGAAGCCGCAAATGTTGAGCCAGATGGTGAATCAGTTCGCTGCTAACAACCAGACGAACGCGAACACGCAGACGAAAATTCAGCAGAGCCCAGCGGCGGAAGGTAAGGTCCTTCGTACCAACGCTAGCTTGCAGCAACAGAAGGCCCAGGCTATTAACGCGACGAGCTCGCAGAAGGTAGTGCCGGCCTCCCAGTCGGTCTGCAACAACCAGAAGGTGACGTCGCAGGTGTTGGCCGGCGCTCACCATCATCCTAATCATAAGATCCAGCAGCAGCAATACTCGGCTAATCAGCAGACGGTATCGCAGCAGCAGGGCCTGCAGAAGTTGCAGGGATCCCAGAAAACTACCGTGGTGGCCAGGCAACAGCAGTCGTCGTCGACCACGCCGCTGAACAACGTTTCGAAATCGTGCGGCGGCACCGTGGTCGGTATCCACAAGGTTCAGACTCTCGGACAAAGTCTGCAGCAACAGACGCCCCATCAGAAGTCGTCGTCGCAGTCCGCGGCGACGTTGCAAAAATCCCAGACTCTGGCGACGGTGTCAGCCAACGCTGTCAACCGGATGCAGAGCGGAACGAACGTCTGCAAGAGCAACAGCGTGCCGAATATCCCGAAGGTGCCGCAGAACTCGAACGTGATTACCGTTAGCAAGCAGCAGCAAATTGCGTCGCAACAGCAGCCGGTACAGCTGCAGCAACAGTTGTTACAAACGTCGCAACAACCGGTTGTGGTGCAAAAGCCGCAGCAGCAGTCTGCCGCGAATAATCTACAGGCTCAGAAGAGTCACAGTATTACTAACGTGCATCAGAAGGTGATCACGACCATGCCGAACAATCAGAGGAGCCAGACTGCGATGAGTTTGAAGCTACAGCAGCAACAATCGCAGCAGACGCTGATGAGAATAGGAATATCTGCGAAGGGCCAGACGTTGCAGAGTTCCCAGTCGGCGGGAACTCTGAAGACCACCTCGCAGAAAGTGGTGAATCCCATGAAAGCCGCGAACTCCCAGAACACTGTTCAGCAGCAACCTGCGCAAAAGAACAGCAGCAACATCCCATCCATGAAGAGTACGCAGCAACAGCAGCAACAGAATATAATCGGTTCGCAGAACGCGCAAAAACAACCCGGGTGCATCAAAACGATTCCGCCGCAGAAGCCCGTGCAAAGGAATCATGCCCAGAAGGTTGGCGGCGGTGGCGGTATTAAAACTTCCTTGAACACGAACGTGTGTGCTTTAAAGGGCCCAGCAACGTCAACGATCGCTCAAAAGGCGAGTATTAAAACGTTGCTGCCTCAGCAAACTGTAGCGTCGAACATCATGGCGCATAAAAGTTCACCTATCAAAGTACAACAACAGGTGATACAACAAAAGCAGCTGGTTACTACCTTGCAGTACCCAATCTCTCACCAAGTTAGGCAACAAGCCGGGCAACTTAAGACCTTGCTACCCGTAATGACCTCTGAGACTCGCAAAGGTCCACAGGACATGTAAGGATTTTGTTTTGCTCAGACATGAAGCCATATCAGAGTGGTAGTAGCTATCTTTTTTTTTGTTTTATGTTGCCGCATGCATAGGTGGAAATCTCTCCGCTGCCTCTGGGAGACCTCAAGTATTACCGTTAGTCACAAAGTTTGGTTCGACCTTTGAGTCGAATTCGGCTTGATCGCTTCCAGAAACCATTTTATTCGTCATTTAAGTGATTGTCGCCGTCCATTGTCTGTAATCCTTTGTCAACGTCTTCTGATAATACTTGTATGCCGCTGAGACGTAAGACGACATGGTTGCCAAAGAATTATTATTTTCAATTGAACCGAACTTTTTGACTAAGCTAGTACAGCAAACTTTAACAAGGCCTTTGCAGTGTGTAGTCCAGGCTATGTCCGGCCAATGTTCATTATTGTGCCGAACGATCGCAAAGGTGGTTTAAGTTTATTGTACAAGTATTTGGGTTATTGTACAAGTATAACATATGATCAGGATGTGATAAACGTTGTGTTGAACAATGTCACTTCTTTAGGGACGAGATCGAGTTCCGAGCGTCTAAAGAAGAGGAGCAAAGCATCCCTAAGTCACCGGTGAGAAGGATGCCACCTCCATACGAGGTATCTATCATTTCTCGATGAAATAGATTCGTTGCCAACGAATTAATGAACGATAGTGCCGACGAATATACTTAGTTCGGTAATCTAATCGAGTGGCATCCACGTCGCTTCTGTTGACAGTTCGATAGAAAAATTCTCGTTCGATTGCAGTGTCTCCAGTTTGTGCTCCAAGACCATAACTACGGAGCACCACCGCCGCGTACGCCGCCACCACCGTCGCCACCGCCTCATCCGAAGCAACAGCCCATTAACGGTGCCGGAAGTTCCGCAGCTACCTCTCAACATCCGTATATATTCTGCCCAGGTAAAACGACTTCTGTGCGTTTGTATCGCCGGCGTTATACGAAACTGCTCCAGTTTTGCGACCTCCAACGGAATCGGAGACGTCCTTATCTTCCTGTGTTAATCCCTCTGTACGGGCACCCGAATATCCATTTGAAATTTCGCACGACTGTGACCGTCCGGAGCGCCAAAACATAAGAGGTCTGTTCTTTTTTCGCTGGAATGGATGGCTAACTTGTACCCTAACTTGTATCCTAACTTTTCACTTTCTACGTGTCCATGTTTGTCAATAGTTGCAGCCAATACCGCTGCATTGCTCGAGTTTAGTGAACTTTACTCTGATTGGTCAGATTTCATTTCAGTCTCCAATGTGTAGTCTGATAAGGACGTAACGCCCGCGTCAGACTATGCGTGGAGAATACGGATTGGATTGCAAACTACAAATCATTGACCAATCAGGATAAAGTTCACTAAATTGAAGCAGTAAAAGATCCTGGTCAACGATTCGCAATCTTCGCTAGTTTAATGAATTTTATTCCGATTGGCTAAATTTGAATTCAATCTCAATCTCCAATACGTAGTCTGATAGGAGCCTAAAAAGAACAACGGCGCTTGTGGGCGTATCAGATGAGAATTGAAATTTGACCAATCAGGATAAAGTTCCCCGAAATTTGAATTTAGTAAACTTTGTTTTTTTTTTTTTGGTTGGTCAATTTTACATCAGTGTTGCATCAGTTTTGCTACAAAGAACACTTTAGTGTACATTTTTTTCATTAGTATGTATTAGTTCAGAATATTATAACCAGTTCAGCTATTAAAGGCAAACCTCATATTTCGACGGCACAGTGCGGGTGTATATCAAAGGTCTTCTTCGAAATATTTTAGAATATATTAGAAAAGAATTCTCTCGGGGCTCAGTAGCTGCCCCATAACGGCATTTCCCAGGCCAGTGTACCAGCATGCTAACGTACTGAAGGTACTCAGGCACTGATGAAACATACATTATTATATATCAACAAAGAAGTTAATAATTGTATGGGTTATGGGTGTGCTTCAAGTTGTAAGCAGTGTTAACGTAGAAGATGATGTGGCCAGCATTATCAGTAGCGAGGCTGGCCGGGAAGCAGAACTGGAAGGCGAGGAAACGGAAACTGCGAACGAGGGTGAGGGTGACGACGAGGATAGTGTCACCAGATGTATTTGGTGAGCAGACGGTTATTTTCATAACGATATCACGTTAATTATGTATCTGCTCTGTCGTATAGAATTTGATGGTAATGTACATAATATATTAATTTCAGCGATTTTGAACACGACGACGGATACATGATTTGCTGTGACCGATGCTTGTAAGTCCGCATTAATATTTCCAATGTATGAATGTTGAGATTAGCTCTTTTCCATCATTGGATCTTTATTGTTACACACACACACACCACGCACACGTGTATACATAACATTTGCGATACGTTGACTCATTAAGTTACGAATTAATTACGATTTAATCAGAGTCACGTGTGCAACAACACAGCGCACGACATTCATCGAGAAAAATCGAAACGTGATTACAGAGTTTGGCAACATGTAGATTGTATGGGCATAGACCGTTCGAACATTCCCGATGAGTATCTCTGCGAGATGTGTCGGCCACGGCGAGTGGACAGGCAGCGGGCGCGCGCCTTGCAGATGCGTAAGCGCGAGGAGCTGCTCAACTCGGACATGTCCTCCGACACATCGTCCACGAGCTCGGCGGACACGGACGTGGGCGTGAACGCGACGACGCAGAAGAAACGCTCGCTTCCGCAGCAACAGTCCGTTCCGCGTCAGCGCTCCAAGTCCGACGCGCCTCCTGCACAGGTACGGAGACTGAACAACAACAACAACAATAACAACAACAACAACAACAACAACAATGTCGCGAAACGGCAGAGAAGAGACTCGCATCCGCGGCAGTCGAGCGCGGTGCGCAAGAAGGAGGCCGCGGCTAAGCGCGGCCCCGGCAAGCGCAAAGCCAAGAGGAGGATGAGCCTCGAGGACAAGGAGGAGGACGCGCAGGACGGATGGGGTACCTCGAATATGGCGCCTCTGCGACAGTGGATAGAGAGATACGAGGAGGCGGTCACGAATCACTACAGTCCCGAGTTACGGGCCAGGATATCGAGCATCAAGGTGAACGGCACGCACAGCGACCTCAGGCAGAGTAACATGAACGTCGTCGCCACTGGCAAATGCAGGCTCAACGTGCACAGTAATAACGTCAGAGTAAGTAAGGCGTCATCCCCGGATGGGGAGAAAGGGAACGGGGCTTTCCCGTTTTTCTCCTTGGTTTCCTCCGCATGTAGGCGCCCCCATCAATAGTCGTTACTTGAGACTTGTTCCATACGAGAATTCCGAAGCTCCATATTCTGAATTTCGAATTATATATGAATGAATGAATCATTTGAATCATATCATGGATTCGGAATTGCTTACACCTTTGGGGACGATTTTCGAAGACCGCATCAACTTTTTTCCCCTCGCCTCTTCCGCTCATCCGTCAACTTCGTAAGACTTGTGAAAGACGTTCCTTAGTTTCTGATAAATTCTCACCGAGACTAATCTTCTATGTGTATATATTTCTATATATATATATATATATGTGCCTCTCTCTCTACCGATATATTTATATCATTATAATTACAACGATATAACGCATTTCAGCAATTAGGGAGCACCTTAGGGAGGTATTACGAAATTGACGATTCACAGGCTAGGCTAAGCCGCTACGCGCAGTCGCTAAGTTCGAAAGGTGAGGCGTGAGGAGCGCAAGGGGAAGGAAGTATAGGCGTAGCCCTCGAAGATCGTCTCGAAAGTGCGAATAATCACACTGAACACTGAAATATGATGTATGTGTGTTACGTTTCTAATCAGCAATTCGGCTGAGAAAAAAAAACAAAGCTCACGTCTAAACTCCGCAATGAATAATTGAGAATCTCGAACCCGAGGCGAGTTTCACGCAACGACTGTTAACACGGGCCGTGTGCTCCACTACTAAAGCGTCCCTTCTTCCTCGCGATTGCAGTTTCTAGTGGCGACCATGTACCTTCCGCCGAACACTCCGGTCGTCGAGTTGCGCGGCAAGTATATGCTCAGTACGCAGCACAGACCGCAGCATCCGCAGGGCCGGCAGCACGCCCAACGGCCCGGGCCGTTCGTGTTCTTCTATCGTTTGCCGCGCGACGGCACCGAGGTGTGCGTGGACACGCGGACCTACGGCAATGACGCCAGGTTCGTGCGGCGCAGCTGTAAGCCGAACGCCGAGGTGAAGCACTGCATCGAAAAGGGCACCCTGCATCTGTACATCGTCACGACCACCCCGATCGAGAAGAATGCCGAGATCACGATCAAACACGAGCAGCATGACCTGCTGCTCTCCCCGAATCCCAATTCCTCCGCGTTGCCCGTCGTGTGCGCGTGCAACAATCCGCGGGAGTGTCAGATCGCCACGGCGAGCCAGCTGAACAGAAGAGGCAGCAACGGCGCTCTCGTCGAAAATGCCGAGTAAGTCCGAGCCCCCGGGTGGAACGTTAACCCCCCGACTGTTTTATCTTGCGATGCGCGCACCAAGCTCTTAGAACTAATTGGAAATGGTATCATTGTTGAGCTTAAGAATTTCGTGAATAATCGAGGCTCCTCGCTGCTCCTCGGTCGTCTTGTTTAATGATGTCGGAAGCGAGAGAAGGCTTACCTCAAATCCCAGCGAAATGTATCGAAAGAATACGTGCGTGAAGTGACACGATAGATCACATTTGCAAAACACTCCGGAAACTTTCTCTTTCCAGCGATCGATAAAAGCAACACGCAACCCTTCCTCTTTGGCCTATCTTTCCTCATGACTTTGTCACATTAATTTCACGGCTGTTTATCGATCGTTAAAGTAAGAGTTTCCGGAATATTTTACCAAAGTGCTCGATCGCAGGTATCACCATATGGACGTATCCTTTTATTTCGACGCACCTAGTCCTCAGGATCCGCAAGAATTTTGCGGTTCGTGCGTTTTCTCGCTTCCGACGTCGTTAATCGACGCAGCCTGTATCGAGGAAACGGGAGCCTTAACGCTACATATGACATAAAAATCCCATAAAATTAGGAAGAAACTAACTAAATTGCACGTATTTTGCCTCTCGTTACGCAGTGGCAGAGAGCGGAGGCGGCGAGGTAGGCGGAACACTGTTTGCGAGGATGCCGAGGCCGCGCCGGCGGTTCCCAGCACGAGCGTCGCGCAGACCACCCCGACGGTGTCGGCCGTGCCAACGGTGAGCGCGCCGCCCCCGAAGCGGACGGTCACGGCCGGAGTCGCCGCCGCAGCGACCCGTCAGCTCCCCAAGGAGGAGCCGGCGTCGACCGCGACGGTGCAGCAGCAGCCTCAAACGTCGCCCGGCATCGGCCAGTCGGCGCCGCCGGAGACGAAGAAGGACAAGAAGAAGATGACGAGGGAGGAGCGGAAGATGGAGGCGATCATGAAGGCGTTCGAGAGGATGGAGAAGGCGGAGCAGAGGAAGCAGGAGGTACTGGCGAGGAACGCGCAGCGGAAGGAGTCCAGCGGCACGCACAGTGACAACGAGGACAATCATTCGACGACCGGCCAGCAGTCGAAGAGCAAGCAAGCGAGCAGCTCCGAGAGACCGTTGCGCAGGAAGAGGAGGAAAGGCCGCGCGCGGACCACCAGCACGTCTCAGCAGCCGCAGAGCAGCCGGAGGACGCGATTGAACTCGGCGGAATCGGACGTGTCCTCCGGCGACGAGAGCAACTCCATGCAGTCGCCGCCTCTGCTCGGTCAGACGCGTCCGCCTAGCCGAGACGCCCCCCCGTATTCGTCTCACCTGCACACTCCGGCGAAGAGCACGGCCGACGCCGGCACCGGGCCGTCGTCCGGTCATCACCAGGGTATTCCCACGGCGGCCGGCTTGCTGTTAGCTCTGGCGAATTCGAACGCACCTCCGGGCCCGCCGAGCTCACCGCCGCCGCTGTTGCAGCAACCGACGCCGGTGAAGAGCCCGACGTGCGACAGCGGCGCCAGCAGCAGCTCCCAGAGCTCAACGCCGTCCACCCCGCTCTCGTCCGCCTGCCTCTTGGTGGCCGCCGCGGTCGGCCCGTTGGCGCCCGGTCTGAAGTTCCCCAAGACGAAGAAGGCGTTGATGAACGAGTGGCTGAAGGAGTCGCCGGATCTACCGCCGCCGCAGGCGAACGTAATACCTCAGGTGTCCCCGTTGTCGGCTTTACCGAACTCTATGAATACCGCGCTCTGCATCAGGCAGCCGGATTTCCCGCTGAATCCGACCACCACCGCCGCCGCCGATCCGTCCGCGGAATTCCTGTCGCAGAGTTACGCCGCCAAGAGTCTGGCCACGCTGGTGCAAGCCGCCAACTCCGTGTCCGGCATATGCGACTCGCCGCCGCAGCAACAGCAGCGCAGACAGCAGCAGCAAACCGTCAGCAATTTCAACAATGTCAACAGCAGCAACGGCGGCTGTCCCGTGTCCACCGGCTCGGCGAAGAAGAGATGGCTGCGTCAGGCGATTTCGGAGGAGTGCGACTCGCCGAACAGCCGGCCGGAGAGCCCGCCGCCGCTCCTCGAGACGGTGGCGCCACCGAAGAAGAGACGGATCGCTCGCGAGAGCCTGTCGTCGGACAATTACACCCCGCCGACCACGCCGACCATGCTGCTACCGGAAACGGCCCCCAACAGCAGGTCATTGTGCCCCACTGAGGTGAGTCCTTCCAGCTTCTGCGTCTGCAGGAGTCGGAGAGGAGGCAAACTTAACTGCCCGGGCGTCCGCTCCGATACACTTCCTCCTTCTCCTCCTCCTCCTAAGAATCTGAATCATCAAGATGATCTATTTCTCGTAGGCTAGATCGCCTACGATTCTTTATAGTTGCGCTTTCTCAAGTGTTTTGTAATCTTCGTGTTTTCTTCTCCCTTCCTACGAGTGTCGGCACGTTGAACGAAACGAGATGGAAGATATTTGTGTGTGTGTATATACGAGATGATTCAAAACAATCACCTGTGTCCTTCAAAAGACACGTTCCTCGTTGAGTTCTGAGACTACTTTTCCTTTCCCAAAGTCAAAAGCTCATTCTTTTGAATTATGAAAAGAAACGGTTTACTCTTGTAATGCGAGCCGAATAGAAGCGGTAGGCGGCGCAACTCACCGTCAGACGCGAACGTTCACACGGCACGTAGGTTTCTTGAAGGACAACCCGCTGTTCTGACTCATCCTGCACACAGATGCGCGTCTCTAATTATATTTATTTGTTATTCTTGTGATAACTCGATCATCGATTAAGCTTCGGTGTGCAACTCAACGCGGAAATTAACACGCAGCAATCAACGTGTTAAATATACGTTGATTTACTAAGTTTCCAACGTAATTTTTCACTGAAGGTGGCCAGGAACGGGTCAGAAACGTACGAATTTTCCAATTAATATTTGTATTATCTCGATTGACGATACGTTCGCTTTTACACCGGCGTTAGAGTCTAACTTGCGTGTTTATTGACATTTTTTGTTTTTTACTTTATTACAGTGTGTGTGTGTGTGTGTGTGTGTGTGCACATGTATATATATATATAACTTAATGCACAGTTTTAAGTAAATACCGTTCCATATCGTTCCTCACGGTTGAACAACGGCGTGGGGATGTTGTATCTAAGTGTTTTGTCGTTCTTCGCAGGATGAATACATGGAACACGCGCAATCGCCCGTGGTAGAGCAAATTGACGAGAAACACTACGAGCCGGTGTCCGCGAAGGAGGAGGTCAACGTGGAGCCCGACGAGAAACTCTCCATCGACATTCCCCGATCGGGCTTTTACATAAAACGCGAGGAGAAGACGGGAATACCCGATGTCGTCAAGACAGAGGTGTCCCCGGAGGTGATAAAAACGGAGAACGTCGTCGCGATAAAGGAGGAAGTTTCGCCGAAGTGCGAGGTGGACGAGGTGAAAGCCGACTATGATTTAGCCACCGCGTTGCACCCGGACACGAAGGTGTTCGCGAAAAACGACCTGGAGGCGTCGGTGAAGAACGAGGTGGCGGTCGATCTCAAGGTGGAAAATCCACAGTTGAAGAGAAGCTCGCCGGTCAAGGAAGAGACGCAGACGAGCGTAGCGAAAGGCACGGTCGAGATAATCGATCAGAACGAGCCCGACACGGAGATGGAGGAATTTAGTTCCCCGCCGTGGTATCGATGCACCATGGAGCCCGACACGATCCTGAAGCAACGCGTCGCCGAGATGCGGTTGGAATTCGGCGGCGGTATCGCCGAGATCGTGAATATCGAGCACGAGAAACCGGACTACGACGACGAGAGGAAGCCGTCCGAGGAGGAGGAAGCAGCCGGCAAGCAGTGTCGAGAGGTCGACGACAAGTCGGACGACAACACGTCCATCGACGAGTTCGACGTCGAGGCGCAGATGAAGAAGATCACCGGCGACGACGGCAACGACTACCAAGAGAAGATCGAGACGGGCTCGGAGCGGGACAAGAGCATGGACGGGATCGAAGGCTTGATGGAGAGCTCCAAGGAGGACTCGGATTCGGAGGACAAGGACATAGACGACGAGATCAAGTACTGCGAGCCCGCCTTCAAGTTGTTCAACGTCGGTCACGAAGACGAGACGCCTACGAAGGAACCGGACGCCAAGGAGGTCGTCGTCGTCCCCGCTGCGGGCGACGAAGCGCGGGAGACCGACACGTCGAGTTCTCGCGAGCCCGTGAGAACGGATCACCAACCGGCCACCTTCGCCGCGTCTCCGGAAGAGTCCTCCGTGTTCGAGCCGGCGTCGTCGAACGTGGACGCGGAATCGCCACGGGTGGTCGATCATCCCCCCAAGATCTTCCACTCCATCCCGCCATTGAGCGAACGGATTCGCAAGAAGACTACCGACGCGATAGTCACGTCTAAGACGCCGTCGTTGGACTTCGAGGCGGCCATCATCGAGTCCACGATCAATATGGACACCACGGAGGAGGAGTCCAAGAACGGCGAGCAGAAGTCGATCGCGCTCTCGACCGCGCTGCGCGAGCTCCTGGAAGCGAAGCTGGACGATCAGCCGGCCGGGATGGCGAAAGACGACGAGAAAACCGCCGAGAAGAACAGCCAACGAGAGGCGACCAACACGTTGCCAACAGTTCAAATGATGAAATTAAATTCGCCCGAGCGCGCGTCGCAAGACCCGACGCCAGCTCGGACGCCGGAGACCCGATTGGAAGAAGCGCCCGCCAAGGCGGAGGAGGAGGCCAAACCCAAGGAGATCAAACGACTGAAGGACCCGAGGACCGTCGTGCCGAATAACATGCCCGCACCGCCGGCCTTCAAGTCGGACGCATTGCCTCCGGTCAAGCGCAAGGTTAGAACGGTAGGAGTGGTGTAGAATTTTCGTTGCTGATTATCGTACACCCCCCGCCCTCCCTCGTGTCTCGTGCCCTTATTTACCAAAGCTTTGATCCGCCCGTCACTTGTGACCCGCTGTGTGTGATCGGATCTTCGAGTACACTCCGCAAACTTGGACGTTTACTGGGAATGACCTCGACCTACGTTACTGTAACTGGAAGCGCATTATCGCACTATTATGTACAATGATCGGATTATCAAATCATCTTACGTTATCACAAATCGGTCGACGAGAGGACAAAACGACTCCTCGACAGATCTCAGTAGCAGTGAATTGAGAAATAAAATCTTGTTTTTTCTTTTTCTTTTTTATTTTGCCAGCGTAAATGTATTCCCATATATATGACCATCGTGACGATTGATGACAGTGACATCCCATTGGGCATGTGTGTGTGTGCGTGCATGCATGTGTATGTGTGTAGTCTCAGGTTTTCAATTTTTTTTCATTTTTGTAATTCTTGTGTCACGCATTGTATGTATACTTGCATATTTCCTTCCGTATGACACCCGTAAATAAATGAAATTTTCATGGGTTTTTTTTTGTTTTTGATACTTTTACTTTTCGTTTCGCTTGTTTTTGCGTTGTCACGGCGCCAAGAGTGGCGCCAAAAACGCACGTAAAAAGTTTTATGTAAAAATGTTGTCCATTTGTACATACAGTTGTCCATATCGGAGTACCGCAAGCGCAAGCAACAGTCGTCGGGAGGATCCCTCGCCGAACCGGAACCGTCGAACGACACCTCCGCTGCGGACAAGAACGCGGCTCGAGATAGATCGGACAGTGCTAGCAGCGGCACCTCGTCGCTCAGTTCCGACGAGGAGGGCTGCAAGATGTCCCATTCGCTCGATCTGCAGGGCCTCACCGCGTTACAGATTTTCACCTGCGCCGAGGGTGACGAGAAGAAAGGTACCAGAAATAAATACAAGTCCGGATCTGCGCATCAAAAGGATTGAATTTATGTAAATTTTAAGTTCTGTGTATCATGTGTGACTTCTTTTGTTCCTCAAAATTCAAATTTTGCTCTTCATTGACTTTCACTACAACAAGATCAGTGTTTTTAATCTTTTCGAGGAACAGTGCAATAAATAAACAATTTTTACGTACAAATCATTTGAGATTGACTCACTTTTTACTCATTTTTTTTGCGGTTGATTCATTATTATTCTTATTACTTTTTCAACGATAAAACTCAATTTTCCCATTATTTCTGACGGCTAAACCGCTCTCATGCTCCCCGATCAGATTCCGCTCAGGTTGCGTGAAATCACTGTGTAAAATCAATATGCAAAAACTTAGTCAAACAAAGATCAAGTGAGTTGATCGTTCGCAACAGGTGGGGAGGAAGGTGCCATCGGTTGGTCCGCGGCGCCAACTTTGGTGGAACGTCAGCGTGAAAATCTCACGGAAAGATTGAAGCGTGAATTCGGGCTGTTTCTCAGCGACGACGAGGAGGAGAGGGCTCGGAAGCACGGTAAGTCGTCGGCCCGCGATGCAATTGACTGTCAATTGCATTGATTGTGTACGTTGCACGAAAGAGAGAAAAAAAGTGCGGTGACGATTTCAGGATGTGAAACTGATACCACCTTCGTCGCGCTGAGTCGAAAGACCATGCGAGAGCCAAACGCTCTGATACCTCAGATACCTAACGGTCCTCATTTTCACGCTCAATGAACACGTCTTTGTCTCTTACGAAAGAAAAGAAAGAAAGAAAGAAAGAAAGAAAGAAAGAAAGAAAGAAAGAAAGATACAAGATCCAACTTATTCCCATAGCGGGAACAATTCGTGGGAGATAACACTCCGTGTGTTAAATAATCGTTTCGCCGATTACAGGTTTGACCGCCGACGCGATACTGAAAGCGCGCAAGGTGTCTCCGCCACCTCACTCCTCGGTCTCTAGCACCCCGCCGACGTACCCGCTGCCTACGTCGCAGCTGCCGCCGCAGCCGTACATACCGCCGCCCGGCTCCGCGCCCATTCATTACCCCCCGTTCCAGAGCAAGCCTGTGCCGGTGTTGTACTCGGGTTTCCCATTGCCGCAGATCACGACGGCCCAGCAGCCGGTGTACGGCGGCGGCGTGGTGATGTCGCAGGCGGCGACCGGTGCGAACAACAGCAAGCAGCAGCAGCAGCCGTTCCTGATGCCCCAGACGTCGTCCCAGGCGCCGCCCGGCTCGAATCCGTATCCGCCGCACCTGACCATGCCGGCGATCAAGTTCACGTCGGCGACGCCGGCCTCCGCCGCGCCTCCGCCGACAACAGCCAACCAAGCAGCAGCAGCGTACCCGCCGATGCAGCCGCCGGGCCAGCCGCAGAAGCCGTTCTTCACTCACCCGGCGCCTAGATCGTAACCGGCGGAAAGGGTAGTATTGTTAAAAGTGTCTAAGTTAGGTCTAAACGTATGCACATCTCTCCGTGGAGGATCGTGGAGGATCTCCGGAGGCTCGTTGCATCCGGCTCTACTTAATATCTTCGATTACGGCCAGCAACGAGACGAGGGCTATCGGAGACCGACGTTAGCCCCCCTCTCCGCCGACCTACTTCCTGTCACACGTAGGCGTGAAAAGCTTTAATAAGCTCTTTTTCCGGAAAGGAAAAGAGAAAGGAGAGAAAGAGGTAAGAAGTGTGAGAGAGAGAGAGAGAGAGAGAGAGAATGTTATTTGTGAGAGATAAATTTCTGAGTTAGGTCGGGAAGTTCGTGGTTTATTTCTTTTCCCCTTTTTTTTCTGCCTACGAAGTAGGAAGGAGACATTTCCTAATAAAAGAGATGCAGTGAGAACAACGTGTAATAGAACTTCGAACGGTCGGTTTAAAAAGGTTAGCTTAGTAGAAATACAGCCATCAGAGTTTAATTTAGTTTATTGATCGCTTTTGGTATTATGATTCCCCGCGACTTTTTTTTTATCACTCATCGCTGGACGTTGATTTGAATAAGCTATCTCGCGAGGTAATATCGATTGGAATTCACGTGGCCTAAAACGGCGGCAGCCAAGTACATTCTATTACATGTACGTCCTACAACTTGTACGAACAACTTGTATGAACGGAGACCTGTTGAAAGTTGTATCGGTATCTTTCGCGGGTAACGGCCAAAGGTGTACTCTCTCGAGAACGGTGTACACTTTTTTTATACCGATGAAATGGTGCCCTAAACNTTTTTTTTTTTTTTTTTTTTTTTTTAAGATCTCAATCGTGTAGACGCGCACGAGAGATCGGCAATGTGTCTGCAACGCCGATCTCGCCGATACGTCAGGCATGTGCCTGCTAAAAAGAAAAAGAAAAAAAAAACAACCAGCGATCGTCATCAACAATGTGCACTTTGCATTATTAAACTTGTCTGTATATATTATTTGCATATACGCATAATATTAACACTATGAAAATCGCATATTTAATCTTAACTCATAAATAGACCTTGTATATGGCGAGATGTGGATAAACGAAGTAACGAGATGGATAAATACTACTGTTATTCGACATAACAGGGGATCGGAAAAAAAGGAGGGAAGTAAAGTAGATTTCGGCAGCGATGCTTTAGAGGTCTCTATATTTTATATTTCATTGTAAAACCCGCTGATATAATTTATATAATAAAGAGTAAATGTTGAAATTTAAATTTGAGTTTTATTTTGAACATTTTTGCAAGAGTTGCCGTAGTTTGGCATATATATATATATATATATATATATATATATATATATATATGTATGTATGTATGTATGTATGTATGTATGTATGTATCTATCTATTTTTCTTTTTAATTGAAAACGCGGTGTAACGCATCACATGCTTTACACGTTCTATTTATCTCAGTGTTTTGTTCAATTCTTTCGACTTGCGTGTCAGGACACATGAATTCTCGGGGAAGAGAACAAAACAAGGTGTTTATCATCATGGATCGGTTGTACGATAGAATTGTACATTTTTTTCATTTTTGCGGAAGCCTCATGACTATTATTATTTGTGAGTTAACAATGAACGAAGCGATCCTCGCGGAGGGGAGGAGACTCTCGCACGAAAGCGGCAGGTACCTCCGTGGATTCGCCGATTATCTGACAAACTCTCGAATTATCTGAGAATTCGATTCATTCATTCAAGTACAAAAAAAACTTACTGAAACAAGAGGTGAACAAGGGTGAACAAGGGGTGTATTAAAGCGATGTAGAGATAAATTGCGATAAATTAATAAGGCGAAAGAGAGAGAGAGAGAGAGAGAGAGAGAGAGAGAATTGTATAAGCTATATAAAGAGAGTTGCGCTTTAGGATGTTCGTTCTCTGTTTTTTTCCTGTTCTTTCTTTTTTATTCTTTATTTAGTCCCTAAGTCGAGCAATTATGTCGTATATATCAGCGAGAGACATGTACATCTCTATTTCGACGCTTGCGCGATGCGATAGATTTATGTTTGTGACTATGAGAGTGTCCTGCGATCGTTTTACATAATGCGTGCGCGCATATCGGCAAATATTTCTTTTGCGTACACTTCGCATAAATCATGACGATTACTTTCCTCCGTTTTTTACCTAGCAGCACAAATGTGCAAGCGTTTTGCAATTCGACCCGGTGAAAAAAACACAAGTTGCGTATATACATAACTGAAATTAGCGTGTAGACTTTCGAATAATAAGTTTGACAGCACGAGCGCAAACGTGTCAAACGCGTATATGTATATATAAATATGTTCATTGTTATCGATGCGGGAGGAGGGAACGCCGATTTCGTCGAGCGAGCACTTATCGACTTCTCTTTCGTTTTCTTTCACAATGTATAACGATGTATCCTCGTATCAACTTTCCTGACTTTCGCGCACATCTCGGGAACAGCGAACGATGCGACGATGAGCATTGAGGGGCAGGGAGGGGGGAGAGGGAGAAACAACGAAGAATTAGTTACTTCGTTTATAACGCGAACAGTGTATTTAGGGAGGACTTTTGCAGGGCCATAATAATAATAATTATTCACTTTCCGCAGTAACTAGAGATATCTGGATGATACATTGTCGAACTAATTATAGTACAATTAAATGGTAAAAAGAAAAAAAAAGAAGGAAACATTCATACTAGAGAGACTCGTAGAAATTGTAAACTGTGTTACATGCTAAAAGTACCTTGCGTCAAGTGACGATTAAAATCAACGCGAACCCTAAACGAACGAAATGAAGGGAGAGAAAAATCTTGTAAAATTCTCATCTTGACGGACACACCGTAATATTTTGGCGAGTAAGGGGGGGAGGTAAATTTGTTTATTTTTGTGTGATATACGAAGTAAAATGTTTTTTACGTTCGTCCTACGCGTCGTCGGACACAATTTCCTCAGCTTTGACTTATGGTCTTTTGTTTGCAAGTACAAACAAACAATACGCGAGATTCAACTAGAATTGTACTACTGAACAAAGATGCAAAAAAAAACACTACGTTATCGCGGAGATTTTAACACGTGCTGACAGGGACATGCGCGCGATTTTAATCTCTTGATCATCGGTTTTTAAGCGAATATCAAAGTTTAGAGATCTGTGATTAGAATGTAAGGTGCAAAATTAAGTTGTAATATTTATGTACTCTTAGCGAGAAAGTATTTAAAAAAAAAAGAAAACTGAAAGAATTTCTGGGATGCTAATATACGGATCTCCCGTCGACAAACAATGAGAGCGAGAGCGAAAGAGAGAGAAAATCCTTTTCATATTGCGTTTGGCTGCGATTTCAAAAGTGTAAGACAGACATATTTTTGGCATTTGGTATTTCTTTGTACTTTAGCTGATATTTTGTAATAAAGCGTGTATACTAAGCGTAAAAGTTACATATTGTCGAAGGTGGTGTAACATTAGATATAGAGGGAAAGAAAAGGAAAAAGAAAGAGATAGAGAGAGAGGAAGAGAGAGAGTATGTGCGTGTACAGCTTATGTTCGCCACCTACAGTACAGTGAAAACATGTAAATATTTTTGTAAGATAAATTTAAGTACATATACATATATATATTTATATATATATATATGTGTATAGATATGTAGCACACACATAGTATGAACTTTCGTGGATCATTGGAAATCCGAAAAACAAGCTAAAACATAATTGCTTTGCAGCTAAATCTATTGTTTATTATCCGTTGTACAATTTCCCGATATTGCATACGAGATATATATGTATATATATACATGCATACATACATACATATATAAATATATATATATATACATATACATTTGTCTGTACAATGACATTCTTATAACGAGCGACAAACACACGAATAACTTTGTTATTAAAGTATCTGATAGTATAAAACCACTCGTTAGAGTAATCGTTTCAATGTTGTAAATAAAAAAGTAAAGCATAACAGTTATTATTATATTAATTATATTATATTATATTATATTATATTAATATTATATTCGCATAAATATATATATATATATATATATAAATATATAAATATAAATATATTCAACTTTATAATAGGCTCAGAATACACATAATTTTTTTATTTGCGATTCACTGTTACATGTATGTGCCTAGTTATAGCCATGTTGCATTATTACCTATTATATTGTATGATAATTTAAATCGTACTACCGATTAATAAATGTATAACAAGTTCTTCGATATCAAACTCTGATATATTATGATATATTATTATGGAGTAACACGTGTAAAGAGCTCATATTTAGGCATACGTGAAATTTAATAAATCGGAATACATTTTACGAATGAACGTTGTCATATTAAACCATCCTCGCCCTGTTCCACGTACGTTAAGCATATCGTTTAAAAGAATTCTTATCTCTTAGTAGTATCTCTCTTAGTAATCTTGTCACATAAAAACAACAAATTAAAATACGTCTGCTTAGACATATTTGAAAATAAAAAGACAGTGCTTAGCGTGTCGTGATATATTAAACTAGATTAGCACAGACACGCGCGTTATTTAGATAATTACTATATATTATATGAAAAAAAATATCTCGTACAAGCACTGGACTAAAATTCGTTGACAAGAAAATGGTATCTTTGTTATTGTCGAAACGCGTAACCTACGTGAATCAGCAACGAGGAACAGCGGCAATAATTAAAACTTCTTACGTGTCTTTTTTTAAAATGCAGAAGTTAAAAGTTGTCAAGTCACTACTATTATTAGTTTTTAAATTCTCAATAAGCTACAACCGTAGTTTTAAATCGATTCTAAATCGACATGTCGGTATTTCTATAAAAAAATGATCGTTCATTAGGGGAATCCAAAAAATAAACTTATGATATTTCAGAATTACATTTTATTTGATTTCATAATAGCACAATATAATTTTTACGAATTTGTATTTGCATTAGGTCCACGTCGACGGCCGAAAGTCTGAACGACATTCACGAACCTGCGGTTGTACTGGATGCGTCGTTTAGCACGGCCAGTTTTCTTCTTGCTCTTCTCTTGTTTTTCAACCTAATGTGATAATATGAAATTGGTAATGTAATTCCATTTGTACGTATGGTAATAAAGTCAAGAGGCAAATCCTTAATTAAATTATTCTTACCTTTGGTGTCTGTGCCTTTACTTTGCCGGCACGTGCCAAGGAACCGTGTACCTTTCCTAAGTAAAGGGAAAAGAAAGAACAAAATATCAATTTAATTCTTTTGTATAAAATTAAATATCCCTACTGCTTGTATCGCTTGTTCTTGAATAAAACACAATTTAAAACCTTTCTTTTCTCATGTACGTTTTATGACAAAAAATAAGAAACTAGATAATCATATTGAAATTCAAATTTATAGAAATATACATTACTAGAGTAAATATCTATACAAAACATTAAGATAATATATAATTAAGATTTTGATAACATTTTGTGAATATACTTTACACTGACTATCCAAATATCAATAGTTACATAAAATTACATGAGGCCCTCAAATTTTAATAATAAATGTGTATTAATTTACCTCCCAACAATGAAATAGTCAACTCTAATGTGTCAGATGAAAGTTCATTAACAGAAGTTTCATCGGTCAACAAAACTCCATTGCAATAAAGATTAAACTCCTTAATGTCCTGAAGGCATGTAATCCTTTCCTGCAAAAAATTACAGATATTTTTAATAAACCATAGATTCTCTGTTATCAGTGTAAACACAATATAATACTGTACAGAGTGAGGAAGCTAATTATAAAATTAATTTTGTGAGAAATTTATTCTAGAGCAAAAGCTAAGACACTTTTGTTCTATTAAAATTTCTACATTACTTTTGCATTAATGCTCGTTCTAGCATTATATAGTAAGCAAATGCCAGATTATCATTTTAATGCTGCAGTCTTGGCAATCATCATTCACATGTAGATACATATATTGAATTCAGCATTAACTCTTAAATGCACGAATTTTTTTTTATTATTGAATTTCTTTTTAGGTTCATAGATAGTCCCAGAAAATGAGAAAAATATTTAAAAAAATCTGAGGCATATGTTGAACATTGTCTCTGTGCCTTTAATCTCGACAAAGAGGAAAAATAAATATGTTGCAAATTTGCAACACAATGCATTTAAGGGTTAAGATAGAAAAGAAAATTATTTTAATACTCATCAATACCTTCAGTTGCTGTATCGTCTCATTATCCTGACAATCGACAACGGTCGTTTCCTGCCCGCGAATTGTTAGTTGCATGATGATGGTCTACAGAGTATACCGCCTATCAAAAGCTCTGTAACATATATAATTTTACATACTTTATAAGAATTGTCATTATGTGATATTAAAATTAGTTCGGTCGAATATGAGTGTCGCGTGATCCTATAGAGACCTCAGTCTAATTAGTGTACACACACGCACACACACAAAGACACCATGGAAGGTGCCATTAAATTCTTCTTTTTATTATTAACAACACAGGCGTAATCCATTTGTTTATACACATAATCAAAGTAAAGCTGTAGTGGGGACACAATAAATCTTTAGTGGGGACAAAATACTTTCTACGCAAACATATCGAGAAGAACGCAGCATGGCACGCAACGTGCTTATAGGTTACCCAAAAGGGACATACGCGAAACAGTCGTTTACAGATGAATTCTAATATAAAAAGATTAACACACTAATATATATATATATGTTAATCAAACGTTATAAGAATTAAATCACGCGTGATATGCACAATCGGTCTGCTGATGATTCGAGCTATTAAAAGTTACACTCACCTTCCAACGAGCGATCACTTCGCACAGAGAAAGACAGATTGAAGGAAACTTCCCATCACACTGTCTTCCACTTCTATACGCATGCGCAGCCGTACGTGGGTTATCACGTGATACTCGATCTATCTAGGTGCATTTAGCACTACACTGTTTATTGAACACTCAGTCAGTTCCTGCATCTGATTGGTGTATATTTTCAGATCTAAAAGAATGTACCAATCAGATATAAGAACTGACTGTGCGCTCAATGGACGAGTGTAGTATTATTGATTGCGTTCAGAAAACGCAACGGTTGAGTAATTTCTCAACGTAATTAGCCTAAATACAGGAGTCTAACGATAAAGACCAATAATCATTGACCGTTCACTGATCGCACTTTCTGTGCTTCCCGAACGCAGCAAGTGAACGTCGATAGCATGAAAAGGCATCTTAAGATATGAGAGAATCAACAAACTAGTCTTTCGTTTTCATCCTCGGGAAAGTTGTCTCGTCTCTCCCGCTGATTGTCCAATGTTTCATTTTTAATCTGGATGTTTGTGTACTGAGTTGGTATTGTAAATTAAAATGTCGGTCAGAGTAAATGCGAATAGTTCGCCATCCGTTGAATTAAGTTCCTATCGCGATCAACACTTCAAGGTTCGTTCTAGAAATTAACCTTAAAATAATTGAAAATTAACTATATCTAAGATTTATTCTCCTGTCGAGTCTGCTGAATATATAATTTTTTTTGTATATATATATATCACTACTTATTTTCTGTTATTTTTGTCTACAGGGCTCAAGGGCCGAACAAGACAGACTTTTAAGGAATTCTACAACTTTATACGTGGGCAATCTGTCCTTCTATACTACAGAAGAGCAAATATATGAATTGTTTTCAAAATGTGGAGACATCAGGCGTATTATAATGGGTCTCGATAAGTACAAGAAAACACCGTGTGGTTTCTGTTTTGTTGAATATTACCAAAGGGCAGATGCAGAAAGCTGTATGAGATATATCAATGGTACTCGATTAGATGACAGAATAATCAGAACAGATTGGGATGCTGGTTTTATAGAGGGTAGACAGTACGGTCGTGGCAAGACCGGAGGACAAGTACTTATATCTTGCATACAATTGATCCAAGTATGAGATAAAATGACAGTAAATAATTAATTCTTATTTTCGTAGGTGAGGGACGAGTATCGGTCAGATTTCGACAGTGGTAGAGGTGGTTACGGTAAAATAATACAACAGAAAGTAACATCACTCTCGGACGGTGGATTTGGTCGATGAGATTCTGAAATATTTAACAATATGTGTGAATGACTGTGCGCTGTCCATATACAAGTGTTCAATTTGTTTCATTAATTATTTATACGTTACACGATCACCTGGATTAATTAGTTTAGGTATAACTATGTTTAAATGATTAATTATATTAAATAGAGAAATAGTAAGGAAGGACTCTATGGTAAGCTGTTCCATTATAGCGTTTAATAAAGATAAATTTATATAAATATATATTATTTCTATAATGAGATGTGTGGAGATTCCAAAAATACACATATATATAACTTAGGTAATATTTGTAATCTTTGGTATATACACATTTTTTCAATCATAATATCCATACATATACACAAAATGCCCAAACATATTATTCTTGAGCAATAGGTTAACATTTTTTCTTAGTATAAATGTCGAGATGTAATGATAATTTTTAATCTTATTTTTAATTCTATGCAATACTAATTTAGAAATTAATTTTTTCGTCCTTTATATACTTCGTTTCTGCATGTAAAACAAAAGCTTAATAACAAAAGATTTTATAGAAATTCGTATTGTATAAGAGCATGCCATTAAAATACTATCAGTTTTCAAAATGCAATAATACTTATTGTTATATTAAATATAAGTTTTTTTTTTTCTTAAGTATCGTTCAGTCTTGAAATTGACACAGTATCACTGTTATTTTTTTCCGATAATTTCTGTTTAATTATGCTCATAAAATCTAGTGAATCGTTTTTGTTATCACTTGTAAAATTACTTCGAGTTCTCAGAGTCCTGTGGATGAATTTTGAAGATGTACATTTATCGTTGTTTTTAGACTTTCCTACTTTAGTTTTCTTATTGAATGTACCATTGACCGCGACTTTTTTGCAATTTTTTCCTCTATTAACATCGGAGATTTTCTTGTTTTCTGATGCATGAAATATTGCCCCATCGTTGATATCACTAACATTTACAAACCTTCTTGTCTCCTCATCTTCTTCAATTTTTTCCACAGCTTCCTTAGATACTTCATTTACATTTTCTTGAGTACATACTTCTCTATTGACAGTTACATCATCATCTTCATTATTCCTTTCGTGATGAAATATCTCTAAAAATTCCATCGTATGAATTGCCGCGATATCTTCCTCCGATGTATCTCGGCAAAGTGTATTCTTATTGACGACTCTGCCACCGTGCAAGAAAGTTGAAATATTCTTTCGTCGCCACATTTTGGAGGTACTGGGCACAGCCTGTTTGCATTTTCCCTCAAAGTGGAATTCCTTTGTATCTATATCGGTGATCTCACCCTTGAGAAAATGCAGATACTTCTTTAATCCTGTATAGAAATGTAGCTTGTCCACCATTCTGGGAAAATGGGCGCATCGCGCGCTACTCGACGGTGTCACCCAAATCGCGGTGTCGCCGATACGTTCGGGTTGTAAGCCAAAGTGAAATGTGGATTTGCTCGAGATATTTGCAAATACTTCGTAGATGCATTTACCATTGAACACCGCGATTTTAGGCTTGTACAGTGTCAGCTTTTCTTCCACCACCTTCGCACCCTCCTTGATTTCCGTTCGCTTGAGATCCGACGCTGACCTGGTGGCACGAGTAACGATATTCGTCAAGCCAATACCGTATTGCAAGAGCTTGTAGTCTTCTTCGAAGCTGACAAATCTTGGTGTCAGGCCAGATTCATGCAGGAGCTTGTAAAAGTGATTACCAGGACCGGCGTAATATCTACCACGATGCGCCGCCATCAAACTTGGATTGATCCCAACAACAACTATATCCAGATTCATCGCCAAATAATCTTCCAACGTGTGCTTCTGCACTTCTTCCTCTGACAGTCCATCGAATCTGTCTATTTTCTTCTTAGATCGCTCGACGACCGACAGGCGTGTTCTTCTCTTGAGCTTATTTAAATCCAGCGGCATCATCGCGTCGGTGTAGCTACGTGAAAACATACACGAGATTCGATCTACGAATTTTCGCATATTCTTAAAAATCATAACAAAATAATCATATTAGGTTAGAAAAGGTTAACTTATCGAATAAGAAAGTTGAAAGTAAACTTACGCAAATCCAAAGGAAAATTTACAATTGAAATAATCGCCATCAACTTTGATATAATTTTTTCACTTAGAATTCTCGATTGTCCTATAAAATGAAAAAAACACGTAATTTCACAGCGTAAACAAAACCTCGACAGAGGTTACTATTTCTAGGGATTCTGTGTAACGACATCCATTTCTAGAAAGCACATTTCCCCTATTGGGACTGCGTTCCGTTTTGACGCTTATGCGCTGTTTCATTTTAACTTCCTTTGATATATAATGAACAATAAAGATAGAATGACGCTTACAGAAAATTGAAACTGAAAATTGAAAATTCAAACTGAACGCAATATCGATATTGTATATCGAATATATATATATATATATATATATATATATATTTATTTTATTTTATTTTATTATATATATATATATGATAAAATTAAAAAATAATAAATAATAAAAATTTTGCAACGTGAAATTACGTGTGTGTGTATATATATATATAGAGAGAGAGAGAGACATGCACACAACACGTATATAATTTCACGTTGTAAAATTTTTACTTATCGTGAGTTCACATTAGAGGAAAAGATTCATGATTGACTTCCAATAAAATCCATGATTGGGACTGCTAATAAAATCCCCTCTTTTTCCAGCACGAAGAGGTCATCCCTACTTCCTTCTCAGCTCATAAACCATCTCTTCGAATGATGCTATGTCATGCTATATTGAAGGTCGTTCTCTCAGTGAACCTGCCAAATCCAGTTTGTAAAGTTAAGCCACTTATTTCTGAGTCCTCACCGCTTATGACTCAAGAAGGAGCTCCACAATCCTCTCCTAAAATGGATCAGATGATGGAAGACAGGGCAAGAATCAGTGATGTAAATTCTTCTGCAGCTGAAGAAAAATTAGAACTCATATCAAAAGATTGCTCTATAAAATTGACGAGAGCAACGACTCTTCACAATAGAGATGTATCGCCTGATAAAATCCCAAACGTGTTACCGATAACGGACAGCTTGCACTCGAATGTTCCTGATGTCTCCATTATTGAATTTCCTCTATTAAAATCAACGGAATTGGCCGTTGCAAGGACAGGTGATTCGGGATGGTATCCCTTCAAAGGAAAGAGAAATTTTCAAGGAGATAATACAAAAAAATATCTGGATTTTCTAACAGCTGCCGTAGAATCTCCATCTGAGGTTGAGACATTTTTCTATAAAGCTGCAAAGATGCACAGCCAAATTGGCTGCTTTAAAACCGTGAAATTGTGGAGAAGACTCTTTCCCGTTCTTAAATTCTGCATCAAGAAAGAGATGCACGATATAATGGCGGACCTTGCTGAATATCTTCTAAATGATCCAGACCTTGTAAATCCGTATTTAACTGGATTCATCCGTATACAATCCCACGTCGGTGAGCTAACATCATCTTTCAAAAGTTTAAAATGTCGTATTACACAATTATCCAGTCAGGTTCAGACTCTGATAGAAATAATCGAGAATAATCAGGACAAGATGTTGAAATTTCATGCAAATTTACTTTCAAATATCAAACATATTCACCAGTGTTACAACATGCCAGAACCAGATGAACACTCATCTTGACTATACTGATATATTTGTACCTGCAGTGGAATTCGTCGATTTTCGTATCGGTGAATATATTGGACTCTACAGTTTCAAAACTCAAGATGGCACATTGACTCATTTAGTGGGTCCGACAGAACATTTTTATCTATCTGCGTTAATAACTCATTCAACCTTTACTCAAGAGACTTTTATTAATCTGGATCAAGAGATAGATCTTAATAAAAAAATTAAAAAAGCATTCTTCACTTATAGATGCGTTTGATATAAAACTAAGTTCAATATCGCGCCAATATCATGGGAGAGTTGTGCCATGGAGTTAAGAATCGATGTAAACAATGGAAAAAAGTAGCTTGACGATAAGAACATAGCGGGTCTGTACGGTTCGGTCGAGATTTGTGATTTTTATAAGACCGTACATGAACTTCAAAGACTGAAAGTGTTTATGTTTTTTTAGTTTATTGCATTAATCATTATTGTATTAATAATGTACTTTTGAGTTGATTAGATCTATCGAGAAAAGTTTTTTTAACATAATTGACACAGTTGTTCATAATTGACACAGTTTATTTCAATAGCATAAGAGCGTGTTTATAAACTTGTAAAAAAAATGAAATTCACCGTGACGATTCGAATACTGTGTGAATTGAACTGTATTTCGTTGAATAAAGTTCCAGTGCATGCGAAAGAGTGGAATCGTTTCCTTGGGAACCGACAAACATATCAGAAAATTAGTCCTTGCGTACGGTTCTTACTGAGAATACGTTCTTTGCCTAATCTGATCCATCTAAAAATCCATACGTTGTTAGGTAAAAATTTGTGAACCTCGGTGATGGCGAAAACAATAAATTCAATTTGTCTCTCGACGGTAAAATCATCTCCCCACAAATATACGATAGACGAGTGGCAACGCCACCATCAGCATAGGTATCAACAATTATATTGTCGTAGCTCTATTAAACATTAAAAAATAGAAACAACAGATTAATCAAGCATTCTATAATTTATAAAAAAATGTGGTTGTTAAGTTTGGCATATAAATTGTCTTAACGGAACCGTTATTTTTCTTAAAATATTCCTTGTGTATTTCGGAATAAATAAAATTTGTATACCACATTGAAACTTTATCCCAGCGAGAATGAATCATCGGATCTACTCCGTATCGGTGTCTAAACAATTGAAATTACATCGAACTGACGTCGATTCAATTTCGACACAATGTTCATTTTTCGCTGGAACTTCACTTGACAATAATTTGAAGAGTATCGCTCTATTTCAAAGATGTAATTACATTTCCGATAAATCAGACACAGATGGGATAAAGCACGACAGGAACAAGCAGGTAGGATTTTAATCGAGTCACAGCGCATGTGCGAATCCGTCGCGGGAATTGTGAAGAGCAACAAGGAGGAGACCGATCATCAGTTGAAGGAAAAACTCAACGACATCGAATTTCGAAGAGAGGAACTGCTACGAATCAGGAAGGATGTTGTTTCGGAAATTGACGGGCTGTCGATTTATAGACAACGAATTATGAAAACTCAAATGTCCGTAGGAAGAAATTCGCTCGCAATTTGCCAGAAATGTCTCAATGCTAGGTTCGTCAATTTGATTGTTCAATATTTATTTCTTCACTCTTCAATTTCTCCAGAATTTAAGGCTTCAGTGTACTCGCTGCTCCTTGTTTTATGACGTCAGATGCAAGGAAATCCATGCCCAGAATCCTTGTAATATACATTTAAATAAAAAGATATATCCACAAAATGACATTTGTGATTGATTCAGTGCACTTGTAAAATATTCCGGATACTTTTCTTTTGCTCGAACAATCGATAAGTAGCTATAAAATTAATGTGACAAAATCATGAGAACAGTTGGGTTAGAAAGTAAGGTGGCATGTCGTGCTAATTTTACGATTATTTATTGATTGTTAAAACAAAAGGAAAGTTTCCATGGGATTTCACAAATACTAAATCGATCGCAAATATCATTTCGTGGGTACATCTTTTTATTTAAACGTATACCGCGAGAATCCTGAGCTCACGTTTAGCACACGAACATTGAATCGATATTTTAGAAACGTTGCGCATTACAGCATTAAAAATGAAAACTTTACATTGAAATGTGAAGTCAATATATCCAACAGATGTCCTGTGGACGTCTTTAAGACACAGGAGCATCTTTAGGATATCCCTCGGAGGTCTGTGCATGGAAAAAAGATATTGCAGAGATATCTAATGTCCGTCAAATTGCAATGTCCTGCAGACGTTGTGATTCAACATTCAGAAAATATTGTTCAATATAGAAGAGGCAATTCTGACTGCTTGTTGGCATCACGAAAGCTATTTTACATTCCGTACGTTTTTTTTTCGCGTCTTTGCGTGGATTTGATTTCGAACGGCGGCCAGCTGATCATCCACCCGTTCCTAATCGCAGTCGCCGTTACTTGACTTCGATGATCGATGGACGGCAAGTGAGTTCAACAGCTACAACAATATCCTTGATTTCTGCTTGGGTGATGTATACTTATATTATTCCTTATATATATTTTTTATATTGTGACAAAAAAATGTTCCTGTGCTATACAAGGTGTCTCGGAATAACCGCGTGCGGAGTGTAGCCGTAGATTCTTGCTACCACACGAAGTCATTTTTTGTTTATCAAAATTTCGTTCAAATAACGGTTAAATGAGAGCTATTTAAAGTTGTCAGATTAGCGTACTAAAATGGACTGTGTTTCGATAATCATTGTCGGCATTGAAAATCTATAGGTTCTTTGAAATCACTATAGGTTATTTTAAAATCACTTTTCTTTACCGATCTGACTGAAAGAACGACTACAAATAAATATGCTTAGACGATAAGTAAATAATTTTTTGTACGAAGTGTTGCTCCAACGTTTTAAAAATACCTGTGGTCCTGACTCAGATACGAATACACATCGAGACAGCTTTTAATTTTAATTCTCTGTATTAAATTGTTACAGAGAACGCAGGTTAAATATTGATTTAGTTCGCGACGACGTCGAGAGGGAATTGTTGAAGGAACGAGAGATGATTAAAGAAGCGGAAAATTTATTGGGGCGAGTTGTGGGGGAAATTTGTGAAAAAATTCGCAAATTGAAGGCGACATTGTATCACATCGATAACGACCAAGAAAATAAAGAATGCAATTTACAAATTGATCGTCGTAATGTGGCTTTGAAGAATACTGATTTCAATTTAAATACTTGTCAGAGCATTTTATATCCTAATAAACCGTAAGTAACGTAATTTATAATATCACTCATCACGCACAAAAATTTAGAAATATTTACTATCTGTCCAACATTACTGTTTTCTGTCGGAAAATAATTTAAAGTTTTCTTCTTCGTGACAGCGATATTAGATAATATTGGAATAGAAAATTATACAAATTATTCCCTCTTACATTGCATGCTGATATGTGTTCCTAGTGTTCTGTGCTATATGTGCATAAAATGATAAAGAAAAAATACATCAAAAGCACCTATTATTCTTTTCTCTGACAAGTGAATAGATTATTTAGAAATTGTTTAACAAATTGTCGCTGACATAGGGTGACAATAGATGAATGGGAACAGCAAACGAACAACAACGTTATTGAAGCAAATAAAGAAGTGAATAGCTCAAAGCAATTACGATCCTACATCGATACAATAATTAAACAAACAATCGACGGCCTGAATGAACAAAAAGATGCCACGAACAAAGCTTTCACGCATCGTAACGAGCAAACTCAAGAAGCCAAAAAGAAACTAGAACTCCGGCACTCGGAGGTTCGTAAAATTGAACAGTTTAATTTTACGTTGCGCGTGAAATTTCCGTTCTCCAGCTTGTTCGTTCTATTTTATTATTCTGTTAATCGACATGATTTACCATAACCATTCAATAAGCGTTATATCGATCTTTTCGTAGACAGTAAAACAAATTGCTGCTATGACGGACAATATCGCGCAAATAAAAAATTCTATATCCGATAAGGAGGGCTATATAGCTCTTGTTAAGGAGAGACTAGGATCCCGATGTCAACGCCCGGAGGCGGAAGTTACTCGAGACTTAACCGAGGCTAATCTCGTGAAAGAATTATACGTTTTACGGAACATCGTGGCGAATTTGCAACAAATGCTTTGCGAAGTACGTATGTAAATTTGATATAAATTTCCACGTGGACTCAAACAGTTTTGTCACTGATATTGAAAGCTATATTAAAAATCGAAAAGTTACTGTAACCAATAACTTTCCTCAATTTTTCTAAGAGAAAACAGATAGACGTCGATATCAAGATTTGTAAAAAGTTGAAAGAAAATTGAAAATAGAAAATAGTAGAAAATAGTAGAATATTTTCACAATTATGGGGTATAAGTTTTATATAGTATTCACTGAACAAATATATATTACAGGCAGAGACATCGCTGCGTTATTTGTTCAAGATGCAGGTTCAACTCGAAGAAGACATTAACGTGAAGACGAACACTTTGCAAATTGATGACGTCGAATGCATGATTTTGCGTACAGCCATGGACTATCGCGCGCACTAAAGTGTCAGTATAAATTTAATTATCTTTCCTGTTACGTTCCGTTAAAAAAATACTTTATACATAATCATATATAAATAGCTATATATAACTATACAAAATTATACACGAAATATGTCCGTACATAATTAGATATGATTACATATAATTAACTGACTATTGTATTTTTTGATGCTTTAAAAATGTTTTGGTCTTTACATTGAGACTTAAAAAAAGGCTTGCTGAGATGTTCCAGTATGCATAGAGGAAAAAGATTGTCACTTTACGTCCTTCCGTTATTTCGATCTCGACTAGCGGCCGCTCGTTGTTGCTTGGTTTTTGATGATCGGACGGCTAGCATTACTTTCAGTAGCCTTGACGATATCCTTGTAATAACTTTATATAATATGTCCTTATATGTGCTTGCGAAATATGACATTTACGAGTATATTTACGAGCATACATTCAAAGCAACTTAATAATAATAATAATAAATAGATGAAAGTACATCGAATATTGATATAATGTATATTGTTGTGTCAGAGACATGTCGTGATTGCTTTTGGATTTTACCAAAGTATTATAATGTGTTATAAATGTTATAGTGTTAATCCAAACAATAAATTTTGTTGGAAACAAATTCAAATAAATTTAAGTCAAACAAACAGGAATATTAAATTTAAAAAAAGCTTCTTCTCTGTGCAGGTCTTATGCCGACATAAGTATTTTTAGGAAATATTTGAAACTTCCCAGTAAAATATTTTTTAATATAATCATATATTTTATTATAATTTTTTAAAAATAATCATATATCGATGTAAGAATTTATGTATAATTACACATAATTATATATATATTATTATATATGAAAAATTTCTCAACAGAGTTGGATGAAAGAAATTTAATATTAAATTTTAGTCATAATTATGTCCAGATAAAGATTGTAAAATATACGATTTACATGCAATTACACGTATATTCTCTATCTTACATTTGTGTTCAATGTCCGGCACGGTTAAATAGAACGCGACGATTTATACGCTCACATATGGTAATTACAATGAAATGACTTATCATTAGCGCTTTTTGCGTTACTTCTTGCAAAATGACGAGCTGGCGCGACTGCAACGGCGCGCAGCCCGTACGACGAACTGAAATCGCAAAAACAGCGGCGGCAGAAAAACGAACGAAAGACAGTTCTCGAGAACCTGTACACGCACTGTCTTCTCGAGAAAGGAGGGAGGCCGCTTTCTTGACCGGCTTTAGCCGACTTGCCGTTGCTGTTTCAGTCCGCCCACTAACAGGAATCGAATCACAGTATCAGCCGGTGGATGCGCACGGTGCACTTGTTCCACTGACTGCGGAAGCTCGCGTTTCTTCACGGGATTTTCTCCTACTTTCTGCCGGGCCGTGAACACGTAAGGACCCGCGACGTAGACATCTGATGGCGTTGTTCTCCTCCGCGAGAATCTGACAATATCACGCGGTAATGTGCGACGTGAATCTGCAAAATGTGAGTTCTGCGACTGTGAGTTACGTTTCTAAACAATCAATGATTCGGGACACACACACACACGCATACAAGAGATAGGAAAATGAAGTTATAATGAAGTTATGAATTCGCAGTTAATTGCAAATAATTCGGGATCTTTCCTTCCTTTCTCGAGATCTACTTTACCGAAGTTTACTTTGGAGGAGGAACTAATTGGGATCGCGAAACTTGTCATTATTCTTAAGGCGGGATACATACCAATCGAGCACTTCCGTAACGTCAAGAGGCAAATCTCCAATCGCCACTGTTTTTTCATGCCCTGCAATTCGATTTATATCCAAAAAAAGAACGTTGACAATGACACAGTGGAAAAACACAGTTTCCAACACGCGTACTTTTTCGTCTCGTTTTATCAACCATGATTCCCCAGTAAGTAAAGAATTTAAATCAACGCATTGAATCAGCATCTTAAAATGTGTTGATCTTACCTCTTGAACGTTTAAATTTTCAAATATTCAAAAAATATTTCGAAAGCATTACCAAACACGAATCCTCTTGAATACTGTAAAAATGTTTCAAAGATATCGAAGTGCCGAAGTTACTCGTAATAATGTCGATGCAACGTTAAAATGTTACGTATTAAGAAAATTGCAAGCTATTAAATACTGATGCAGCAATGTTCTGCCAAGAATTTCTTGCTCCCTCTCGATCTATAAAATAATTCAAAGAATTCGTATGAATTAATGAATACCGTTTATCGAATTACCAATGCGCCTTACGACTCGTCGACACAGTTCGAATATGTGTTCTTACATGTGTTAACTTCGGTCATCTAATAACGTTAATAACGAAATAATAATCTCATCTCGGTAACTCCGAAAAAAGAACCTCGAATGTGCAATCGAAAAGACCACGAGTCTTATATTCGGTCTGATAGAAATGTAAATGCCCATTCGCGAACATAAATCCTGTTTTCTTAAATCCTGTTCTTTGTTTTTTTGTTCCTTTTGCAAAGCTAGCAGCCGACTCGATAGTGTGTGCGTGTATGTGTGTGTGTGTATTATAAAGATGCGGATAGGAAGGGGACGGTCAGTAAGTGTTACGTCCGAGCATTGGTTCAAAGGTATAATTCCGAGTTGTTATAAACAACTCGTGTGCCGGTGTTGATGCACACAGAAAGTCGTGTCCAAATCGCTAAGTGTATACACTGTCTTTAATCCGTGCTGTAGTACATTGTAACTACGTAAAAATGTCGGACACTATATCGAAAATACCAGTTAACAGCGGCAACGGGATTAACATCGCACAGATAGCCGATAAAAATCGCGTAAGTACTTTCCAAAATCATATTTGTATCTGCAATAGTATGGGTTAAAAATTATCCACGAATAATATTTCGCGAGTGATATTTTTGCGGGCGCGAGACTCGTCTGCGAACAAACTATTTAACAGTTTCGAAATCACAACAATACTGTAATCTCTGCGATTCTTGCTGTTTCAATATCCGATTTAATAATATAAGAGATTTTTGCATGGAATATGCAAATATCTCTTACGTAATATACAAAAAAAATAGATCACGACTTTAACAGTCAGTCGTCGGTAACTGTGCATATAATTACCGGCTTCAAGTGAGAATCGCCCCGCAAGCAGGTCTTTAAACTACAACTCAAAGGCAATTTACATTTTTGCATACAAAAAAAAAGTCATTTCTTGGAACGTAAATAAAAAACAAATGACGATTAACGCGCGACTTGTTTACTCGTGAACTTTTCTATTGTGATTTGTGAACTGTGGAATCTTCCCAGTAAGCAGGAAACGTTAAATCACTTTTTAGAAACGTTGATTTTATATGAATTTTATAAACATTTTGAGATGATATTTTATCAATGTTTCGAACTGTTACTTGATAATATATAATGTTCCTAAATATTAAAATTATAGTGTAGGAATATTATTTTTAATGTTTGGGTCAGATGTTGTTGTACACAATGACGTTGTATACAATATTAAGAACTATTTGAAAACAACATCAATAAAATATCATTGCAATAATGTTGTGTTAATGATTTCTTGCTTACCGGGTCAGAAGGATACTTTATCCCCGCATATTGGCGGATGTATGAACAATACGTTGGATTTTGATTGATTAAATTAATAATTTACTTGCGGCGTAGAGAAAAGATTAGCATCGGACGCTCGGGGTCGTACCCCTTGTCAGTGAAAGTTCGTTGTTGCGTAATAACTTTCGCATATTCCGAAGCATGATTTCCGGTCTTGTAAAAACTCATTTCTCATTTTGTGAAAGTCTTTATAAAATGACTTTATATCCATACGTAATTTTATATCAGCTGAGTATATCACTTCACTTGGCAAGACGAATCTACAATTGCCATTGTTTAATAAAAAAAAAGTGTCTCATATATTTTTAACCGTTTGCACTCGAGGGCTCCGGAGCGGAGCCATTTAAAATTTGGCTCCAAACTCTTCAAACTCAAATGCAAATAGCAAGAGCGGAATATCCTATACACAATAGTTTTTACGATTTGTCTTTGTCCTTATTGTCCTTTATGAACTGAAAGTTATTTGCATTGTCTCCATAGCGGAGCCATCGAGTTTGAAGACAAATTTTAAATGGCTCCGCTCCGGAGCCCTCGAGTGCAAAGGGTTAATAGATAGAAGTGATTTTATAGTAAATCGCGCGTTATACTTACATATAATTTATTTTTCGCTGAATCATCGAATGAATTGAAATTGAGTGGCTAATCACGATGCGAAATTGTATGCAGTATCGCGTCACATGACCCCGTATAAATTAAACAGCGCGCTGATGGCTCAAGTTATATTTGAAGCGATCAAACAAAAGAAGCTTCGATTCAATGCGAGTGTAGGTTAAGTGTAGGTAAAGATGTAGGTTAACTTAGTAATTTAACAAATTTAACAAATAAGACGGCGGTGTTTTAATAAACGCGCGCACATAATGAAGCAGTTCAAACACACTCGTAATGCGTGTGTGTTCTTAGGGCATCAGCGAAGTGACTGACTTATCAATTCAAGACAATGGCCCGTATTCTGAACTCTCTTTTATCGATAAAGGTGTCTTAAATGCGGCTCTTCAATCAATCAGGTGGTTTCTAAACCATTTTTAGAAACTTCTAGCAATAAAACTTCCATTAATAAAAGAGAATTCAGGGTCAACGTTTTATATCTCAAGTCTTTGTCTTTAAGTAACGCACAATGACTGTTTCGTGCCTTGAATTTCAGACCACTTAAATTTCAAAAAGCCGTTCCGCTTGTAATTAACGACAAACCGCTGTATGATAAAAAGGAAATAAAGAACAAAAAAGATAATTTAGACAAAGATCGAAGACATTGTCTTAAAAGTGCAAGTCAGCCGTTTTCTGCTAAAGCTCTCTCACACACGTTCGACCCGAAGATAATTAAGCCCCGGCTGTCGGTCGATACAATTTTGCATTTGCAAAAATAGCATCTGCGGATAGACATTTTCGTTAAAAGACTACCGCTTCTCATCAAAAGATAGCAGCATCGTCGTATATACTATTGATCGCAATGGAAGTGCGGTGAATCGACCTCAGGAACGATATTAAAACCATCACCGGCAATTCATTGCGCCGTACGAAGGAACCGACTGGCATCTTCAAGCCGTCGTTAGAAGGCGGAACACCGACAAAGCCGCCAGATTCGCTCGTGAATTCCTTCGCACGAAAGTGCGAAAAGCTCACCCCTCACCCCTCACCCTCGCGTCTTCCGCGCACGCGGAGGGATGCCGATCGTCGAGCGCATCGGTCGCGGAATGTCGCGGGCGCCATTAATTTTGGTTATGGCAATTCGAGCGTAACGCACTGCAACGACAACGAGCACGCGATTCCGCAGGATCTTGCAAAAATGCGTGTTGGCGCCGTTTAAGACGCATGTCACGTGGAGTCACAGTACTGCTTTTGTCGTAAGTAGTTTTTTGCTGATATCTGATAAACGTCTGATGAGCGCGCACGAACGATCACACGTCTGTTCTTGAACTCTATTTTTTTCCTCATCGGTTGACAACAGAAACACGTAGCTGCGTTCTCCGATATTCACTGCTCAATACTGAAAATCAATGCGTAACATAGGCTACACATTTTTAGCACAGGCAGTGAATTTTGAAAGCAAACCTTTGTCACTGCGTGCATCTCGATATCCCAAATCCTGTCCATCGGCCGGTATTCGTATAATCGCATCTTACATATAATATTTAATACCGTCTCAGGTTCATCTTCAAGTGTTTCGTGACCAATGAAATAAGCGTCTGAAGGTAAACTTAAGACTGTCTTAAATATAAGACTCGATTATAAACACCGGTTATTGGCAGGACCATCGTCTCTCTCTCTCTCTCTGACACCTGGCTGCCTGCTTGCGCGCAAGGAGCGCGTCTCCCTAGTGTGTGGAAGTGTGCGCTAAATAGAAGAGAGACCGAATCATTAGAAAGCAGTCTCGATTAGACTAGAAACCGTACCGCAGGTTGCTCCGGTTACCCGGTGACTGGAAAACCTCAAACAGGAAATGTACGACGTTCCACATCTGGAGTAAAGAGAGCTAAAGATGCGTTGTCTCGCACGGTTACTTTTACCGTAACGTCCTCCGCGTCGTTCATTTGTCAAACATTCCCCGGCCATTCGAAACGAAGAATTCGCTTGCATATCCGTGTGGGAAACTGCAGTCTTATCTATTCGAGAGATCCAAAGGTGACAAAGTACCTTTCACTCGTGTGTACAGTCGGTATCGTCATTCCCGAGGACCGTCGTCGGGCGACTCATCATCACCGTGTCCTGGTAGTCTCATTTCGCCGTCTCTCTCCCCGGCCGACCTCCGACAACTTCCTCGTATTTCTCATTGCAGGACGTCGAACGTGGTGAGGTTTACTCCGCGGTAGAAGTCTCGAACCACCACCACTTGCAAGCGGCAGCGTCGGCGGCGTCGGCGTCGACGCCAACACCGGTCCCGCCGGAGTTGGTGTCCGTGACGACGCCGACGTCGCTGCACGCATCTTCCACCGGCAACAAATATGACGCGAGAACAACGACTGCTGGAGGGGGGCACGAAGTGAATGTGCCAGCGGATACTCAGGATCTGCAGAGTGCTACACGTGCGCCGAACTCCGCAACGATCGTAAGGCCGGAGAAGAATCGGTCCGCGAATAGTAGAGGGAACCGTTGGAAAGCGGTCGGCCGTGTGCTTGGTAGGCTCACGCTCATCATGCTGTCGCTGGCCGCCCTCGCCGGTGCTCTGGCCACGCTCGTCATCTACATGGGGCCGATCTACCTGGTGCAACTGCTCGTGGTGGTCTCGGTCGCATACTTCGTCGCCGGTGGCCGGCTGAGATGGTTCTACATCGCCTTCAGGACATTACCGCGTGATTTCAAGTAAGCAAGCTTTCATGTGTCGCACGTCGTCTCGTCGGTGTGCTTGTATCACACTTCGCGAAGATCGGGCCCGCTGAAGCGAGCTGAAACGCGTCTCTGGGGTTCTGGTTGGTGGACGGTGTCTCTTTTGTATGGACTCGGTCTTAAGTCTGAAGTACTCGAGAAAGTTACGGGGAAAAGTTGTCGCTATAAAACGCAATAAAACACACACACACGCGCGCATGCATGAACGCACGCACGCACTACGCACATACACACACACGGAGGAATCTTTTCCTTGAGAATTAATAGGAGAACCGGTTATATAAATGTCGGTTTATACAACTTGTGTTGATTGATTATCTAATTGTGCAATCTTTATTGATGTATCGACACGTTACGCCAATTGAATCTACTAATATAGGTAAGAAAATAAATATGGAAAAATAAGTAGTAATATTAATATAGAAGAAATCGGCAATCATTTCTGCATTGGTCGATGCTTGAAATGGAAATAACATAATGGCCGCGTAATTGTTGCGGTTTTGAGGTTTTCTTTGGATTTCTTTCATGCTACTAAAAAACAATCTCTATCGTCAATCTCTATTAAACTGACATGACAGTAATATATTATAAAAAAAAATAATATCACTTCCTCGATGTAGATGGCATTTCTTCACTATTTCCATCTTCTGCTCTTAACTTTTTTGGATATATGATACTATCCGCGGTATTTGTAACCTCTTCCTAACGGAACATATAAATTATGTAGATTCTGAGAATATTCTGAAAATATTTCGATGGTTTGATGAACGAGGGCGAAAGGGGATGGTGTTTATTAAAGCAAATGGACAATATTGAATTGAGAATGCGCGATGTCGCTTTCCCCGTCGCCTCTTTTTCCTATTTGCCATTTTTTACCATTTGCTATTTTTACCATTTGCTTCTTACGAGTTGATAAAATTTCTTATTTAGCAAGAGTATTGATTGATAATTTATACAATATTACGCCTGACTTAGAACTTACATAACAGATTCTTAAATCAGTTTTTATATCATCTGCGTCATAATGGAATTATTTTGTTTACGGGGATCCAGGAAATATGCAATGGTACACGACAGTGTATTTGGAAGGATTGAATACCGACCCCGCCGTATTAAAATTCGCGCTACACGTTATGACTTTTGATATTTGATTTCGACAGGTTCATTGCTTACTTTATACATTACGTTTCATAAGTCAATGTTATATTTACAACGATATTTGAATTTCGACTTGGAAATTCGCGTCAATATCGTTGGCATTTTCCATATGTGAAAGAAAACGTAATATTCGAAAAAAAAAAAGTTTCGTCATTGATAACTTTATATCGGTTAATCAACAACTTTTTGCTGTTTTTGGAAATGTGCGCATTCATTGCTATTATAGTGTAATTACGATATGACACGAAGTCCAATTTTTTGTAGATTTTGTTAAACATAAAATAAGGAATATAGATAGGTATATAGATACCTAGTCGTATCTGTCCGTGAAGATGCTAACGGCACAACCTGCGTTGTAATCGGAAGACTTACAGAATGCGAACAAAAACAATACTGTCACAGTATTGTTACGGGATATTGCAAAAAGTGAAAGCAATTATCATTGCTTCGTACGGAGAAAAGTACGAAATTAGCATTTTTTATATTTGATCAGTAAAATTTATGCATTTGTTATTAAAAATATAAAAAAACGATATCCATAGAGCTCTTTTAAATCAACCAATCAATGTCCAAGAGCTCTCTTGAATCAATCAATGTCAATCAATGAGGATAATTGACATTATAACGGTTGAGGCACCTTTTATCGCGAAATTGCTCAAATTAAAAAGGAGGAGGTTTTTCCTTTTCGAAATTAATGTGTGTGCGAGGAGATAACTTGTAATCAGGGACCCGGACCGAATGAAAATATCGGTCCGGTTTCGGTTCCGGTCCATTAAAATATTTAATGAAGGTTCCAGTTTCGATTTCGGTTTTCTGAACAATGAAAGTACCAGTAAATCGTTTAAATTATGGTTTTTTTTCGATTCCGGTTCTTTAANATATATATATATATATATATATATAATAATTCAGGTCTGGTCTGGGTCCCTGCTTATAATAAATAAAACTCGAACTTAAAAAATTCTTCCTTTTTTTTCAGAGGAGCTGTAGGATATATTAAATTGCTATGGTTGATACGTGGTCATCAGAAAAAAAACAGAAACGTCGCTGATGTATTTAAGCAGCATGTCGATCGTCATCCTAACAAAGTCTGCTTCATATTTGAAGATCAGGAATGGACCTTTCAACAGGTAAAATTGTTTTTTACTTTTCTAAAAATTTGTATTGCTTGCGAAATGCTTTTCAAAACAAGTCATAATTTTTTGCAGACTGTTTTTATTGTGTGTGAAATTACAAGATGTTCTCATTGAGCAATGTCGAAAACTTGATTTTGGAGATTATTAAAATTCAGAATTATTAAAAATGAAATAAAATGTTTCTAAAAATTGATCACAAAGCAGTAGAGAACAAACACGTCATTTTCCAACATTTGCAAGCCCATTTGTTTTGCAATGCACTTTGTTTAACGTCTTGTAAGTTTGTTTATATCCTCGACAAAAAATGTTCTCGGTTAATCTGAAAGTTATTTGTATATCGCTTCTTTACATGTTATTCGTAGCAAAACGCTTCAGAATTTGAATTTCGAAGTATTGAATCATTGACTTCGCTCCGTCAGATTATCATTTATTTGAAATCTTCAAAGATAAGAAATGCGAGGTTATCGTGTTGTTACGGATCAACGAATGAGAGAAGCAATTGGTTTGCAGACCAACCGAAAACATATTTTCCGGACATAAATAAATTTTCAGAACGCTGGACCAAGTGCATCTCAAAGCAGGGGACTATATTGAAAAATTTTGCATTTATAAGTTCCTTACTGTTTTATAATAAATTTCTAGAAACACATTGCGGATAATTATTGATCTTGTCCTCGTATAATTTCATTCTTTCTTTAGTTTTATTCTGAGATTCAAGAAAAGGATTTTTTTACACTTTAGTCATACTCCGTCACCCACACTTTCGATATCACACTTAATTAATGAAATTTCCCCTTATCTATATTTTCTATATCACATGTCCTTATTACTTTACACCCGCTCGTCCGCATAAATAATTAGTGACGTTTTGTACTGTGATGTTTTGTACGGTTTGTAATATGTGTTAATGATAAGCATGTTGACGTCAACGTTTTATATGATTTAAAATTTGCAAGTTTAATAAAATGAATTAATTTTTCACTGTGATTTTCCGTTTAATCTAATTTATTGAGATGCCAATAATATTTATCTCCCTGTCCTTGATACATAATAATGCTTATTATTTATAAATATATACTGCAGTTTATATTTGTTATTCCATTAATTTATAGGTGGAGGATTTTAGTAACAAAATTGCGACGATATTCAAAATGCACGGTTATAAGAAAGGAGATGCGGTTGCATTATTCTTGGAAAACCGGCCGGAATTTATCGGTATATGGCTAGGTTTGAGCAAACTTGGCGTGATAACGCCTTTAATTAACACCAATCTACGTAAAAACAGCCTTCTGCACAGCATCAACGTTGCGAAATGTCAGGCGTTCATATATGGTGCGGAATTATTCGACGGTAAGAGTAATGATTAATTTTTAGCTAATGATTCTTCACAACGTGCTTAAATATAGCCATACAGAGTGTTCCTAAAGCCATTGGCCTAGCTTTAGCGGCATATTTTTTATAATCATAACTTTACAGATACTCTACTAATCGTACTGATGAAAAACATGCCGTAGGAATGTAAATGCGTGAGTACTTTTTTTTTTAATCCTTTAGAGTCGCACATTTTATTGTTATTTATTAGTCAAAAGTTTCTCAATTATATGCTCGTTTACATATGTTACTTACTGTGCTGCCTACTCCAGCAATCCTATTCCTAAAAAAAGTAATACACTTGACTACTTGAAACAACCTATCCAGATACTGAAATTTCGTGAATTGACAACTTTTTCTTTAATTCGGAAAGAATGCACTTATGTTTGCGTTGGATGCGGATTTATGTTTTGCGCGATGCTTTTTCATAAGTACGATTGGCAAACCGATAAAATTACACTGGTAAAGTTCGGCCGACAACAACTCCGTTAATTCCAGCTGTGGCGGATATCGCCTCCTCATTGGATGTTAAACTGGCATTGTACAGGTTCGGGAGTCACCCGAATGCGATGTCAGTCGGATTAAAGGAGAAAGACTTGAACACCATCTTGACAGATGTGCCCACTACACCGCCGACGATACAGGAGAAAAGTGGTTACAACGATAAATTGTTATATATTTATACCAGCGGCACGACAGGTCTTCCTAAAGCGGCCGTTATTACCAGTGCGAGGTAAGAACGTCACGCATAACGGCACACGTTCATAAGTGTTTCCCTAGTTAATTACATCATTCCCAGTGAACGGAGCAAGTCCCGTTTGCGTTGTGGTTTTGCACCACGTCTGGACAAAACGGTCAATCCTTCTTTGTTACAAGAACAGCTACGACGACTACATTTCGCTTCTTATGAGAAGGAATGTGGGACGCGTCGAAAACAAATTAAGCCTCGTATTTAATTAGGATATTAACCCTTATCGGTCGTAAGTCACCTTTCACGTGACAACAATACTTCGTCGTTGCGGTCGTACGTCACGTAGGAGGTGACAAGTTCGCATATTTACTGAAACCAGCTACAACCTAGTGAGAATCACGCATAAAAAGCTACCGTCCGATAAGGGTTAAAACGGAAATATTATAATTAGTACGGAATATATGTCAGTGTTATCACATACCAACAAACATGATGACAATAACGACGTTTATGATGTCGTTAATATGTCTTTAGTGTATTACTGGACGTTTATAAATTATTCGTCGTATGCTTGCTGAGGAGGAGGGGAGGGGGTGTTTCAAGATATATCCATCTCCACGATTAGACGGATACGTTACTCTTCGGAAAGTACTAAATAGCGAAATATTATTAAAACGGGCTGTATTTGCTATCTTTCTCGATTTCAGATATATTTTTATCGCTAGCGCCATACACGTTTTGGGCATGTTACGAAACTCTGATAGAATATACACACCTTTACCGTTGTATCATACCGCTGGTGGAGTGATGGCGATAGGTCAGGCCTTGCTACATGGACATACAACAATAATAAAGAAGAAGTTTTCAGCCAGCTCGTACTTCAGTGATTGTGCTAAATACAAATGCACCGTGAGTGAGCGGTTTTTCATACGCATAATTATGCCTTAATTTTGCAAAACTGTATCGTATTTTACACCACCAGTCTGTACGCTCAATCAGTATTTTCCCTAATCTGCCAAATAGATTGTATTATATTTCACTTGGGGGTTTATTCTTCATCAATGAGATTTTGGTTAATTTTATCGAGTAAGATCGCACCAACGTCATATTTATCGAATTTTTGAGAATTTCAGGTCGCTCACTATATAGGAGAAATGTGTCGGTACATACTGGCGGTACCGCCTAGAAAAGAAGACAAGGAACACAACGTCAGGCTAATTTTTGGCAACGGACTCAGGCCGCAGATATGGGGTGAATTTGTGGAGCGATTTAACATACCACAAGTCCTTGAATTTTATGGCGCAACCGAGGGCAATGCTAATATCTGTAAGTAAAAATTGCTTGATAAATTTGAAATTTTGAAATTTTCTAAGAAACTTGTACGAATCTCGCTCGTCATCGATGAGTTCTTCGACCAATTTGGAATTCGCTTGACCGATTTTTTGTTGAAAATAATTTCTTTTAGCGAACCAACCAATCAAAGCATTCACGTTATTTTTATTGAAACGATTTTGTTTGAAAAAGACGGTAGGGCTGATTACTTTACGATTATTTTTGAAGTGTTATGTACAAAATCTAATCATTTCAGTAAACATCGACAACAAAATGGGGTCGATAGGCTTTATCTCAAAAATCGTCTCATCGATCTATCCCATATCTATCATTAAAGTAGACGCAGACGGAGAACCTATACGCAACGCTAAAGGGCTGTGTCAAGTCTGTGAACCAAGTAAGTCGGTTCATTGGTATCTAACGATTGTCAAAATTAACCGTTTATTTGGACGATAACAGACCGATAAAGTGCACTAAAAAATGTCATAGATCGCGCTTCACAAAGAACAGTTTTCTCATATATTAATTTTAGAAACCGTAAATTTACACCTTACGATGGCCTTCAAATTCCACGTTTTCTCTTCTCTCTTTGACAGATGAACCTGGTGTATTCATCGGCAAGATCACACAAAATAATCCGACAAGAGCATTTTTAGGATATGTGGATCAAAGTGAATCCGAGAAGAAGGTAGTTCGCGATGTTTTTACGAAAGGTGATTCTGCTTTCCTATCAGGTGCGTACAAAATTGTCCTCGTTCAGTATGCGGTCGTAAACATGAGATCTTTATAGATATATAAAATTACAAGTGTATCAGACACAAATATTTTCCACGATGCAGAGCTACATTCGCAATTTAGACAATTTATGAATTTAGTCATAATTATCTAGGAGACATCGTTGTTGCCGACGAATTCGGATATTTGTACTTTAAGGACAGAACAGGAGACACGTTTAGATGGAAAGGAGAGAATGTATCAACATCTGAAATTGAAGGAATAATCAGCAATTTCATCAACTATCGAGACTGTATAGTGTATGGTGTCGAGGTAAAAACGATTGCTCTCTCTTGTGTAGTTTTTTTTTTATTGCTTCTCCATACTGACAATATAAATAATTTATTATTAATTAGATTTTTTCGTAGCCAGTGATATGACTAAAAAAAGTATTGTTAGAATTTTGATTATCATCACATAGTGTTCATATACTAAAATGGTAAAGTAGTCGGAATCATATAATCAACTGTGTATATTGATATTAAAAAGCAATTTTAAAGGTCATGATAGAGTAACACATTACAAGATATTCTCGATAGATTCGAGGTACTGAAGGTAGAGCGGGAATGGCTGCAATCTACGATGAAAGTGGAACATTGAATGTAAATAAACTATCCACCGACATTAAAGAACTGTTACCTACTTACGCCAGGCCACAGTTTATTAGGATTCTGACAAAAATCGATCTTACAGGTATGTTTATGTACATATAAATGTGCATTCCATATGATTCGCTTTCATATAATTCGTTATTATTGCCTCTGACAAATAGTGTCATTTGTACTCGACTTAGTTTGCACAAAATTTAAGCAATATAATTGTTGCGTCACATTTGAATATATACTTTTGCGCATACATCAAATGGGAATAGATTAATTTTTATCAATTTAATTATTCTATTTGTAGGAACATTTAAACTGAAGAAAAAGGATCTCCAAGAAGAAGGATACAATCCGTATAAAATTCAAGACAAATTATATTATTTTGATGCGAAGCTTGGTTATCTTTCATTAACATCAGAGATTTATGACCAGATTCAGCAAGGGAGAATCAAGTTTTAAATACATTAGATAGTTGGGAAATTGTGAATTGTGGTTATAATTATATATACGCACACACACATACGTGTATGCATACACACACACTATCCTAAATGAGTCTCTGAAAACTATTTTATATAGATAGTACAATATCCTCTAGAACTTAGTTATAATGTTGGGGCTGGGGCTGCAAGGTTGGATAAGATGACATACATATATATATATATAAGTATATATATATTTTTTTTTTGTGAATGTATATATATTGTGAATCAAATTTTATTTAATATTTAACAAAAATATTGATATGCTAATTGGATTTTAAACATATTGTGTTATCAAGTTTGCGTATAGCTGTATAATGTTAAGATTTTTTAAATTATATATTTGTTTTTAAATAAAAAGATCTTATCTATTTGATATTTATAGAACTGCCCTATATACTTTGTACTTAAAATTAGAGATTTTTTTATTTATCATTGAGTCGTACCAAAAATTAAAAATGAAGGTTACTTGTTGAAGAATAAAAGTCCCCCGCTGCAAGTTTTTGCTTCAACTGATTACACTTTTGATGTTTTTAATATATAATTTATTATTGAGGAGTTAATATTTTTTATTATTCACTATTTGAGTAAGTTGATTCAACAGAATATAAGATTTAAATATTCATCGTGAAATCCGTCAGGAAATTCGTTACGAAATGCGATATTAAAACATATTCTGGTATATCGATATTATTTGCGAGTTTTACGTAGTAACATCACATGAGCAACATGTGAGAGAGAGCAAGAATTTTATTCCAAAAGACTTGAGATCGTATGTTCTAAAACGCAAACGATATGAACGATATTATACATAAATTCCTGGACTTCACTATTGGAAACGTATTTGGTAAAGACATAACTTGCAGAGAACCCGTGCATCGTTGTGACGATTACCAACCAGGTTCTTTAGTAGAGCTGGGAAGAACCGGTATTAAAGTATGAATTAATTATATAGTTCATGGCTAATATAATAATAGAAAAAGTAACGATCTTATTCCCATTCTTTTATAAACGTATTTGATTACATATTTAAATAGAAAATGTAAAACTATGAAAAACAAACCCTTCAGACGTCAGGAGAAGAGAATCATCAGAACACTGAATTATAATAATATTGAGACGCACCTTTTGTGTAAAATTCCTTTGTAGAAAACTATCGAGAGAGAGAGAGAGAGAGAGAGAGAGAGAGAAAGAGAGAGAGATACTCGCGTGGGAAGACTGTCATAGCGCAGCCGACATTTTGTACAATCGCCACCAAAAATGCAATCAGGTCAATTGGATGATAACAGATCTGCGCGTTGTTGAATTATGTAAACGAGCTCGGTCGATATCACACAAGTTTAACAAGGACAAAAATTGATATTCGATGTAGGATTTATAACCGTCGATATACTCCTTATATTTCGTTCATCAGATCAAACTGCGGAATGCGAGATAAATTTTGTAGAGGATTGTACGTGAAAAAGACAGCCATTCCACTGAAAATCTCTCTCTCGGATCGCTATTTGGACACCAGAGCGCGTTTCAGTGTCATCGTGGTCGGTGCATTTAGAATTTTGTTTAAAATAAAAATGGCGGATGAGAAATAAGATCGTAGGAAGTGTTTCATTTGTAGTGTCGTGTGTTGTGTTTCCCTTAGCACATCTTGTGTCAATATGACCGCTAATACAATCGATCGGTAATTTTCTTGAAAGCTGCGACGAATTTTGTGCATTTTTGTATAGTCCATGTAGTGTGTGACGGGGCATTACATAGAAAGATAAATAATTTATGTAACAGATTTTCACACTCGAAAAACAATGGTAATTATGTGATTATGTAAATTATAGAAAGTATTGATTATCTTATTTGATTTTTCTTATATATACATATCTTGAATTATTGTATTTTATATAAAAATATATATTTATATTTTTGTTAACGTTAAGTTTTTCAAGAAAATTTTAATGCCGTGTGGATTATACGCGGCGCTACCTGCGGCACTACCTGCGGCAAATCCAACAAGTTCACCAGGAGATAGCATGCTATCTCATAATAAGGAGACAGCTACCAAGAAACTAATTCGACCATCTGAATTACCTATTTATCCTCTTGAAGATGACTATACTAAGCAGATCTCATGGTAAAGCACAAGTAATTCCAACTATGACATTATATTGCATCATTATATCTATCTTATAATTATTATATTATATATCTATAATATTTATAATCTATATGTATAAAATTTATCAGAAAATCTTTATATAAAAATATAATTCTATTTTCTATTATCTACGATGTTATTTATAAAATCAACTTATACATGTGTGCAGTTATAGCTCATATAGTTTGTACAATATATGTATTTAATTTTACATAATAGCACAGACTGTCCGCCTTCCTTCTTAGAACAGAATATATCAAAAATTCGCAAATCTGCTCAAGCAGTTGCATCAGAATATCAACATTATACTGGAGTTATCTCGGATTCTGTTAATATCGGTTTCGAACATAGCAGATGTAAGTAACAAGTTGTATATAAAACATGTAATGTATAAGGTTATTTGGTTATAATGATAATGTAGTTATTTGTGTTTTCAGCTCTTTTGGATTATCTCCATGAAGAAAGTAATGTAATGCCTCGTATGGGTGCTATCGGTATCGGTGGATTAACTGGATTAATATTCGGTCTTAGAGGACGTATATTTAAGCGACTTATATATTCTAGCACTGGTGCTCTCACTATGGCAGGTCTGTGTTATCCTAAAAAGGCAGAAGAAGGACTCGACCTGACAAAACATTACGTAAACGTTGGATATAACTTCATCTATGGTGGTAATGAATATTACCTTGTTCTTGCTACATCATTATTAATAATATAAATCTAGATAATATAATTCTAGAATTAGTCACCTTAGTACATTGTTAATCTGAATTTTGCCAACGCGTCTCTTTATGAGTTGCGTGCAATAACATACCACGTGATAATTATATTTTTTATGCTATTCTTGAAAATAATTTTTCTCAGAAATTATACGGATATACTCAAACAGTGATAAATATAGATATATATATATATATATATATATATATATATATATATATATATATATATATCTCAAACATTTTATATGTAGAAAAATGAGAAACATAGCGCAATAATTGCCGGTAATATGTAGGTGTAAGAATTCTTCGTTCTTTATTGTAAATAATTTCAGTCAAACCAGGTGACGAACAAGAGCTGAAAATTGCAATGCCGGAATTGAAATTCCCAAGATCTTTTTCCGAATTTGTAGACTTAACGATTGCTACAGTTTTGACAACAGCTAGTGCTGTTGGGGGTTTTGCACAAAACACATATGCATCTTTAAGCGGTAACAAGGAGGTAGGATGCAACTGAGAATCTTCTGCATCCTATCGCTCCTCCCTTATGTCCCGATCAACGTACTTTTGAATGTGCTTGAATCAGGGTATCGATTATATGATTTTTCCCTAGAAAAACATGAAAAGTGAAAATTCCATATATTTTCAAATTAGATAGTTTATACTTTTCACGAATTCACTACAGGAGGAGAAAATTCATGATCAACTCCCAGGAATATTTTCTTCCGGTTATCATATTATTCCTTATGTCAGTGTGTTTTTCCCTAAGTGACATAATCCACGAGCAATCGAAGGAAAATTACTGCATAGTTCTTTATAGAACAATGTGTCCTACGGAGATCTCTAAATACTGATCAGTTATTGAATTGTGGATGTGTTCAAACTGAATATGTCGCTAAGTATATTGTTACGAATTTTTTTCTCAAAAGAATATCGCAATAAAACACACACCAATTTATGTAAATCTGAAGATAAGGCAAAATACATCTGTGACAGACATTCCGTTAAATCTTAGATGACGATAAAGCTCATTAGGTGCCTATCCCTTCCCCTCCACAGTTTTTCGTCTTATCCTTTGTTTGCCACCTTAGAATTTGTCTTGCTCGCTTTTCGCTGTGTAAATTTTTCTATCTCATCTATATATCGTGTGTGAAATATCTGTATATGTAGATGCTAAAATTTGTGTTTCAGAAAAATCAACCGACAGCCGAGACGAGTGCGAAGACGAAAACAGACGCGAAACAAAATTAGAAGGCTCACGGTGAGGCTTGTACGATGTAGCGAAGAGTGAACGTATGAACATGTTGTCGTAGCGCAAAGAAAAAGAGAGAATTAATTAACTTACTAAATAAATTATATACGCCTAGTTAGTAAATGATAAAGTAGTAAATTAAACGCTCATAATTTCCAAGTTATAAAGAAGAGACTTGATGTCTTCAGCATTCCTCACACGAGATATCCTCGAACACACTGTCGTTTATCTTTCTTCCGCTCATCAGCATCTTTGGGCTACATTTCAAAATGTTGTTTTCGAGGAAATGTCTACTTGGTGGCTGTCCCACAACTTGACAAACGTTTCCTATTGGTTTCTCTTCGAAAGAAGGAGTAAAATTCTCCTCGAAAAGAAACGTTTCGGAATGTGGCCTTGCTTGAAATGATTATAAGTACACGGTTCTGGTTTAAAAGAAAAACCGATTTTTTCCGTGAAGAAGATAATTGCTCGCACTAAACTGAAATTAAATGAAGTTAATATGTTACATGTTGAGGGAAACCCACCCTTGGGGAAAAGAAACCGAAAAGATCGGAAAAATGAAAGAAAAAAAAAATCGATTTCTTGCTATAAATTTCCACATCCAGCGTCCAATAGGAAATTATCCGCCGAGAATTACGAGAGAAATACTTGAAGGACGCGTTACGAGCCTCGGTGAGAAGGGAGGAAAATGCGACATTTTCACCGGGCGTGCAACGACTCGCTCGAAGGCTCCGAAGGTCGCGGGATTCGTCCTGCCAGGACGCGATCACGAGGAAGGCTTCGGCGCGCGAATTGGCGCGCAGCCGCGCGCCTCCGTTTATCGACTCGCCGGGGGGTGCTTCCCCGGTTGCTCGACGGGATTTCGATCTTCGCCCTGGCGCGCACGAGCGAATGGCTCGTTCGAAACCTGCGCACTTCGCAACCCCCAGTATGACTCGGACGCGTGTCTTCGGCAAACAGAAATCGCGCTGCGTAAATCATGAAAGGATAGTCCGATTGATCTGATTTCCCCGTCGGGTCATCGCGCGACCTGACCGACACACGTAAACCCGGACACCCCGTGTGAATCGAATTCTCTTTTTCTCTTCTACAGAGAGACGCGTACAATGTGTACACGCGTGCATCTTATCATCCGAGAGAAAGGCAGCCGATGATCGATTCGAGCGCGTCTTCGCGTCTTCGCTCTCCTTCCAGGTGCGACGGGAGAGGTAATCAGAGAACGCTCGCCCAGGTAGTCCGGGGAGGTTCAGTGACCGGTCCGGGGTGCAAGCATGAGGATCGTCCTTCGACCGTTCCCCGACGGCGGTGTGCTTTTTGTGACGCTCGCTGCTGGCCCGAAGGTACACAGACCGGCGTAATAGAATCTTAATGCATCAAGTTGGAGCGGTGTCGCTCGTCATGCGTCAAGATTTTATTATGCCGGTCTGTGTAGCTCGCGTGCAATACTCGCACTTACAATTCGGACGCTGTGTGAAGCCGATACTCGTTATCATTGATCGCCCCCCTTTGTCTCCGGGTGAAGAGACCTTGAAGAGGAAGAGTATATTCACAGTGGAGGCTCACAGTGCGCGCGAGATATAATATGAGGGATGTGTGCCGATGAGTTCCGTGCCGGACAATGCGTGCACTCCGCGTGACCTGAGGATCGGCAGATCGAGCTGTTAGAATCACAGGGTAAGCGAGCTGCGATTTTCGATTTTAGAATTTAATTTGACGCGTCGCCGGTATGGCTGTAATATCGCCGATTTTTGCGTAAAATATAATTAACTGCGCGTAACAAGTTAGATACGGCCGGTGGAGAACCGAACTTGCTAACATATGCACTTATTCGTCGCGTCTTTCGCGATTCAAGCTCGAGTTGAAATAATAAGCGCGGATTAGCGAGGTAGTTAACGTTCGTTGATAGAATCGAGTGGAATTTCGAAATAAAACCCAATGGAATAGATTCGAGTTCGACCGATCGTAAGTCGCGTTTAAAGTGATTTCCGTCTTGGTCGTTCCATCTTTCAGCATCCATGCAACACAAATATGTCACATACGCATCAGGCCTGTTCCTTTTCACTGAATTAGCGCACACTTGTAGAACTGAAAAAGATACACAGTTAAGTGATGACACAGTTCCTCGATGGAGGAAAAAGGAAAGGAGAACCGGTGCAAGTTAGTGCAGTCAGTTCGGCGATAAAGAACGGGCCTATTGTCGTAAATTGAAAAAAAGAAAGGAGAGAGAGCATGCATCGCCGAGCCGCATTGTTCGACGATGTACATCCTGCTCGGAACGTAGGATTAGCCCGACTCGTAGACTCACGTCTACACGTTACGTTATTCTCGGCGCTCAGCNGGGGGGGGGGGGGGACGACCGGCTGCAAAAGACGCAAACTTGTTAAACACTCATTATGCACGGGAGTGTGTATCTGCGATATTCGATGCGTTCGATTCGAAAATAGAACTGCACTGGTACTGAAAGGCGTTATTGTCAGCCTGGGAGTAATGAGCGAAGAAAGGACACCGACAAGGGGAATTGTCTCTTTCAGCCTGAAACCTACCGATTTTCTAGTCGTATCCCCGCGTTACCGTGGCGGAAAAATTACACGAACACCTGCTGTACGAAGTGACTGAAGAGCAACAGAAATGAGACGAATACACTCGCTGCACGATGTACACGGATAACTTGAAATTGATTGAAATCGATCTGAACACTCGTAGAGGACAGAGAAATCTATTGTAAGATGTTCGTTATTTACACGGTCAATTCGAGGATGAATTCTTCGAGGAAGATTCACCGCGGAAATTCAGTCTCTCAGTCGGGCTCGTTTTATAAAACGATGTCTTCGTTCCGAGATATTGATATCGCGATCTATTGTTAAAAATAATTATCGCCGAGAGTTGCGTAGTAGCGCTGGAAAGGGCTAACTAAAAATTGAAGCCGCACGCCGACTTGTGCACGTTCGAATCGTCGTAGTGGAAATTTGCGTGCCACGAGGAGGAGCCCGTCGTGGAGCACACATTATACGCGTCCTTGTTATATAGTTAATCTCGGTGCGCGTTTCTAAAATTGGGATACGCGCGTGTGTGCGAACATGTCACATTACAGTCCGCCGGTAATCGATACCATGTCGTGTCCTTCCGACCGACGACGCTGTTAGGCATTTTCACGTGTGAATTACACACGTTCGCACGTACACACGCTGAGAGTATACACTAACCTACTTTCGCGGAATAACGACGTATACTTTATTAAATAGCTGAAAGTATCGATTAAGCAACTTAGCGTTATGTGGCTTTTATTGGATACTTAATTAGATGGTTATTTAGAGAGACGGTTTTTAATAGACATCAGCGCGAGTACGTGGCGATAGACGCTTGTCGTTGTTTCTGTGATGATGATTTTTCACATTTTTTGTACCGCCAATGTACGTACGAATCAACGTTCGCTTCGGATTTGCGAGACTTCTTAGCTACCCCCTCGTAGAATTTTCCGAATCGATCGGCTATGCAGAATTAAAGAGATCTCTCTTTGCCCTCGACTGATTGAGTTAGAAATCTACTCGCATTTACCCCGCGACACCACGTGCGTGTGTGTGTGTTAACTGTTCAGGAACTGTTCGGACTTTCCTTCAGGGTGGATATGGTAACTATGAACTCCGAAAAATCGGCTGGCCGCCGGAAACCAGTGGAGAAGAGCAGCATCGAAAAGGCACCGGAGCATGCCGAGGAGCAGGCCGGGAAGAAGGATGAAGACAATCGTATGAATGAATCCCCGGATTTGTCTCCCAACACTCCCACATATAACGTCACTGCCTCCTGCGCCGAAGACACCCCTAACTATCTTGTCTATAAGAAGGTAACGCCGCCTATAAAAAGGATCGTATCAACGCACGCACGCACGCACACACACAGACGCGATATCGACTGACAATACTTGTATCTCGCGCAATGACGCTGTCCCCGTGTATATAATTCCCTTCTGCCGACTCGAGCGTGTAATCAGCATATATTACGGCTTTTAATTTTCTCCTTTTCTCAAGCGAGTCACTTTTTCCCCTTCGTAAGATCGCACCGCGTTTTCAGATGGAGTCGATCGTGGAGAAGATGTTGGACGAATTCACGGGCGTTCCCGTGAAAACGGTCAAGACTTTCATGACGAAAACGCCGTCTGTCTTCACCGGTAGAGCGAACAAAAAAATATATATTCACACATTTCGATGTTTTCGGTAAAGTAGAATTTGGCCCGCATGTAATATTCGGTTTCGCGCACTTCAGGTACAGATCTCATAGCGTGGATGATGAAGAGCATGGACATAGATGATCAAGGTAAAAAGAAAACAAAACTTGATTTCTCTGAGTTGTGCGCGCTGACTTTCCAGAAGTTATTTCGCGGGTGACCGCGAAATTCGAGAAAATCTCTGATATGATACTCGTGTGTTGGCTCAGAGGCTCTTCACGTGGCTCATCTAATGGCGTCCCACGGATATTTCTTCCCCATCGACGACCACTGCCTTACCGTGAAGAACGACAACACGTTCTACAGGTTTCAAACCCCTTATTTTTGGCCATCGAACTGTTGGGAACCCGAGAACACCGATTACGGTACGAGAGAATATCGATGTAATTCAATCAGCGTGGTTCCTCGTATCCCCGTTTGCGCGTGTTCACCCGTCCTTACATTTACTATTTCTTTTCACTTCGCCAGCCGCACTTTGATACATCCGTCGGTGCGTGTGCGCCTTAAATGTTACAGCTGTCTATTTATGCAAAAGGACGATGCAGAACAAAACGCGGCTGGAATTGGCGGACTACGAGGCGGAGAACCTGGCTAGATTGCAAAAGATGTTTTCGCGAAAATGGGAATTTATCTTTATGCAGGCGGAAGCGCAGAGCAAGGTCGACAAGAAGAGGGACAAGCTGGAAAGGAAGGTCCTGGACAGTCAGGAGAGAGCCTTCTGGGACGTGCATCGGCCAATGGTAAAAATGCGCGTCTCTCGCATGCGCGCGATTGAACTAATTACGCGCGATATGACGCGTTCGCGTGATTATTCGTCGCGTGATGAACGTCGAGTCGAATTGAATTTGCAGCCCGGATGCGTGAATACCACGGAACTCGATATCAAGAAAGCCTGTCGCAGTCACAAGTCGGTCGTACAGCCGAGCAAGCACTTGCAACTGGGACTCGCGGGCGGCCGGATATCGCCGTCCGTGGAGTCGCGTCCGCCGAACCCGTCGCCGTCAATAGAATGTCTGCAGAAGGAGATCGAGACGTTGAAGGACAGGCTCGACAAGCCCGTCATCAAAGTCTCGAAAGTGGCTGAAGCGTATGTAGACGAGAATTCCCAACACCGTTTGTCGAAGAGAACACAAAGCCGATCTATTCATTCGACTCGACATCGCTCGACGAGAAGAAAGCAGCATCGAATCGATGAAATCGGCCTTGCTCGACAAAATATCGCGTCCACTGGACGAATTACGCGCTGGCGCGACGATATGCGTTGATATAGTTTGCCGATCGAATCGCAATCCTCGTCTCGCAACTCGTTGCAGCGACCGTAGAATTCGTTCAGTGAATCAAACGCGTCGTGTGCTCGATTTGTTTGAAATTGGCTGAAATCCCGTTGATTCTACCACTTTCTTTCTTCTCGGTGCGGCATTCGCGGTTTATTTGAGCTTGGTTAGGCGCATGCACGATATATATAGGCTGATCGATATCCGCGATATTTTTAGTTTGATCGGATACTTTGAGCAGTACATGGAATACGACCCATTTTTCACTCAGCCCGAGCTGACGAATCCGTGGATATCCGATAGCCCGGAAATGTGGGAGCAAGAGAAATTAGCGTGCGTATATAGTCGACGACGAGAAAAAAGATCCGTCGCGACGTTCAGTTCGGATCTGCAATAGGTGTGGCGAGCCTTTGGCCCCGATGACTAAATTGCAATTATTGCAATATAGTGCGATTTCGAGCGAGAAGCATTTCTACCAGACGTCGCAATTTCCACGATTCAAGCGTTGTCACAACTTTTGACAGCGCGGGAAACGCCTTTTGTCAGAAATTACGTTACATTTTATCGCTTGGCACAAAAGGCTAAATAGGCTTATCACTCGCCTATTGTAGATTCGGGCTTGAAGAATCCGATAAAGCGAAATGTGTGTTGATCGACGCTTTTATGTACGCAGGAAAGAAATATCGACGAGGAGGGTGAAGAGGTGGGCGTTCAGTCTGCAGGAGCTCCTGCAGGATCCCGTCGGTAGAGAACAATTCATACGCTTCTTAGATAAGGAATTCAGCGGCGAGAATCTCAAGTACGTGCAGCACGTCTCTGCGAATCTTCTCTCGTTCGAGATTACGCTGCCTCATTCGAACTTACTTACGCCCGTCCGTCTGTGTTCGAATGACGCGTAATATAAAAGCTCAGTTTACATTCAGGGAAACGAGATCATTTGTGATGTGTGCAGATTTTGGGAAACCGTACAGGAATTAAAAACTTTACCGCAGAAAGACGTCCAGACGAAAGTCGACGAGATATGGCGCGAATTCCTAGACACGGACGCCAGTTGTCCCGTCAATGTCGATTCTCGGTCTTACGAGATAACGAAAAAGAACCTCGAAAAGCCGGACCAATGGTGTTTCGACGTTGCCGCGGTATTCATTTGTTTTTCATCCCACGAGTGCACCCGCAGCTACTTCACACTGCGCGCACTCTTTCACACATGTAATATCTCGCCTCTCGGGGCACTATTATACTCTATTATTATTATTATTATTATTATTATATTCTCTAGGCACACGTATATCATTTGATGAAGAGCGACAGTTACTCGAGATACATGCGCTCGGAAATGTACAAGGACTTCCTCAACGGATCGAAGAAAAAGGTGCGTTACTTTGCAAACATCACTTCTCCTTCGCATCGCGCGTACAGTTTGAAATCGAATTAATTTAACGACGTTGCAACGTGGTAGCATTAAGTTATCCGCTGTGAAACAATTCCTTTGTCCACATACGTGGAATTAAAATAATCTATTTTTTATTACGTCACGCGTATATATTATCAGTTTCGCCGTGTGATTAATGAGAGCTGTTTCGTTTTGAAACTTTGCAGACTTCGGTAAAGGGCATTCGCTCCATCGTATCCTTCACAGGACGAAGGGACACTACGGTCTCGTAACCTGCCAATTTCTAACATCCGCGGTATATTCGCGTCTCTCTAACTCCGCTGTTCCGTTCATCCCTCCGACTCTGTCAGCAACAACACGAGAAACTGACGAAGGAACGTTTTCACGACTCAAAGCGCTCTTTATTTCAATTAGTCCAAATATACCACTGATATATGCACTTGTATAATCGAATGTTTTATACCGATACACGCCGGCTAAGATTATTTGAAACGTTATCGTAAGACAATCGTGCTTATATGCTTTCCGGCTCGATGACAGAGCGGTCGATCAGATTGCTCGAACTTTCGCTGGGAGAAAATTGTTTCGAGCTTCGCAAAAGTGAACCGCCGTTCTTAAGACCGTATGTAGTATATGTACTTATTTCACTCGTTTTTACTTTCATTTCGTTATTTCTCCAGTTTTCCCACTATAACACACTTTTGGGCGAAGATGTAATAAATGTAAATAATGCGTGTAAATATGCGCCTTTTCTTAATTCATATCGGATGTATCGGACACGTTAGACAACAGTGCGGATTATACAACACACGGAAATTAATTGTATAATATAGCGGAACTCTGTACTTTCAATTCAATCGCTGGAGGAGAGTTCGTAGTCGAGCTGGAACGATATCGCTCGTACTACGCGCGTCGATATATCGGTGTATCCGACAAACTCGTACAATGTACGCAGTAACTACCTTTCATCGAGTCGTATAGACATTATGTCGACAATGACCGTGTCTCACGAGTGTCGACGCGCTTGCACGCGTGCTACATTTTTATATCGATTCAATAATGTGCACGATAGCTTTCCGAGTGCACTCTGGTATACGTTCGACCTCGCTATAAGAATGTATTATTGATCTCAGGCACAAAATAAGTCGCCGGGAAAAAGCGGTGAAAGCGGAAAAAGGGAGAGAAAAGTTCGCAAGATCAAAAAAAAAACAAATTTACGACACCAGTTGAGTGTCGCGAGATACGCGCGTCTCTGTGAAGCTGAAAAATTATAGAATAGAATCCGAGCTTCTCTCTGTGTAACTACCGAAAGATCAATAAATACAAAACTTGTATTAAGTAAAGAACGAATAGGATTTGTGAGAGAGAGAAAGAATGCGTACTCTGGATTTAAGCAAAATATTTTGCAATCCGTACAACACTCTTTGATAATAAGATTCATTGACGGTGTATCATAATTATTTTCCTCCTACATCCGTGCTGCTCGTGTGTCTTTTTTATCCATATCCATATGTAAATGCATATTTTAACATAGAAAAAATAAAGTTCCTCGCGTGTGCGCGCGTTCACACAATTTTCTCTTATCGAGCTTCCACTCGGTTCCCCGTACATACAGATTGCGTCATATTGTTGTGTCCTTTTTCATTCCGACGATAAGAATCCCCACATTCTTTCGACTGATTTTTTAAATAATATATTTTTTCTCATTATACAGAAACCACTAGTCGTTCCACTTATCGTACAAGCGGAATATACTCACGGAGAGACGTACATACGTATATTGAATCCGTTAAAACGTTAATTCGACGTCTCTCGCCAATGGATAATAATATTAATAATTCGCTGACGAATATTTGAAACTCTCTCCTTTATTTCAAGCAACACATCGTCCGTTCGACGAAGGAACTCCGACAAAATTCAAAACTCTCTTCGTCCTGTTTTCCGATAACTAGAGTTTACTTTCTAACTAAGTCTCAGTGCGTTACACGTACGACTATCTATTCGTTCGCCTTCGGCCGGCGATCTCGTTTTCAGTCCAACAATCGAAAATAGGTCCTCGCAAAACTTGTAATACAATATAGTCCTTTTACCAAGGCACACACTTGAGAAACCGGTCCGTCGGGGACTCGTCACTACTTCGCCGACCGAATCCTCTCACATCGCTTCCAGATCCTTCTTGTTGTTCCTCTTGATGATCGGCACCGCCGCCCAGAGCGCGGTGCCCAGGATCAGGATGATACCGAAGGCGAGGAAGATCGGCTTGTAGGAGAGCACGTTCTCGAAGATGATCCCGCAGACTGGCGGCCCGGCGAGCTGCAGCACACCGTTCACGAACAACGATATGCCGTAGGACGAGCTGAGCTTCTCGGTTCCCAGCATGTCCGCCAGGATGACCGTGGTGATGCCGATGTACATGCCCGAGGAGAGGCCGAAGAGGCCGCAGAAGAACGACAGCATGGTGTAACTGGTCGCCATTGGCAGCAGCGCCAGGGCGATGCCGCTTGTGCCGAGCCCACCCACGAAGTAGTAATACTTGGGTATGAAGTCGATGTCGGACAAGGACGCCCCGCCGATCCGGCCGACCAGATCCAGCGCGGAGACTATGGACAACAGCAGGGCGGACGAGTTCTTGTCGAAGCCCTCGGCGATCGCGTAAGACGGCAGCAGAATCATGAAATTCGTGTTGCTGATGGCCGACGTGGAGTTGGAGATCAGGATCACCAAGTAGATGGGGTCCTGCAGCACGCTCAGGTCAAAGAAGCGCGTCTTCTCGCTCCTGTCCGGCTCCCTCGGCGATTTCGACGCGTCGCTCCGCTTCGGCTCCTCGACGTACCTCCCGTTGCTCTCCTCCTTGTCGGCGCTTCTCGAAGAATCGAGTCGCGCTGTCTGGCCGTCTTCGGCATGAGCATGGTTCCGCGACAGACTCAGCGTGTCCGGGCTGTTTTCCCCGCCGTCGTCCTTCGAAGCGAGACCTGGACGGCTCGTCTCGCGAATATCGCTCGCGTCCGGAACGTCCTTCCGCGGAACATCGTCCACCAGCGTTTGAGAGATCGAGTCCTTCTTAACGGCGTCCGAACGTACTTTCGTAGCTTCCCGATCGTTCTCCTCGTAAGCCGGGTTCTTCTCAGACATGTAAGACGCTTTCTCGTTGATCGACTGCAACACCACGTTACGCTGGAGGTCCGACAGCTTGTACACGCGTTTGTCGTCGTACGTGTCTCGAAGACCCGAGTCGAACTTGCCACCGATTCCCATCCTCTCATCCGGCTCTTGTTTCCTCTCGACGGGTTCGTCGAGTGTCAGCGCTTCATTGTCGATACCCTCGTCTATGACTACGGTCTTCATGTGCTGCTCGACCGGGTGGTACAAGAGGCCGCATACCAGTGTGTTCAACGTGATCGCGCCCATGATGAGTACCGCTCCTCTAAAAATTTCAATTGTTAATCGTAACTGATTTCTTCGGAATCAGCGAAATCCGAGAAATCTATATAATAATAACAATAATAATGAAAATTTTATTTACGAGAAAATCCTTTAAGATGCATGAATTACCGAGAAAAATCATAAACGATATACGTAAACTCTAAACTTAATACGTCAGAATTAGAAAACAGGGAGAGTATGTGACTATAAATATGCAGTAGATATGGATAAATTAAATTAGATAAATAAATAAGTAGACGTCAGAATGTTAGAAAATAATAGATCGGTATTAGATTTGTATCGAGAAAAATCTCTCGGCGAAGCTTCAGTCTTCGAGAGATTTTTTCCCTCACAGCCCGCTTCAAATGAACACGCGATCGGGCGCGTTGAAGTCAAGTTTCGCGAATTACCTGTATCCGAAACAATCCAGGAGATATTGCAGCAACGGTGGCAACACTATAGTGCCAATTGCGCTGCCAGATATGCACAAGCCGTTCGCTACACCCCGTAGCTTCTCGAAGTACGACGTAACGATGTACACCGTCGGTGGGAATGATAATCCAGCGCCAATCCCGACCATGAGCCCGTAACTGCATAGAGAGAGAGAGAGAGAGGGAGGGAGAAAAAAGTCGCTATTATTAAATCGCGAAACGTAGAGGATCCTTGGAAATAAAGACTCGTATTTACTAACGACTTTACCGATGCGTCGGTCGTAACGGCATTACCTGACGTAAAGGTAGGTAACTGAATTGGCGAAATAGCTTAACATCATCCCGCTGGCTGCGAAGGTGCCGCCGATGAGGGTCACCGTCCTGTAAGAGTACTTGGTCGACAGAATACTGGATAAAGGACCTGCGGAATATTTTTACATGATCTCCCCACAGGTTTCTCCGATTTATCGACTGGAGCACAAAAGTGTGTTCGCTCCCTTCGCTCTTTCATCAGTTCACCTCTCAGAAATCCCAGAGATGTCTACGAACGCGGGATTATACCGGTCAGATGACAGATCATCGCGGCAGAACGGCGCAAACTTAAAATCGATCGACTTTGATACAAATATGCTGATAAATTTCGTGTGAATTTTAACAGATTTTTGCCCCCTTCCCCCACCCTCCCCCAACTGAAATCCCGGCTACGTCCGGATTTCCTAAAAAAACGCGCCGACTTCGCCGAAGTTACCGGAATCTCTCGGTTTATATCCCTGTTGAAAAAAAAAAAAAAAAGAAAAAACGTGTGGAAACTTGTATAGAAAATCCATATGGAATCCCACGGTTACTCCTGAGGATTTTCCCGAAAAGTCCAGATCCAAGGTAACAATGCACGTGGACTCCCACGTGGATTTTCAACATCCTATATGAATTCACAATTCCGTTGGATGTTCCCACGGGGATTCACGTGGAAACTTTCAACAGGTACGGCTTCCATTCTCAGATTCACCTCGTGCGGCATCGTCTGTCCACCTCGACCTTGCTTACCGCTCTCATTAACGCGAGGGATCTCGTAACGAACGGCGAAGCCGATAATTCCCAACTGATTCCCTTTTAATTAGACAGTGAGAAGCGAAAAGAAAAGAGGGAGAGAGCGAACGATGTATCACCCGGACGAACGAGTGTCACAAAGAGCGACACTCGGACGAGTAAATTGGAAGGTGGACGATGTCGGGATTACTTACCTAACGAGCTGTACAGAAAGTAGCATAACGCCGGCATCCAGGAGGCCGCCGTGGAGGACGCCTTGAAAACGTGCAGGAACTCGACGAAAAGCACGCCGAACGACTTCACCGTGCCCGGGATCAGGAAGTTGACCACGAGGGCGGAGAAGAGGACGACCCAGCCCCATCCGCCGTCCGGCGGCACCGTTTTCGTCTTCGCCTTCCTCTTCGCGCTCGACATGCCTTCTGCCGCGGTGCTGCGAGGCCGCGGCGCGGCAACGGCGGCGGCGCCGGTTCCGCGCGACTCTCGGCTGTAAGCCGTTCAAGGGACGAGTAGCTGTTACGCATGGATTATAATAGACACTTTCTGCCGCGAAGGTAAGAGAGAAAGATCATTATCGGCCATTAAAAAGGATAAATCAGCCGGCCGGATCGCCGACGGTGTCCTCGACGGGGGCGCCGCAGTCGCGCGCTCCGTCTTAACAACGTGATTTAAGTCTACGGATCTACAATAGGTGCGTAAGGCATTTGGCCTTTTGCTCCTTTTGCGCTGAATCGTAATGTTCCAGCGCTACCAGACGCCTGAGCGATCTTTTAAGATTAGATATTAAGTCGGAGATCTGCGATCAGGTCTTTCCTCGGGAAAAATTATGTTACAATTTAGCGCTTCGAGCAAAAGGCCGGGGGTCTGCTACACCTGTTTGCAGATCCGGAGCTTAGCTCCCTTTGTTCCGAGCAATAAAATGCAACGTCATTTCGGACAAAGGGCGTTTCCCGCACCGCCAAAAGTCATACAACGCTTGAATCTTAGAAACTGCAACCTCTGATGTTGCACTGGGAACGCTTTTTGATAGAAATTACATTGTTTTTTTTTAGTGTTTAAAGCAAGAAGCTAAAAGCTCACTGTTGTGGGCTGTCCTGCCTGAAACGTTACCACGACTTTCAGCAGCGCGGAAAACGCCTTAAGAAGTCGCGTTACATTTTATCGTATATTCAGAGCAAGAGGCCAAAGGATCACTACACCTGTTGTTGATCGAGACTAAAGGAATCGCTATCGGACAAGCACGCGATTTAATAGGCCGGTCGATATCAAGATTCATCTTTTTTTTTCTCCTTGTACACGAGTACGAACAAAGAGTGAATGGCTCTTCTGCATTTTTTGCACCTCGTCAGCGTTCAGATCTGCATGTGAACTTCAGTGATCCTGTTCCCTCTTTCGACGGACCATTCGGCGGCTCCTCTGTGCAGTTTCTATTATTATTTACACCGGTCGGACGCGAAACGTCATTATTCCGCGATTCCTTAATTTATACGCTCTCGTTTGCGAAACACGATGATTATAACGTTACACGCGTGCTCGAAGAAAAAGAAAAAGAATATCCTCGCAGGACGGGTGATCCTACGTTTACTTTTTCTTTCCCGCGCACGTACATACATCCTCCTATTCCTTTTCTTTTTCCGGGAACCGCAATCGCCGTGTAATGAGTGTAATCGCATTTTAATTGAGAGTTACATGCCGACGACTCTCCATCGATCAGGTCCGCAATCGGATCCGCAATCAGTGAAGTAGAACAGAACGTACATATAGAAATAAACTTCGTGACTCATTACTGGAAATAGTAAAAGTAACACACTTGACGGTGCAACTCGCCAACATTGACGTGTCGTGTCGGTTTGTATCTTTGTCTTATTAATTAACATCTCGAACCGGTGGGATACGTCCTGCCGTACGTCGTACGCTCGCGACACACAAGGCAATCTCGACACACGCGCGCGCATTCGCGTGTACGCGCGACATCGCGATAGTCGCGGACTGTCGCGTGGTGCGCGGCCATTAATTTGGAATTGCAGTTATTACGCGGTTTTTAGATCCAAACCTATCTTCACGTATCTATAGACGGTCCGTCTGACCGTCAATTCAGCTGTGAATTACGCGGAAATGTAACAGATGTTTGACAATAGTTAAACAACGGTTGCAGGGAACGCTTCTGGCGAAGAAAAGAAGGTAGCGTGCAGATGGACTCGTTCGGCGCGGATTCGCCGACGGACGGACATTCGAGTGCATATGAAAATAAAGAGGTCAGGCGGGGGAAAAAATCTCAGTTCCCGCGATTGAACGGAGACCAAACGAAAAGTCAATGACGAGAAACGAATGTCTCTGTTGCCGCGTTACTGAGAACATTCGTGTAAAAACATTCGGCCTGTCCAAACTCGGTCGGGACAACTGAGAGCGATTGTCTCAGGAGGAATCTTTCTATTTCTACAATCAAATTTTCCTTTGGTCCTACTCCAAACAGCGGAAAATTCAGTCAGGGGATTGTTTTTTCGTGTGCATGAAAAAAAAATGTCAATTCTCGCAATTGAATAGAGACCAGGTAAAAACTCGGTGGACGAAGAATATTAGCTCTGTGTTATCGCGACTGAAAACATCCGTGTGAACATTAGCCGCATTAAAACTCGGACGGGACAGCTGAGAGCAATTGACCTAGTGGAAACTTCCTACGGGAATCTTTCCGTTGCTACCGAGAACGTTTTAATTAATTTCGGAGAAAAAGCTTCTCATGTATAATTGTACATAAAATATGTCCGTATGTGTGTGCGTGTGTAAAATTATGTAATTATATATTGTTATATATAATTATACACTTGACGGTGCAACGATACAGTTGTATATGATTATATAGAGACATATATATAATTAATACATATATGTCTCTATATAATCATATACAACTGTATCGTTACTTCATACATAATCATATACTTATATATATATATATATATAGACACATATATGACGTCTTATATATAATTACGATTATAATTATATACAATTATACCTAATTACAAACCTAATTATATGTAATTATATATAACTATTATGTTCCATTATGGAATACACCGAAGGATTTCTCGTATTGCGTCGCAATTTTATCAGTTCCTTTCATTCGGACGCGATTGTAGGTTTCGACGACGATCGAACGTCGTCGCAGCTCCACCGTGAACAAATTGTCACCGTGGACAAAGGGACTCGGGTCGGGTTGATTCACGAGAGTGGTTTGATTCATGAGACGCGGCTGTTCCCGCCGTATTCGGATTTTTCTTTCCGATAAGAATCAACGGCGAAGGCCCGTCGAGGCGCCGCTCGACCTCCGAGGGTCGTTCGCGTTTGCGTTCCTATGCAAACGCGCCGCGACACAACGGTGAGAAAAGTCCCGTAATCGAGCACGGTCGCACAGGTTACGCACAGGTGATACTGAGCAGCGAGTAGGCACGTCGTTCGCGAACACCGCGCCACGGTGCCATGAATGATTCCATTTACTACGGATGCGTAAAACGCTCGAACGAACGCGATCGAATGCAATCGGAATCGGCGCGCCGTTCTCCGCCACATACGGGGTGTGCTGGAAAGACGGGTACACCCGGGGAGAACGCGCTCGGGATCGGGAAAGGTCGCGGACACTTTTACCTCCTCGCAAGGCGCGTACCCGACGGGAAAAATTTAATCCCCCGAGAATCGCCGGGGAAGAAATTCTCCTATCACGGCGAACACTGTTGCCGGAAATTCGTCGGGAAGAAAAATCAATAGGCGGAATATTCATAGTCAGATCTTATATTCGAGAACGTCTCGAGTTTCATCCTGAGTCGAGATTTCAGTCGTACTTTAAATCTAACTAAAAGTTCTACGTTAAATGTTGAAAAATCTTCTATTGTCCTCTTTTAATACTACAAGCGGGAACTTATTTCCGTTTTTTTTTCTTCTCCATTTGAAGACTTAATGTAGAATTTAAAATCTCGACTCGGACAAATACTGTACGGATTTAGCTCCACGAAGCAGCTGAAGATGAACTCGGGAGGATTTCAAATCTCAAAATCTGACTGTGAATAAATATAAATCGCGACCCAAGTCGCGACCCACCTTTCATCCACCGATAGCAGGTGGTAAAGCTCGATAAAGCGGGATATCACTCGGCGTCATATCCCTCGCTTTTCTTTCTTCCCCTTCGCAAAAAGATCGGAAGAAATCAGCAGGGGGAAGGAGGAAAAGGAAGGTTGGCTGGTTAACAAGGAAATCGCGCGGATTGTCGCGCTCGGCGGCGATAAACAGGGATTGTCACGACGATACGCATTCTTCTGACGTGCATTCTCTCTCGTCGAGAATTCTCTCTCGTGGTGTGCTTTACATCGTGCCGAGAGAGAGAGAGAGAGAGAATACAGACACGACGCATTCACACGTGAAGCCGGCACAGGTCATGACGCATCGTCGTGTCACATTGTGTAAATTGCGAGAGAGAGAGAGAGAGGGGGGGGGGAGGTCGTTACTTGGCGACATTAGACAGTTTTACGTTTGGATGTTACGTTGATATTTATTTCGATATCGTTTTACGAGCTTCGCACGCAAACACCGATTCGCCCGAGTCTCTATTATACGCTTGCATTTTCTCTATCACGCCTGGCATGCGTAAGATAGGCGTACTAAGCGGTACTGAGCAATCGCATCCGCCAATGACAATAACAAATGACACGCTCGTTAACGTACAGGCGCCTTGGAGCATTACGATGAATTAATATCCGTAAACAGAATTCGAAAGGAGAAACGCGCTCCGAGATATGAGAAGGTAACGGGTAGATGTTAAAAAAAGAAATAAATATATGTATATATATGTATATACACACGTTGAAACACGCGCCGTGTCGGAGTCGCGCGACATGCGCGCACACACGCCCTTTCCGCGAAAGACAGATTACGTGTGTATATTCCGCCGTGTGTATATTCCGCCATGTATATTCCGCCGTGTATATTCCGCCGTTTCGTTATTAGAAAGCCGGATTGTTCGAGTCTTTGTTTTCTGTTCTGTTTTCATTCAGTTGCCGATTCAGTTGAAATTCTGCCGGTCGCTTGCATCATCGTTACTACCCGCGCCGCTCATTGCGCGCTTCGTGCTCATCTCAAGTCGAAATACAAATCGCAAACGAAGAGGCGATCTGATCTCTCCGTCGATCTCGTTGTCTTCCCCTTGCGATTTTACGATACGTCCTTTGAAGAAGAACCGTGAAGAACCGAGAGAAAAATCTCACTGAAAAATTCCGGATCCGTATTTTGAACCATCTTTCATCGATAAAAGACAATCGATAAGAGAGAATTCGGAATACGGGCCATTTTCGCGTTTCAACCGCATCTCCTTCTGGTTTCGCCGCAAAAAATCGCAATAGTGCGTGTAATGTTATTACTTTAGGCAGATTTCGAAATTTATTTTACCTTTTTATACGATTCTTTGTTCTTACGCGGTCTTATTGCAATTATATAATGTAATATTTCTCCGAAGGAAATATTTGTTTTTTCGCGGTGTTATTATGTAATTATTATTATTATCACCGAGTTGCAATAACGTTTACTAGGAAAAACTCTTCTTTTGACGATTCTTCTCTACGAATTTTGTCACTTATGCGATTACAAATATCATAAACTCCGTTCTCAGTAAGAAACGTCGGTGGGAGGCTGGAAGAGCGTATGTGCATTCGTCTCTCTCTCTCTCTCGAGTGCACACGCTCATAGTTGAAAACAGAAGTGCCGCATCGATATCGATGCGAGATCGTGCGCGAAATATAACAACGAACAATTTCACAAACTGCAACACACACATCTCTCTCCCGTGTTTACGTGTAGCTTCAAATCGAGTTACACAGAAGATTACATAATGCAAGGCATGACATGCGACGTGCAAGGCCACCGCATTCTAACAATATTAGTCAACAAATCTAACTCCTCCTTTTTGCAACTCGTTTCTGAAACTCTTTCGTGAAACTTAACACGTCTGGTCTAAATACGTTATCGATATAATGTAATATTTTGCAGCGTTCATCCCCTGCGCCCCCCCTAATACGTGCGGTGAGTTTATAGCGAGTTGAGACAATCGAGTAAAGCCACCGAGATGAAACTCGAGATATTAGTTTCTCTCTCTTTCTGGCGAGGTAAGCTCGCATTAAAAGATCACCGACCCAGTGTGCAGCTTAGCGATTTCGCGCGACGACCTGGAAATCCGACATTTCACCGATTTCCAACGAACAAAGATGTGTCAGCCGTTTGAGGATTGGCAAAAATACCGGCGGCTTCTCTCCCTCGAAAGATCACCGAGCGCCGTTCGCGGGCGAAAAATAATATTAATCCCACACTGACCTGGTAGACATTTCTTCACCTTTCTGCATCTCCTCTTCTCGTCTCACCGTGGCAGCGACGAGGAAGGCTACGGTGGTAGGCGGTGGTGGGCTGAATCACCCCCGTCGGAAGGCCTGTTCTCGCTCTGGCAGGAGGGCAACGGGAAGCAGGATGCTCATCGGACGTTTGCTATCATCCTGTGTGTCTTCGACTAGAGACTGCACACACCAGCCACCGGAGAACCCGTTCCTCTCCCTCTTCTTTTTCCCTCAGCTCTCCTCGAATCGGCGCAGGAAGAACACCCGAAGGCTGCCCCCGACTTTTATCGTACCAAAACGGTCACCGCGCCGCGCCATTATAAGACCGGTGTGTGCACACACGCCTCGGCCGGTGGGCACCACGTACACGCGGTGTACACCGTGCAATTGTTTCCTTCAGGCTTCTGGCCGGTTGACTAGCTGGCTGGCTCGGCCAGCTACCTCTCTGTCTGGCCAGTGAGTTAGCTGATTGACTGACTGACCGGCCGACTGTCTAGCTGACTGACTGGTTAGTTGACTGACTCAATGACGACTAGCTGGCCGGGTTGATTGGCTGCCGGGTGATCGGCTAAACCGGCTAGTTGGTTGGTTTACTGTTCGCTGACTGCCTAGCTGATAGCCGATTGACTTGGCCGCCGGGCCGGGACTTGTCTCGGTAGTAGTTAGCTGGCTGACCGGCTAGCTGGCGAAGCCGCCTTGAGACCGAGCTACCACAGAGAGAGAGAAGTGTTCCCCTTATACCGCGGAGAGACTACGAGGTGGAGACAGGTCGCAGCGCGTGATCGGCGCAGAGAGGGTGGGAGATTCTTCTCGCACGCACCGCAACCACCGCTTGGCTCCCACCATCGCGACCACGACGGCACGGCGCTATACGGTGAGATTTCCGACCAGCGCTCACCGGATTAACGCTTTATCTACACTGTGAAAACAAGATCCCGAGGAAAATATTCGTCGTCTGTGCCTCCGGTGGATTTTCGGGTGACGCGTAATATACGCGTGGTTGATGCGCGCGCGCGCGCCTGACCGACATAACTTGAATTCCGCGACAGATCGGAAATGATAAATCCTTCGCTTGAGATATCCTTGGATCGTCCATCCGAACGCCACACGTTAAACACTCCCTCGTTAAACCGATCAACAGCTCGTGACAGACCCATTTTTCTTTTTGCTTCTGATAAACAGGAACTTATCCGACGATGAGCGTAATATATTTGTATGTGCTTATGTAGGTCTCTAGTATTTATCATTCAAACGGCCTGCGTTTGTGTGTGCACTTCCCTTCGAACCGTGCCTCTGTTTTCCTTCTCATTCAAACACCTTTTCTTTCTTAAAATCGACGTTGCAAGCTCATCTATCAGTTGTTTCGTCTCGATTTGCTCGACCATCTCGCGAGAGATATGTAATATATAAATATATATAATTATAATAATACTGCGAGGGAAAGAGAAAATATCACAATTGTGCGCTATTTCCAACGGCAGCGGCTATAATCGATATAACTTGATATTATTCAGCCGGGTTAGAGAATAGCAGGAGAACTTCTTCACCGCTCCTTTTCCTCTCCCAGCGATGAATCCTGATCTTCCTTTTAGGCAACGACCTTTTCCTCCGCCTGTACTCCTTGTGCTTCTCCACCTTCTGCTCCCCTCCTTGCCGGAGCGAGTCCGGCTCTCGGGATCGTCATTCCGCAGGTTCGCATCATTAGTTTTTATTTTGCGACGGTACCGTGCTATTTTTATCCCACATATCTCCTCCTCCTCATTTCTTCCTCCTCCTCCTCATCCTTCTCCTCTTCTTCTTCTTCTTCTTCGTCCTTCTTCGTCCGTCCTCGAAGACCACTCGCTCACGTAGTTATTAAGACGAAACCCGAAGCCGAAAGAGCCACAACGGAGCGTGGATTCCGAAGTTCCTAGATGAAAAAGTTCAAAGAACCTTATTTCGTATATACTGTTCCATATCGTTTTAGTCATAATTTTGCGAAAAATATGGAGACATCGTCCCTCGAGACGATAATATTTACCGTGACGTGTAACCACCTTTTTCCACCTGATTTTCGGTTGTTGACTTCGGGAAATGGATGGTATTGCCTAAAAAAGAAGAAGAAACGTAAATTTAATAGTAATCAACGATTCGGATGAATTTGAGTGACGCGGAGGCCGAAGGGTATCCTCAAGCTTCTCTCTCTCTTTTTCTCTCTCGTCGTATTTTTTTTTCACCGACAACAGCGCGACAGAGCGCGAGCATACCTTTCACTACCTTCGCAACCTTCCACGACTGCTACACGATTATTAACATAATGTTTTCCATCGTACGTCGCTTTTCGCCAGTAAGAGTTTCACGGCGGAACGCCACAACTCGGCTACTACGTACGCGTCCAAGCCTAAGCAAAAGCGCTAACGCGAGAACTGGTTTCGCCGCGGAATATTCGAGCGAGCGAACAAAGAAGGCGGCGCGGCATTGATTGCCGACGATTACGGTAAAAGTTCATTTCTTTCACCGACCGCGTGAGAGAAAAGATTCGTCGGATTTATTCTGCCGTTTACGCGACGCCTCGATTTCGGGAACCGTTTCAGCTCACCGTAATATTTTGCACGTGTCGGATTGTGCAATAAGTGATTTCGGATTTTCTTTTCTTTCCGGTGGGATGGAAACGTTTCGATCGAATGATCTTCCGCCATTATTCGCGTATATATTGCGTCGTAAAGCTCAGGAAAACTGTATAAACTATGTAAAAATATTATCTCGTCTCATTCAACCATGAAAATCCAAAATCGCTTGTCACACATTACGCGGCACATTGCGCGTGCAGCTCGACGTAAAGGTCTAAAAAGATATCTTACAGGAATATCTAAAAGCACATCCCCCTATTTCTTGTGGAAACGTCCTTAAGACGCGGTTCAGACAGACTCATGCTATTTGAGTGCATTTACGATGCGCGCTGGCCGGCTGAACACGGCCAAACAAAAAGCCGCAAAGTCTCCGATAATTAAGGCTAAGGTACGAGGATTATGCACGTTATAATCTACCTGGTATGCCGTAATGATGGAAGAAACCGTAGTAATATTTATAGTTGTTACGGGCACCGCCGGCATGACTGGAAGTAATTGCGTGGCGTCAATATTAGCCCGGTCTGGTCAAGAATAGCTCCGATGGGAATCCCGTCTGACCACCTTGCGCGCTCCGATCGGTCATCGTCTAAATTAGGGTGAATGTGCCGTTGTAGAGGCACATCATTATCATTATTCGGTTATCGACTGTGGTCGTATCGTATGCGACGCGCGCACACCGATAATCGGATACGCGTTTTGTTACGCGAGCTGCGCGTAATAGCCCGGTAAATTAAATGGATCGGAGAAGTGAAAACTGGATAAACAAGATTACACGTCGTCGCGTGTGTGTCATTTGATTATATCGTGTGTTACTCGCGCGCACACACGAGTTTTAACACCGAGTTTCAACAAGGATGCTCGAGTCAAGAAATCGAGCGCAAAGCCGAATATTTTTGACGTTTACGAGAGAAAATTGTCCGCGAGACGTGTGGGCATAATTCGGTTTTCACGAGGTCTCACGAAGCGCGATTACACTAAGAAAAATGGTGGAATTTCGCGTGAAGTTGATTGCTTCCGTTGTACGAGCGATTAATAAAAAGTTCGAGAATTTTAATTACCCTTAATTAATGACTGCATATCGCTCTAGGACTCCTATAAATAAAAATACTTACTACAGGAACTCTGCATAATCACCTCCTCGAAGCGCTCTCTAGTGGTCGAGTGCCGTATTCCACTCCGAACGAAGCGATGTCGGAAGATTGGGGGGATATCAGGAGCGAACGAGAGAGAACGTACCAACGATTAATCAATATTCATCGTATTATTATTATTTGTTTTATACAGAAGTTATTTAACAAACGTAGGTTATATTTAACAATCAGTCGACGCATATGTGTATATATACATAGACAATTTTTTTTTACAAATATATAAATATATATTTAGTTACAAAAATAAATGGAACTTTTCACTCAAGGCACAGCGCTTCGCGAATTATTACGAGTAATATTTTGCACGATCACGCTTGTATAAATTAATTCATTGTTGAGTGCGACACTAATTGTGGCGAGACGTTTCTAATTTGTAAGATATAATGTATCGTTTTTTTGTATATAGGCTCTTAGATACAGTAAGTAGATCGGTTATTAGCGGTGAAAGTAGGAAGGGTTTTGAAAAAAAAAAAAGGATGAAAATATTTGACTTAACATTTTTATATAAAATCCTGAGGCATCCATTTTTTTAGCTATTGCGCGTACATATATACAAATTGCATATATAAAGAATTCGACGATTTGATTTCTATTCTTGTAACATTAACTTGCCAATTCTACCACCAATAACGATCTTTCTCTCTATCTTATGTATATATATCGTATATTATCATATAACTATGTTATATTGACATTAATATTAATTATTAATATTATTATTAGTACATTTTGTGACCGGTGTCACCAATAATGAAACAAATTGCAGCAGATCGGGGAAAACTTTAACCTATCAAAAATGTCTCGTTATTGGTGAAATCGAATCTTGTTGAACACATTTGTTTTCTTATATTTCCACGAAAATAACATTTCTTTTTTTTCCCTTTTTCTTTTTTTAAATCACAAGTACCAGGCAACATTTATTACAAATGCCATTCAATAGACATATAAGCTCGTTAAAACGTAAGTTAACAAAGTAATAGGAGCAATGAAATATTTATGCTTTTCATGTCATTGTGTTGACTTCATTAAGCAGAAATCAGTGAAGGATTAGAACATTATCGCGTTATAATTTTGTTTCCGTAAAATACCAATGATACTATATAAAATTGCAGTACATATAAGTAGACGATTAAATATGTAAATTATTAATTTTGTAGTTCGAGTTTCTCAGCGCGTTTCTTCTTCTTCCTTTTTTTCATCTTTTTTTTCTTCCGTATACAATAAATATATATTATATTACACGAACAGCTTAAAAGGATGTGGCGATTGTGATTTGACTTTGGAGAATATTGAATATTACATGTGATGCGAAATATAAGTTACAATTCGTGGAATATACACTTGAGATAATCGTTAATCGTTAATTACAAAATCATGTGCGTTAAAGTGTGTTATTGGCCCCACTTTGACATTATTATAACAGCGTAAAATTTCAACCGCTACATTACTAGAAAATATACATGGTTGATTTAACAAATATATATCTCTTAACTTTTTTCATTATGGCAGAACTGGTCGGAAAACACTAGTACAGGAGAGCGAGCCGCAAGTTTTTGGATGCAATATTACTAAACAAATAAGTTGTGTCACAAATAACAACTGTGAACTGTACTGTTGTACTGATATACTTAAGGTACCTTATTAATACCTTACACGCACAGAGAAAATTCTTATTAAAATCCGTAAAAAAATAATGTATTTACTGGTCACTGGACTATCGCTTCTAATATTCACCTGAAATATAACAATTGACTTGAAGTAATAACTAATGCGAAGAACTGTGTTATATTGGCATCAAACTTGGCACTACTCCACGCACAGAGAAAATTCTTACTAAAATTCTTATAAAAAAATAATAGAATTATTTATTTATCGGTCACCGTACTGTCGTTTCTAATATTTACCTGAAATATAACGACTGACTTGTTATGTTAGAAGAAACTAAAATTGATTAAGCTTACTCGATCAATTGCCGCTTAAACGCTCTCCTTTAGCACGCGTCCCACATTTCACGCATGCTTTGTTGTCACATTATAATTAATCGCGTCAGCGTACTATCGCGAAACGATATTGGACGTCAATGTAATCATCGATGAGAAGCTATCTTCCATCGGAGCATTATTAATTATCTGCAAACTCGATGTGACGTTGCAGAAGTGCTTGATCAAAATAAATTCGTATCTTCCCATCCTTTCCTCATGCACAATAAATCTCTACTCTCCTCCGAAACGTTTCTTCTAGTTAGAGTTATCACTCACCGTGAGAAATGCGGTCTAATTAGCATAAAGTCGACTTAGACGGATTAACTGGTTTCGGTATTACAGCATGCAACACTTCTTCTTATTTTTCTTGTAATTCGGTTTAAGTGGTGGCCGCTCCGACAGTTGAAACTTCCTGACGATTCGCACCAACTCGTGGAAAGCTTGGTCAACATTCATCCGTAGCTTCGCGCTGCACTCGATGTATGGAATTTTTAATTGACGTGCCATATTTTGCGCCTCTTCAACTGACACCTGTCAATTATTTTCACTGAGAAACGGGACAAACCGGGGGAATTCGAGTTAAAGATGATGCTTACGACGATACTTACGCTTCTATGATGATCCAAATCTGCTTTATTGCCAACCATCAGCATGGGGAATTCGTCTCGGTCCTTTACCCGGAGAATTTGTTTGTGAAACTTTGATATCTCATCAAAAGACGAATGATCGGTGACGGCAAACACGAGCAGGAATCCTTCGCCGCTTCTCATGTATTGTTCGCGCATTGCGCTAAATTCTTCCTGGCCAGCGGTGTCCAATACTAAAACACAAGTACAGTTTAGATTTTCACAAGGATTTTAGGAATTTAAGGAATTTAAGGAAGGATTTTAAGGAATGACAGAAAATCACTTATCAATGTTCAAATATCTAAATTCAAATGTGCCATCTAAATCTGCGGATACTAATGTATCCAGAATCCAAATATACAGGGTGGGGCCATTTTAACGTCTCCACCTAAATATCCCTTTTCTTACGCTTTGTGTAAAAAAATATTTTAGACAAAAGTTGTAAGGTTTTGAGGAAGAGATATAAAATAATGACTTTAACTTCGTCATATAATCAATTTTAGGTAATTTCAAGATTAATGTTTATACTTTTTCATATTTTAATATATTTAGACTTGATATTTAAGTAGAGACATTAAAACAGTCCACCCTGTATATTAATGAAAAACAATATCAATCAATGTCAAAATCAGAGTCAGCAGGTCATCGTATTGAAATGCAAAGTTGCATATTTTTCAACTCACTGTCAAGTTTCGCCGGCACATCGTCGATAACGCATTGCTTCGTGTAGGAGTCCTCGATCGTCGGATCATAATCGGTCACGAAGTAGCTCTAAAAGCGAAACCAAAGGACTCACGTTAATTTCTACAAACTAAAAAGGGTATCCTCGTGTCGCAGATACTTAAAGTACAATCAGGAAACCGAGTATCGAGAAAGTAGACCGATAGCCCTGAAATTACATTCAAATTTTAGCATCATGTAACTCAACCGTCCGGCCGATCACCATTACCGAGCGCGACCTACGTTACCGACCATCGGCCAGCACGGCGTCGACTTTACCGACTAACCCGCGACACCGTCGCCTCCTCTACATCTCCGTCCGCGCGTTCGAAACTCGACGAAGACCAGTACGGTCCACGGCGCTGCCGCGTATGACCATATATGACGTTTGCATCCGCGCTATGACATAATCACCTAAGGCCGCAGTCACACAAGTGGCCTATCCGTTGTATTAGATCATTCGCGCGGGCTATCGACGGGCGGATATCGCGGGCCGCTTCCTCGAACGTTTATCGCACACTCGTCCTCGACGTGTGACGCAACTTACGTCGGGCGTTGGTAACCCCCAACGTTCCTGACGCTTCCTTGCACGCCCGTGTGAACGTGGCTTTAATCCGACTATCCGCCGTTACGCGCGTCGCGTTATACAAATGATATCTCCTCTCGTCCCCGTAGATTTCGCGTCCGATTCGTTCTAGGATCGCCAGAGGCTCGACGATGTGTGTCGAGCGAGCTTGAAAGCTCTCCACGGGAATGGTCGATAACGGACGGGAACGAACGCGACTTCTTGCCTACTCTCGTCGGACTCGCGCCTCTTGACGTAGCAGCATCTCCGTCGAGAGTACGCGCGAGCGAATCTGGGGATCCGGGAACGCGCGCGCGTGAACACTCCACTCACGAGGGACGACAATTGTCTATCGCAGCTGCTGCGCTATGCAATACCCACTGTGCTCGAAATATTACTTACATATACACGCACACACATATACACACAAGGTCAGGGGACACAACGAGAAGGTACACTTACTTGAATGAATTGTATCGTGATCGCCGATTTTCCGACACCACCCCCACCCACGACCACGAGCTTGTAAGTTTGCGCGTAGCTCTGCCTGTCAGCAGCTTTCGACATCTTTTTTCCTCACTTTGTCAACGGTGCTCGTTTCCTCGCGCTCACGATGCGTCGTGGTGACACACGGAGAGAGCTCTCTCTCTCTCTCTCTCTCTCTCACTGGCGCCGTGTACGCGCGCGCACGCGATCAAACGTTCATATCGCGTCCGGCGCTCCGCCGAGAGAGAGCCGACACAATGCACGAGAGTCCGTCACTCCTCCGACTGCTCGCTGCGTCGTACGCGGCAGTCTTTCGCGGCGGCCCTCACGTCGACGTTTCCTGCGGTCTCGGCTAGAGCCAAGGTTGCTGAGCCGCGGCGAGAGAAAGAGAGAGAGAGAGAACTTTGAGCCTCGGACGGCCTCGGAGCCATTCGTGGCCGAGACTCGTCAACTTTTTATGGATGACACTTAACGAACGCGGCCACCATATATCGTCGTCGTCGGCAGTTCGCGAGATAGCCGTTCGTGGCGTTTACACACATCCCTCGCTCTCTCCGGAGGATCGTCGCCGACCTTCCCCTCCGAGAAGGTGGAGACGCGCGTGCGTCTCTCATTCAGGAATGTATGTGCGTGGTAATTGCAATGCGTCCTGGTAAACGGCCAAGTTGCTTCTTTATTATTCGAAGTAACAATGAGAAAATGACACACAGTTTTTTACACAGCTCTTGCGACGGCGCTTCACTCGGAACTTATCTAAACCCATCTCTCTCTCTCTCTCTCTCTTACACACACACACACACACACACCAAACTCGACACGTCTGGCCGGGGATGCTCGAATCGCGTGTAAAATCATTTCGATATCGAACCAAATGTTATGCGTTGTCCTGTATGGAGACGACTGGGCCTGCAGAGACGAGAGTCTTTCTCGCTTTGATCCTTATCGCTTCTCGCAACTTTGCATCGTACACAAGCAAGTGTGATATTGTTTTCTCGTATGTGTATGTATGTGTCTCGCATAATTTTAATTTGTTGAAAACAACGGCAGATGAGAGATGTCCAAAAATTGCAAAATGCTGCGGAACAGATTGAACCGATATTTCGATGCACGTGTGAGACTACTTGAGTGCTCCGTTTCGCGCGATATACATATATATAAAAGAGGTGTCGGAAAAGTTTCGAGACTGCGAATGAATCATTGAGATGGAGTTTGGAAAAAAAAAGAGATTAACCAAGTAATAAAGTTGACGTCAAATGGTGATGGCTTTCATAACATCCTAATGATACTCCTAATGTTATTAAGACGTCATTAAAATGTCATTTGACGTCATCTTGCTACTTGGGCAGCGGCTTGTCACGTTCTGTAGATTTTCCCCATATAGGAGCGATTTCCAACCTGTGGATACAATTGCCGAAGGTATCTCTTAAATATATACATAAATTTTCCCTCCGCGATTATTTCCGATTCACACGTTTCAGCCTCTTGAACATTGCATGCATAATCAAGCTTGTTTTCGAACAACCGGTCTCGGTCGGTTGATCCTGAGAAGAGAGAAATTCAATATAGAGAATTTGGAAGAACAACGAGGATCGGCCCGCACGAATCGACACGGATTCGGACAAATTCGCAACGCCAAGTTCGACAGGGATCACTTCGAAAGACAAGCCAGAACTCCTTTTGGGGGAGATTTCGTTTTATTGTAACTCATTCAGTTTCGCGACTTTCTCGGCACGTCCATCATCTAAGTAGTATTCCGCAATTTTTCTTGTTTCGATATTGCACTGACGAGGGATTCATCGCGCGATATAAACCGATCACGCGACCCATCCGATTCTACGGCGAGTGATTTACATTGGTATTTCAAACACATTACGCATGCAATGAACGGAAAAAAGTTTTCGAGTAGAAAATATCTACGACGCACTTAGACAAATATATCTTTTTGCTTAATTAAGGCCCCAGTGTATCTAACTTATTGGTAGCTTGAAGAAATCGCGTTTTGCATTTTTTTTCTCTCCTATAATTTGCGCGACAAAATCTCTGTACAGTCTTGTGAAATATTTCAAGATCGGCAAACCACTTGAAGAAAAAAATGACAGAAAAAATTGCAGCAATCACTAGAATTTTTATTCGTTCGTCCCTGTTACACGCTGTCTGTTCTCGTCGCTCGTCTGCAACGAAATTTTTCCGAAAAACGATTCTTGATTCGCCCGCCTATTTTTTTTTCTTTTTCTTACTGGTTCTTTCTCCCCTAAGTCGTTAAGATTTCGGATCGTCGTGTTTGAGAAAGGTGTAATTTACACGGCATGTGTAATGAATAAAAAGGAGAGGAAAGAAGAGCAAGCATTAATTTCCTCCGCGCGTAGAGCCCAAGACACACAATCCCACAATCTCACATTGACTCTTTTTTCTTGTTTTTTTTTACTTCTTCCTTTTCGATCGAAATCATCGCAAGAATAAATCGGAACTGATTTTTCGTCGTTACGTTACCGATAAACACACTCGAAAAATGAGAGGTCAAGCGGTATCCGTTGTTATCATCATGTAAAAATAAACATGGCGTTTTGTGTTATCGCGCGCATATCATCAACTAATCCCCCATCTAAGATGATTTTTTTGTCACAATTAGCAACTCATTCCGTGTACATACAATTGCAAGACCTGATCGCGCGCGAGGTGCTCCCGTATGTCATCGCACACAACACACGTGTCGACAAATCTGGGAACGGTCGCGTGTATATGTGTGTGTGTTGTGTGTGTATATCATATATATATATATATATATATATATATATATATATATATATATATGATATACACACACAACACACACACATATACACGCGACCGTTCCCAGATTTGTCGACACGTGTGTTGTGTGCGATGACATACGGGAGCACCTCGCGCGCGATCAGGTCTTGCAATTGTATGTACACGGAATGAGTTGCTAATTGTGACAAAAAAATCATCTTAGATGGGGGATTAGTTGATGATATGCGCGCGATAACACAAAACGCCATGTTTATTTTTACATGATGATAACAACGGATACCGCTTGACCTCTCATTTTTCGAGTGTGTTTATCGGTAACGTAACGACGAAAAATCAGTTCCGATTTATTCTTGCGATGATTTCGATCGAAAAGGAAGAAGTAAAAAAAAACAAGAAAAAAGAGTCAATGTGAGATTGTGGGATTGTGTGTCTTGGGCTCTACGCGCGGAGGAAATTAATGCTTGCTCTTCTTTCCTCTCCTTTTTATTCATTACACATGCCGTGTAAATTACACCTTTCTCAAACACGACGATCCGAAATCTTAACGACTTAGGGGAGAAAGAACCAGTAAGAAAAAGAAAAAAAAATAGGCGGGCGAATCAAGAATCGTTTTTCGGAAAAATTTCGTTGCAGACGAGCGACGAGAACAGACAGCGTGTAACAGGGACGAACGAATAAAAATTCTAGTGATTGCTGCAATTTTNGGGGTAATAATAGGATAAGATAATAAAATTACTAATCGATAATAACATAAGGCAATATGTGGAGGATCTCGCCCTGGTAACTGGGCCTCGCCAACACCTGATGCCACTCCCGAAACTCCGCACCGTCAGTCTGGTTGTTGTTGTTGTATACACTTTTTACACCACCCGTGTTCGATAATCCGACCGACACTCCGTTCCCTTGATTCGTCGTGGTCAGCCACCGTTGCTCTCCACCGTCGTCCGTACACATGACCGACGGCGGCGGCGGCAGCCTCGTCTGGTAATTCCCGTTAAGTCCTTCGACGCACTGCGATTGTAACCTCTCCAGATCCTCGACGGTAGGCTCCGGCCTGGGCGAACACTCGACGCCGTTCCGTTGCTCCTCCTCCGTAGGCTCGGCAGCTTCGCAATCGCTCCAGTCTATCGACTTGAGATCCAGGGGCGGTAGTTTCGCCAATATCTCCTCGACCGTGAGATCCCGCCGTGGCGGTGACCGACACGTCGCCGAAGAGCCGGCGACTACGTCCGTCCTATCGTCGTGCGGCCTCTCCTGACACGGCGAGCGGCAATTCTCCGCGGGCTTACAGCCCCGTGACGCTCTGGAGTCGGACGACGCCTCGGAGCCTCCCTTGTGGTGGCTCGAGTTCTTCGTGCAGCGCAGATACTTGGCCATTTGCTCGCTTACGCTGTTCCGCAGAAACTCTTCCATACTGGGCAGCTCCGCGCCGCTTTGACTAGGTAGGACACTCGCGCCGACGGCGCTGCTGCTGCAGTTGGCTCCGCGCGCCTGCAGGTCGGCCAGTAGCTCCTGCGTGGTCTTCAGCTTGGGATTCCTCGAGATACTGGCCAGTTTCTCCTTGACACGGTCCTCGAGCAGCGTCTGTCGCTTCGTCGACTTACTGCCCTTCTTACGGCCGCGTTTCTTCGGCCCCGACTCGTCCGACGTGGCCTCGAGGGGCGTCGTCTCCGCAAAACGATCGGAGGAGATTCGTTCCTTCAGCGTAGGGCTAGGCACTTGCAAATTTAAATTACCACATATGTTTTCGCCATTGTGCCGCTGTCTCTTGACAGTGGGCTCCTCGGTTACGAACATCGACTGCGTGAATTCGGGCAGCGTTTGATAGTAAGGACGCAGTTCCTTGCTGGCGGCGGTGCCGCTGTCCTCTTTTCGTAGACGCTTATTGGAACTGTGTGTACGCGGCACCGCCTCCGTCGTGTGGTTTTGGCTCGAGGAACCGAGCACCGGCGACACATTGGTAGAACTTATCCTGTGGTTGCTGGTCGGTATAATTGACTGCTTGTTCAAGGGCGCGTTAGGAGATCTCGAGTGGTCACTGTGCAGGGATAGCGCCGGACTGAGCACCTGCAAACGTAGATTCATGTACCCGGTACGTCTATTACGATCCTGTGCCTGATGTTCGTTGTGTCATATTGAAGTTGGGGTGTGTCTAAGTGAACACAGTTAACTTGAACACACTCTTAAGCGACGTGAACATGGATATCGACATATGTCTCATTAAAGCGACTTCTTAACTTCGCTGCCACGAAGCGCTTCATGCATTCGTTTGATGAATTACGTTCCCGAATTTACAATCATTGCAATCTCCTTTTCTCTCTTTTCTTTAACGAAAGGACAACATGATGTTGATTTAGATCAAACCAGTTGAGGATATAGCGCATTCCCAACAACCGAAGCCGTGTGCCAAATAGTAAGGCGCACTACTCGAAAACAAATAAGAAACAAATAAGAAAATTGAAATTGTAAATTCTGCAGTCGTGTAAGTTCTAACTATAATATTTGCGCTACATGTAAAATGTCCAGTAGTCAGCCACCTATTAGACTTCCTTATAATTATATTTCATTCTGTCTGTTACAAATCACTTCAATTTGCTAAAAAATTACTTTCATTTTCTAGTTAATTAAAATAATTTATAAATGCAACGAAGAAAATGTGTGTGTGAATTATAAGAATAATTACACGAAGTTGAACAAGTTTAATAATAAAAAAAAAAAAGAACACATTTGAGGATACAAAATGGCATTTTATGCATATAAATCTAATATGCTGCCGTTGGACTAATGGACGTTCTGTTGGAAGTATAAATACTAAGGAACATGAGGGACACACGGAAAAAAAGTTTGGTTGTATCAACCAGAAAGGGAACAGTCAGATGCATTGTGGTGAAGAAAAGAGGAAATAAAATTTTTAGTTATAAAAACCACATTTGGGTCATAATAGTAAAAAAATTCTATTTCCTTGAAGCAAGAACGCATCTAGTTGTCCCCTTTCTGATTAATTTCTGGTAACCAATTATTTTTCTGTGCATAATTTACAATTTCGATTTTATATGAAGAGTGCACCTTACTACTTGGCACAGGTCGAGAATGCACTATATTCTCATCGAGGTTGATCAAAATCAGTGACCCCCAACGACTTTTGAGACTTCACAAATGTGATATTATTAAACTTACTTTCGCTCGCACTGTCCTCAGTAATCCGCCGATTTCTCTCGAAACGACAGTACTTACTCTGAGGGAAGTGGCATCTTTCAATAAGGGACTCTGAGGCTTGAGTCCGCGCAGAGCAGGACTGTGCGGTTTCAGGCTCCTCAAGGCCGGGCTATGAGGCTTCGCACCGTTGAGAGCTGGCGGTGCTGTGTCAGCTGGGGTAGGTTGCGGTGTGGAGTGCGCCGATGGTAGAACCATGTCACGCCATCGGCGCACCAGATCCTTCGCCCGCCTGGCCAAGACATCGTTGTCCGTCTTCCGGCGGAGCTCGTTGATGTGCTTGCCGAGTCTCGTGATCTGTCAAAAGTTGTTGCATTATGCAACAATTGCTCTTCGTAACGTGCAAATGCGTTTAAGCGGTTCAACGTATTACTATTAACACACTTGTCGCACTACAAGAAGTTACAATTTATGTTTGTAAGAAGAAATATAATTTACGCGTGAGTTGTTTCACAAAGATGTATTTAGTAATTGATTAGTTGTAGTTTTTATCAAAATGTCCTTCCTAATTTATAATCTTACAAAAGGACTGATATGATTTCTTATCAAACAGTGCCCAGTCGTTATTATTACATCGTCCTATTGGCCTAAAGTCTAACTACGCTTTTTTATTCTAATTTTTGCTATGATGCATTCGTGTAATTCATAATATTTAGAAGCGTTAAGGATATTATAGTAACTGATAAATATGTATGATGAAATAGAAGGAACAATAACTCGTATATTCTTACATAGCATATTTTATATACATTTTTATATGGTACTCCTGATTTTACAGTAGAACATTATAAATTCATTAACTTATTGATTTTACCTCCAGCACCTCTTTGGTGATCGTCGTCTTTTCCAGAACCGAAATGATGTCAACAACAACTCCCATGTCGATGACCTATAAAACAAAAAAATGGGATTCTTAGAAATCACCACTCTAATATTACTAATGTTAATTGTTCGCAATTAATATTTTAAGAAAAAAATGATGCCGAAATCCGAATCCCTAAACAATGTCCCGAAACGCTATTGTTCCGAAATTATTGGGAAGAGAATAACATATCAGGGAATATCTAAAATTTCTGAAGAAAGAAAAACTGTTCCAAAGTCACAGGTATTCGAATTTAGATTTTGAGGATGAAATAGGATTCAGACATTTTCAAAGGTTTCGGGCAAGTTTCGACAAACTTTCATAAAAACTTCGGGAATAATAGCATTTTTGTATTTCGTTGTGTTTCGATGGAAATTTTCCCCATGGAAATTTCCACATAGAATTTCATTCACATCGGATCGGAGAAGTTAGAGTAGGAGATGGAGAAATTCTAAAAAAAATTTTGCGGATATTTTTCTCAAGATTTTCACAGATTTCGACGTTCTCACTTTCCAAAATTATTTCACTTTTCGAATTCGTCACTGTTTTCTTGTCACTTGAACGCGTCCATCGAGAGAGAGAGAGAGAGAGAGAGAAAGAGAGATATCATTAACGATAAAAAAATATTAATCAGCGTTTGTAACGAATGTTGCCCCGAAACAATGTACATAGATTTACGACGTATAATTGCAGGCATCTCGTGCACTAATTAAGAGGCGATTAAATCCTGTAGCTACGGGAGTTGCATCACACACGCAAACGATATCAGGTCCGCGCGACGATGTCTACGCAAACGAGCTCGTCGATACAATGGATGATCGAAACGCCAGAAAAAAAAACATCGAACCACGTATACGCCCCACGGAGCTGCGAAATCTGTCGCGGAATCCCCATTGTCGAGTACACGACTGTGCCTTCGAAACTCCAACGGAAGTTCCAACGGCACGGACGGATTAACAGCCTGGCAGGGAGATTCGAGCGAGCGAGCGAGTGAGAGGGAGAGAGAGAGAAAGATCTCGCAGATAACTTTGGGCGATTTTCGAAGAAGCAGGAGGAAGTCGATCGGCAAGAGAGATAAACCAGCGAATTACACGATCGGTGCCTTCGCGCATAATCGTAATCTCTTAATGCGCGGAAACGCGATGACTACGGAGGAAAGAGGAAGGATAGGAAGCGGCTGTAAAATCGGGGGGGAAACACACACGTACGCGTAAGGTTCCGCGGGTCAAAGGTCATGGGTTATGGTTTACAGGACGGCCGCGCATCGGCCACCCACACCCATCGCCGGGGCAATCGTGACCGAGAGAGAGAGAAGTTGAGGTTATGTAGCCAGGTAGTCGAAAACGCACGCTCCACGTACGACTCTCTTCCAACTTCACTCCTTTCTCCCCTCCCCGCCCTCTCACACTCTTTCCGTGACGCACATATACACACGACGACACATATACACACACACACACACATACGCATGCATAGACACTCACACACGCTCTCAGTACACACACAAGCGCGCGCGCGTACAAACACACACATACAGAGTATTCGGCAACGTTACACGAAGGAGAGCGAGAGAGCAAGAAGACCAGGAAGAGTAACGAGCGCACAGGCTGACACCGCGTCTCACCCGCACGTGCACGCGAAGGAGAGCAGAGCGACGACACGACGCACGCCCGACACGGAACTGCACGTTGCACGGTGCAACGACGTCACGAAGCCGTCGTCGTCGTCGGCGACGACGACGACGACGGTCGCAGCCGCGGTGGCGGCAGCGGCGATACTCATACACGCGCGGCCGTCGCGGCGCGTTGGCCCGCGCTGCCAGCACACATATATACGTACACGCGCCCCGCGGAGCAGCGCACACACACACTCATACACACGCACACACAGACAGGCACGCCGCACACAGCGAGGCACTCTCGCGCACGCCACTGGCACACAGGCAGCAATACGGCGTACGGGGGATCGAGAGTGGCCCGATAGCCGTTTGCGCGTACGGACACGGAGACGGCGCGTTGCATCTCGCCGCGCTACGCACCATACTCCGCCTTACTTACATTGTATTCCTTGTCAAGGGATTTCAACAATCTTTCGGTGAGCTCGGAGCAATATTTCTGCATCGGTGGGTCGCGCACGGGCGCGATATATTGTGGTATTAGGTTAAACGAAAAGTGAGCCCAGGCTGCACGGCGTGCACGGAGAGTGTCGCGAATGCGCGAGAGGCACGAGGGACTCGCAATGGCGACTACCGAACTGTGCGCTCCACCGTCGTTCGCATGCCCTCCCTGCCTCCCGAGTGCCTCCTAGTAGCGACCCATGCATCGTCCCTAACCCCCACGCCGCCTCGCCGTGGCGCCACTAGCGACGCCTGTGGCCAGGCGGAAACTGTCGAACACGGCCGAACTGCCCTTCCATTCGCCTTCCTCTCTCGCCGTCCTTGCTGTCCGCTCACGGCCTCCCCTTGCCGTTCCCCACTCCTCCCCCCGCCACCCCGTGATCCGCCGCGTTGGAGCGTACTCGTTCATGTTTCCATCAGTTCGCACTTCGGTACGCTCGACATTATTCGAGGAGAAAGAAACGCGCGTTCGCGGATTTTAGGAGGTCGGGCCTCTCTCGCCGCGCAGGACGTGGAACCGTGATCCGGGTGGATCGCATCCGGGGCGGATCTCGAGAGATCGCAGACGGTGTCCCGACGCTTCCTACTGAATATGAATCGAATGTCTGATCCCTGAATTTAGTAAGCGTCGAAGCATCGAGAATTATCGTGAGAGGCTCCGCTCGGGTTTATTTCGTTTCTCCGGCGATATAATTCGATATCGAGTCGGCTTTCCTACGACGGAGGAGACGAGGTTTCGGATCTATTTGACCCGCTGCCTCCTCACCGTCTCGTTGAGGAATAAAGCTACGTCTGATCTGTCGTGCCGTGTTCGACGATCAGACAATAATCGTAAGACTATCGCGATCCCGACTCGTCACTGAAAATGCGAAGATTTCGAAACCGATCAAAATGACGGGTCGCTCGAAATTTGTAGAGAGATAAGAGAAGAATCGAGGCGATCTACGTATGATTTCTACGTTTATGGCGAGAAATCACGGCCGATTCAGCAATATCCCATCTATGTACCCGTTTCTGCGTCAATGATCGAAACAGCATTTCTGAAACGCGACGCACGCACGTTCGATCGCGGATCTTCTTCCTTAACTCTCCGTGCTCGTGGAGAGTGAAAGTTTCCTATTAACTTGAAGACATCAAAAAGTTCTCCCTTTTCACGAGTTCGCAATAAAGAGGGAGATTGACGACCATCCACCGGTATGATCGCGGCTGAGTGACCGCAGCGAATACGTCTGCCGCACCGGAGTAGAGAGTTTATTTTGCTCGATACTTGGATACACCAGTGCTACCAACCTGACGAAATTCATGATTGACACATTTCAAATATGCCTGCAATGGTCCTCGAATATTTATTGTCTTGTGTTTCCGGAAACAATCTATTCGATAATATATATTTAGCGAATAAGCGCATCTTTCTGTCGACAAAAATATGAGAGGGTAGTCTGTACGTACAATGTAGAGCAGCACTCAACACATTGTTCTCATCAATATCGCGTGCATCATCGAACAAACGTGATGTACTTGAAAATCTCCCAGTGAGATATCTGTGCACGTATCTTCGCGCTTCCTTCTACGAGGTGTTTGAGAGAAATATTTTTCCACGGTGAAGACAGCGCGTTTCGCTCAACGAGAAGAAGTGAAAAATGAGCTCGGGCTTCATATCGGAGGCTGAAATCGCCGAACAACGCCGAATGCGGCAGGAGGAATGGGAGCGTGTACGGACACCAGACCAACCATTAGGTTAATATATTCCTTCCTTTATTTTCTATTCTTCTGCGTAAGATGTTCAGACTTAACGTTGTACAGGCTTATTCGCGTGGAGTTTCCTCAACGTTTGAATGGAAACTCAAAGTATAATTATAACTTTTTATTTATATGTATTCATATATATGTCAAAAATGCTATAAATTCTTAGCACATGTATACAACAGTTGTGTCACATATTAGTCAGCAATTCTTAAATTTAAAATTCTAATATCCTGAAGTTTGTAATTTGTTTGTTATTTTACTTGTTTACACAAATTATTGGATATTTGAAACGTATCTTATATAATGACCTATAGAAGCTCCGGAGGAACCTTATGATCCTAGATCACTATATGAGAGGTTACAGGAACAGAAAAACAAAAGAGATATGGAGTATGAAGAAGCTCATAAATTAAGTAAGTTGGAGAATTATACACACGATAAAAGTCAAATTTGTTTTACAATTTTGAGATACATTGAGCATATATAAAATGTTTGATAGTTAGTATACAAATATGGTATGAGGTTATATATTTAAAGACTAAATTTTACTTTTCAGAAAATATGATTAAAGGTTTAGATGATGACGAAGTAGAATTTTTAGACCTGGTTGATAGGACTAAATTGGAAGAAGAACGTAAAAAGAATCTGGAGGAGGAGAAGGAAATGCGTGATTTTAAAGCTGCGGTTGCTTCGCTTCAGGAAAAGAAATTAAACGAAAAATTGAAACAAGAGTTGAAGAATCCAGCCGTCAATAAGAATGCTTTCTGCGGAAGGTAATACAAAATTTATGTGATTATAATTGATTCTTTACAGCAACAGATGGTAAACTTAAGTTATCTTTTAGTAGTCGTCCCTCACAATTGAAGCTACTGGCAGGTGTTGTAGTGAAACGGTCTGACAAGCAGAAACAAGGTAAGACAAGAATAAGCAGCCGAGTAGAAATATTGTGTATGATATATTTTATGCTAATATGTAACATTACATTTTATTAGAAGAAACGCCTAAAGGAATTAAAAGGAAATTGTCAACGTCTGACAGTGACACCGACACCGCAAAGAAGGAAGAACTGCATACATCTTGTGAGCCGACCAAAGTTACGTCGAGACAAGTGTCTAAAAATGGTGGACTTAAATGTATTGGCATATTACCTGGTCTTGGGACATATGAAGATTCTAGTGACAGTGATTGCAGTTCTGACACTGATCAGGAGACAGAACCGTGTCCCCATAAATACGATATCTTAGGTCGAAAAATCAAAACATCGAAAGATAAGGAAAAAAGCTGAACAATATACACAACGGTAATTTACTTCTTCCATATTCATGAACATTATTCTATTCTTATGCGCATGTGAATGTGATAATGTTCCTAAATATGGAAATAGAAAATTATCACGATGTTGCAATTAATTACGTTTAAAATACATGAATATATGTATTTCTATCAGATTTAGCTAATATAATATGCATAATATTAATCTGCATTTTCTGTAATATGTAAATTTTGCAAGTTTCCGTTGAACACCGTTTCATTTTAACCAGTTAAGTGTGTTTGACGACTATATCCGTCATGGAGATGTGGCAGAATCTTGTGTCATGACGATTATATCCGTCATGCGTAAAATTTTGTTACAATTTGATATTTAATTGTAATTCTGGCGAAAACTAAATTATATTCATAAATTTTAATATGGGTAAAATGTTTAGAGGTCAAGACGAAATGAAACAAACAAATGAAAATTATAAATAATTTGAGTTGGATTTATAACTTCCTGAGAGCTAACTCGCTTGATTATCGCGACACACACTGGTGGGCGCTTTGCAAAGAGATCGACAGTTAACTGGTTAATATGAGATGCGGATTTGGTTAGAATATAATTAGTAACATCGTAAAACAAATTGGGTATTTCTCCAGTGAGTTTTTGGTCGATTTAGAACATGAAATTTGTCTTATGAAACAACATGTGCGGAGACACCTATTTAATTTGTGAACAATTAACAAAAAAACAAGCGAATTAATGGAAATTTCGCAACAAAAGTAAACGATAAGATCATATTCTTTAGTTAGTATTTTTTAATTAGTATCTCTCATAGTCAAGTGAATTTTAAATAAGTTATAATTTGGAACTGTACAAAAAGAAAAGGTGATAAAGGTAAGATAACGGGAAGAAATGCTAAGGTAAATATGTGCCCAAATTAACTTGAAGAAAAAAAATGTGGCTCAAAAAACATGTAATTTTTGAGATACATTATATATCGATTATCTATTTAATTTCACAATTAGAAAATGAATAGTCCACATGAATGTTAATATCTGATTATCGTTAATCTATTTTATCATGGTTCCATTTGATGTACATACATACATATGCATCTGGCTGATTGTAGATATGATAGATTGATGTAAACTAAAAGAGTTGGAGCACACTAGATTGGTTAACCAAATAAACGATTGTAAACAAAATAATACATATGTGTATGTACCTAATGCCTCTCTGCAAATTAAATTTTAACATAGCTCCTAAAGAATAAAAATAAAAGAAATAAAAAATTCAATTCATGCTACGAAGGCTGTTCGATAAGTCCGTGCAAAAAGGAGACTCAATTTTCCGAGAAAAATCTTTTATTTCTCAACATAATCTCTTTTCAAGTCTACACATTTAATTCAAGACGATGTCCAAGTTTTTTTGATCCCATCCATATAGTAATACCATTTTGCCTTTCAAAAAGTAATGTTTGATCGCTACACGCAGTTCTCTTTCATCCATTTCTCACAAATCAAAACTTGATCGATTCAAATGACTGCCAACAATGGAATAATGAACGTATTCTATTGAAACTTGGTATATACTCCTATAAGTAATGCCGGAAACTGAGAAAGACATCAACATTGTACTATAGGCGCCATCTTTTGACTTTGCACAGACATATTATCGAATAGCTCTCATATAATTAGAAGTGGTTGTATTTCGAGAAGTAATAGATTTGAGATCTATGTTTATTAGAAATTTCTTGCTTGTTTTCAGGCGTAAGATATCTGTAATTTCCGTGACAGAACTTTGATGATTTATCTTGGTATACGATAATAAAGGACGTCCGTGGTCTTCGTTGTTATCGAGTAGTTATACTTCGAAATAAAGATGCGCCTGATTTGCCATTGAGTCGCACTACAACCTTGACTCTGTTGAAGATAGTAGCGGTGCGTAGCGGATATTTCTTGAATTAATGACAGTAACGAGTTTATGAAATGTAAGGGTTGTCCTTCAAGCACTGCACCAAATTGAACTTATAAACTGAAATTACATTTGACAATTGATGCCAGAGTGACGATATTGTAAAAAAGACACGTACGCATATACGCTCACACGTACATATCGTGTATACTTATATAACTTTAGTCATTTAACAAATACACATCCTCCGTGAAAATTTTGCAAATCTCCAAATTCGCACATTTCAATACTACCCTTTATTGCGATAAAGATGAAACAGTCATTGATACAGCCTGAATAGTAAATCGCATATTTCAAAATATTTACTATAAGCTGAAATCATTTCCTTTACAAATAATCTATACACAATCAGTAGTAAAAAATAATAACTAAAATACTTGAAACTGTCGTACGATTAAATTACGTCGCAATAGACTCGGCAAAATCTATTCGAGGTATCCTATATCTTAAAACCGGATAATTCTTCCGTTACTTATTAAAATTCACTTATACATCCTGTAGCTAATTTTCTACTCTAAAAAATGTTCTATCAGATAATACAATTGTGTGTGTGTGTGTGTGTGTGTGTGTGTGTGGGCGCGCGCGCGCGTGCGCGCGTGTGTGTGTGAGAACCACTGGATCGAAAACAGTCTACACTTTTTCACCACACCCTTTCGCCGTGCGAATGTAAAATGGAGAATCGGGGGGAGGGGGGACAACGCTTCCGCTCAGCGATTAGGCTCAGTGACGTCGTTGAACAGCGGTGTCAACGAGTCGACGTCTTGCAGGCCGTCAAAATTCCCGAGAGGATCCAGATCGTCGGACTCAGTGTCGGCTTCCGCGAGGAAACTCGCTTCCAGCAGATCGGCGACGTTTCTGCAGAGACTGCTGGAAGAGGAGGAGACCACAGCGACGACGGCGTCGACGTCGTCGACGGTGGCGGTGGTGGCGATCGTGGAGGCGGCGTTGGTGCTGGTGATGATGATAGTGGTGTCGGTCGTGGTGGCCGTGGTCGAGGTGGTGCTGATGGTGGTGATGGTGGCGGTGGTGGCGGTGCTGATGGTGTTGTTATTGTTGTTAGCGACAACGTCGCCCGATAAACTGAGAGAACTCAGGGTGGGACTGGAGAGTATCGGCTCGCCGGGATCCTGATACACTTCCTGCGATTGCACCGTGTGAAGCGGCGTCGACGGATACGACCTGGAGCCGTTGCTGTCCTCGGCGTACGACGGGGTGAATGCGGAGACCGGCGCCGGCAGTGGTGTGTTCGGGTATGAGCGCGACTGAATGATCTTCTGCAGCGTGCCGCCGGCGTCGGTTAGGATGCTCGACGCGTCCAGCATGTCCTCTTCCGACAGGTTTAGATTCGCGTTCGGCAAAACGTCCAAGACGATCGCGCTGTTCAGCGTCTCCTCGGTCTGTTCAGGCAGCATCTGCAGACCCGGCTGGTCCTCTTCGTCCAAGATCGTGAGGATGTTACTGATGTTCTCCGAGGTGATCCCCTTGTCCGTAATCAGGAACGGTGGTTCCGACATGAAGTTCGCTTCGTCCAACAAATACGCGCCTTCCTGCCCGATGCCGGAGCCGAAGTCGTTGTACTCGCTCGGCACCGGCGTGGGCGCGACCGAACTGCTGGTCGACGGATTGAAGCTCTGACTGTGCACCGTCGACAAGCAATACTGCGTGGAGATCGGGGATATGAGGGACGCGGGATTCACCATCCTGTGCAACGGCACCGACTGTGACCTGTAGAACAATTGTTCGTTGCTCAAGTTCCGGCCGGAGTGAAGGAGCTCCGTGATCTCCTGGTCGGGCGGAGGCGGTTGACCCTTTTGGTAGACGTTCTTGATCTCTTGTAGATTCTCCTGGCTCGGGTAATTGATCAGTAGCGATTTCTGTGGCATCAGATCCACAAACGCGCACGGAGTCACCTTCGGCATAACCTGCGGCAGAAGATACAAGCATGATCGCCTCGCGAAGTGGGAGAAAAAACAAAGCATGTCGATGTAAATAAAGAACTTTGGGGAATAAGTTAATAAGAAAATAAACTCGCGAGTAGCTTTAATAATACCAACTTAAACTAGTTGATATCTTAGCATCTTAAAAATAAGTAAGTTTGTAACGAATATTTTAGCCGCTGTGCGACGTATTTAAGCTGATCCGGAAAGTATCAAAGTCAGTCAAATATTAGACGCGACATATCCTAAGTCAGTTACAAAACACAATGGTCTACGGGGGGGGATATTCTCAAGCGTTATATTCACGTTCCTTCAACAGTTATCATAAAGACACTCGTAGGCGTCGGTCCACAATAGGTATTTAAAGTCTTAAGAAATTGACCAATCACAGTTGAGTGTGAGGAGAATAATTAACCGTGATTGGTCGATTTCTTAAGGCTTAAAATACCTATCGTGAACCGACGCTGACTTTCCTCGCACAATCTCGTACAATCGATTCGCTCTCTCACCTCCGTCGACTTGGTCGTGGCTACCGGCGCGTGTCGCGCGACCTCCGTCCCGCTGGAAGTCGGCACGATGAAGGTGTCGTTGTTCTTGTTGGTGTACGGCACGCCGCACGAGATGGAACGCGCGAGCATCTTCTGGCCGCGCGATCTCGAGCTCGGCTGCAGATTGCTGCGCGATCTCGGCACCGGGGTGTTGCGGGGCGACACGAACGGGCTTGCATTCGCCGAGCTCGACTTGGACGCGCGGCCGTTGATCGGGGAATGCGGTCCGGGCGAGATCGGCGTGAAGTTGAATATCCTGCGTCGCGTGTTCGGGCTCTGCGGCACGGTGTTGACAACCGCCGGCGTCGTCGCCTCTTGAACGTGCTCGACGACGTTCGTCTCGAAGCTGACGCGACGGCGCGTGCTGCCCGGGTTGGGATGATTGAGCGTCGGCAACACGATATTGTGCTTCTGCGTCGTGTCTCGCTTCTCGACGGCGACACTCTGCCGAACGACAGTCGTCGGCAGCAGCTCGGCGGCGGCGGCGGCTGCGGCGGCGGCGGCGGCCACGATGGGCGCCTTCAGATTCTGCTGCAGCATCAGCCGCAGTTGCGACACCTTGTCGGAACGAGAGACCTGCTCGGCGTCCGAGCCCACGACGCCGGTCTCCACGTCCGAGCTGGACGAGCTGCTCTGCTGAAAGTACTGCAGCAGCTCCTCCTCCTGCTCCTGCGAATTGTTCCCGCCGTTCAGATAATCGTCCAGGGCGTCCGTGTCGATGCCCCGGAGCTTCTCGCCCTTCAAGACCGGCGTGTCTTGTAAGAGGCGGATCTGGTCCCTCGTGAGGAGTCCTGAGGACGTGTCCACCGTGCCTACGGTCGGACAGCTCCTCAACGAGTCGATATCACAGTTTTTCGCGGGCTGGCTATTATTATCCGCAGCCTCACCGACCGCTTTGCACTTGATGAACTTCGAATTTCCGGCCAGTATCACCGAGATCTTGCCGGCGCGTTGGATGGACGCTAACTTGGGTAGCAAAACATTGGAATGCTCTGGGCTCTCGTCGGCGAGCTTCGTTTGCTTCTCGGGGCTGGGTTCCTGCGGCGCTGCTACGGCTGGATTATTGGCACGTTTCCTAGAATGTTTACCTTTGACGTCGCGTTGCTGCACGGTCGCCACTACTCTAGATGTGCTATTATTCTGTCCGTCTTCGCCTGATTGTACCACTACATTATCACAGTTAGACTCCAGGGAGACATTGCAGGACTGTTGCTGCTGCTGCTGCTGCTGTTGTTGCTGTTGTTGCTGCTGCTGGTTGCAAGTTTTCGATACTTTCTTTTGCCGGTTGCAAAATATGGGGGATATGATCACCTTTGCCAGGGAGTTTTGCGCGGCCACTGCTGTCGCTGATACGTTTGTACCTTGAGGTGACTGGTTAGACTTGACTTTCTTGCATCCTTTAGCGATATTTCCTTTACCGTCGACGGTTTTTTCCTTATTCTACGAAAGTGGAAATTATATCGCTGAATATCAAATTAAGTTCCTTTTTATTCATTTTTGCCGAATTAAATGACTTGTACTTCACCTTTTTATGAGTTTTATCGGAGAAAGTGACTGGCAAGTTCAAAAGTGTTAAAAAAAAAAAAAAATCGAAAGAATGTCAAGTCCAAAGGCTAAATCAAATCAACATAGATGTTTTCGTCACGTAAACTGGTATGAGTGTATATTATTATATACCTGTACAATAGTGTCCAGATGACGATGCTTCTGATCCCTAATATGTTCCCGTTGCTGAAGCTTACGTTGCAACTGTAATTGAGCCTCCCGGAGTTTCGCAGGTTTACCGCTCGTAGGCGTAGTCGGTAGATCAGAAATTGGCTCTACATAATTTATCCAATAAATTCCCATATAAGCACACACACAAAACAATATCTTTCTCTCTGGTAAAACTGAATTGATTGCAAGACAGTACACGAGTTACATGTTTGGCAAACTTCGTTCAGTGAGTTTGGAGTACTAACCTTTGTTAGATGAAGCTTTAGGCTCGACTGAAGCGGACAGTATGCACACAGCAGCCAGAGATCGAATATCGACGCAAAGATTATCAACAAGATGCCGCGCTAAGGCACTCAAGTTTGGAAATTTCAGGCCTAACAAGTTTTCCGCCCACTCCCTTATCAAGGTAGATGCAGCGCCTAACATTTCCTCGGTCACGTTCTCCTCCGAATGTTCTTCCTAAATTGGACAATACGCGACGTGTTTTATTCGAGACAAGTGGGTGGAGAAAGAAAAAGTTTGAATAATTAAAAAAAAAAATAGATCAGACGCGTAATCTCGAGAGAATGATAACGTAAGGATCTCGTCGTGCAACAAATGTTAATGCGAAAAATGTGAATTGTTTGGTTTAAAATATAACAGATGGAGAAATTTAGAGACTCGCGCGAGAGATGAGTGCAAAATTCCTTCTTAACGAAGTAGCAAGGAACTTTTATGATCGACAGAGATACTAATAAATGAAAATTATATAATATATCATCTGTGCTTGTTTGCTGCTCACAGTTTGAGGGCCAGATATCTTTGGCAGTGTCGGAGGGTCCAATTTAATTCGCTTGCGCATACCCGCATAGCAGTAGCGAGAGTTGCCTCGTGTACCCAGTCTACGAGGACGTACTCGCGGATATACTTGTTTCATGACTTTTCCAAAATCCGCCGTTGACAATGGCTTCATAGAATTTCTTAGACAATACACGCTGAAAGCAGAAATATCAGAACGTCTTCGGAGAGGAAAAAAAGTGTTTCTTCGAAAGACTATCAGATAACATACTTGTGCATCGTTCTCGCGTCATCCTTAAAACAAGTTCAATTATCGCGAGTGCGATTTCTTTCTAAATGTAGCAAATAACCGATTCGTTTGAGGCGTCGGTATAGAGCAAATAGATAATACAGCCATGTTCTTAATTTATCGGTCTCTTTATCACAACAGGCTCGTGACACAACGAGATAGAAAAGAATATGTGAAAATGTTTAAGAAAATGGAAAAAATATGCATATATCCATGTATTATGTATTTATATGTACATATGTATTAAATATAGAATATCCTGGTAAAAGTGGACAATCTCTTAGGCATCAATCTTACGTGAGATACTTGCCCTTAAAATGAAGGTCTGAAAAGGTTTGGATTTTAGTGCGATACTACATTTTGCTCGCTTTCTTTTACCTAAGCTAAAATTGTCTTAAAGTTTACCACAACGATATATATTAACAAAAACGTATCTGATCCTGAGTATATATGTGCAGTGTATATGGTAGACAACTTACTTGTACTCGTCATAGACTTCCTGCTTCGGCAAGGAGACGTCCGGGTCTTCCTCCAGATGCGTCTTGATCCACATAATGGTCTGATGAATTTCATAACGATTTCCTAATGGATTTAACGGCTGCCTCAGAGGATCGATAGTACCACTGGGATTTGTCAGCAATAAAGGAAGTTTCAGGTACAATAATAACTTTTCCTCTGTCTTGAGTCGTTCCACCTGTGAGAAAATCTCCTGCACGCGCACCTTGGATTCTTCGCTATAATTTAAATAATTCTTCTATATTATTATTTAATTCTACCATTCAAAACAATTACTTTCATCAATTATTCAATGACTGTAATTTGATATTACAGGAAAACGTAGAGAATTCAGTATGACCACAAACACACACATACAAATAAACCATAAACTAATCAATTAGGTTATGTCATTAGCAAAATAAGTAAAAAAATATATCAAGTATTTTTAAAATACTCTACACACATAAATATCCATAAATAAAATATAAAATACCATAAATACATACTTCTTTTATATAATATTAATCAACACAGAAATTCTTTTAAAGCTGTTGTTCTATTTCACAGAAAAATACATAATACTATCTATATTGCACATGACAAAAAATTTGAGAAAAGAAAGTTGAGTTTACTGTTTAAAGTTGAGATATTTTATTACAAAGTATGAAAAAAAATAGGATAAAACGTACAATGAAAAATAACTATATATAACTGAACTAGCAGAACAAATATCCCAAATCTCAAATAAACACTAAGATAGCTCTGGCAGATAAGTGAAGACTTTTAAGAACTCATTGGTGATACAACAATGGTATAACTCACCTACAGATATCCCAAGATAGATAAGGTAATTTGTCATTAATATACATTCTTAACAAGTTACTTTATATAGAACACTAGTAAAGGAACAAGGAGGAATCCAATGTGCGACACCGAAACGAGGAGGGAGAAAAAAAAGCTTTGATCGTTGCTCGAGAAATAATCGTCCGGAATGAAAATCGACTTAACCTGATGCCATCCTCTATCATGATCCGAATCTTGTCCTGCTTGGAAGTGCTATGGTTGGCCAGTGTTGCGAATTTCGTCGCAACGATGTCTTGAATCGGACCATTATCCTCATGAAAGCCATTCGAAACGAACCTGCTGCCGGCCGGCACCGCCGACGGCGGCGGTGGCGGTGGCGACGGCGGCGGCAGCAGCGAAGACTGCTGTCGTTTCTCGACGACGGCGGCGGCGGCGACGACGTTGGCGGCTGTGGCCGACGAGGCGGTGTCGCCATTCTCCACGCAAGTGTCATTGTACTCTTTTTTAATCCGTTTGCCATCGAACGCGCTCTCCTCCTCGCTCCTGACGGGTGTTTTGCAGGATTTCGTCTGATCATGACTGTCAGTACTCATCGTAACCCAAACCTCCCCGTGCCGCCCGTCCCGCCCCGGTCGTAGCTCACGTATGCGGAAACGTATCGCCTCCCGGTGCACCACAGCGTTTTACCATCTTGTCATGGTTGTCTGCCGGATCACACCTTAACGCTCTGGCATTAGCGCCATTACTCGACGTGATGTTCGGCGAGAGGGCTGCCACACGGCTCGCCGGAACACATATGATGTACAGCGACGCGCGGGCGCGGACCCGTCATAATAACGGCACCGCGCACGGCAGCCGATCCGAGCGCTCGGGAGCAATCGGACCGAACTAGAGAGGACAACACGTTGCGCCCGAAAATCCCTAGCGGGATACCCCGGATCCCAGTGACTACCTGGCTGACTCTCGGGACTAACTCTTATCAAACTAATTCACAATGAATCGATAACAACGATTTTTAATGATACAATTTGTCGTCGAACACAGAAACGTTTGATTCCTTCCGTGTTAGCGAAATAAAGATGACAGGCTTGTCCAGCCTCGTCGTTCTAGGCTGGCCGAACACGACCAATCAAATGCGTCGGGTCTGAAAACAGACCACAGGCCCTCTCCCGCCGATACATTCAAGTTTGCAATTCTTCATACAAACTGAATGAGACGAGCCTCATCGCGTCAGTTTAATTTAAGAATCCTCGAAGTCTCATTTTTCAACGTCGAGCGAAGGGAGATGCCGGAGCGAGGGAGGAGAATGCAATTATAAGTATTTGATGGACAGGATAAACACACGACAAATTCATCCAGTAGTTTCGCAAAATTTCGCGAATCTCGCAAATGCATTTAAATTTTTCTGCATGTATATTTGCTTCAGTATTTGTGGCGATGTGTGGCACGTAGAATGATTATTGATTTAACCTTTGATGATTATTTTGTTTTAACTTTTATGTAAATAATGAGCGACACAAACCAATCACATCGTTCACTCCAAATGACAATTTTTATCAGCTGATATTGGATATGATTGAGGAGCAGGGGAGAGGGGAGTGCGAGGAGGAGAGATGATAATACGAATGTTTATTCACATATATATTTTTTTGTATGGAATATATGCGAGAATGTTTCTAATTTATACTTATGTATTTTAGATTCTCAAGAATAGACTTACATAAGAATATCAAGAGAACGATGTTGCCTCCTTTGGTGGATGATAACACCAAGTTCCCTCGACTGAGAGGATTGAATCGAGATGTGCGGAAAAAAAAGAAGATTTCATCGGTAGATCTATCTGTGACGCAACGAACATTTCACAGGAAAAGATAAGATAGATTGCAAACCGTGGTAAATATAAATCAAATCCTATTGTTTTATATCACGTATATATCACATATGTATTATATATGCAGACTATTGCCGATTCGTTGCGAGATTTCAAATAGATAAATGTCTCAGTTTGTAGGAGAATAAAAAACTGGATCGAGCAACAATTGACGACAAATGTAAAATAGAACTTGTTCCCTATTGCGAAGAAATCCTGAGATTTGTCTATCAATAAGAGTCAGCAATAAGAGCAACAAAAAATTCAAGGAACATACGCACGCACGCGCACACACACACACACACACACACACACACACACA